CATATAAATATTTGAAAACATCATTTAATTCTTGATTTGTTTTGATGTTCTGTGCTATATTATATTACTGATATACAAAAAAGTTTGACAAAAACTCCATGTAATACATTGAGTTTTAAGTTTCCAAAAACTGTGCTTTTGTTAACTTAAATTCATGAAATTTGAAACACCTTTATTGTTTTTGGTCATTGATTATGCATGCATTGTAAGTATATATTCCTCGTTTCTATATATTGCATAAATAAATTTTCAAATTTTAATCCCAACAATTTGAGATACAGATTTTTTGTTCAAAAAATTTCTAAATTACATAAATGGCATCTCATTGATTATTTATCAAAATAAAACCTTTATTTTGATTAACTTCAAGTACTTGATTGAAATTCTTTTTTCAAAAAATGTTATCAAAATACACTGTTAGCATGTAAATTTGAATGAAGTTGGTAATATTTAAGTTATAAACATGTTAATAAACTATACTTATAAAAAAAAATTGTTGTCAAAATCAATAAGACGCAGAGCTGGTAATTATAATTCTGCATGTACATTTTCAATTAGATTTGATAATCATTCCAATAGCTAATTTTTTGTTTTTTCTATGCATATTACATAATCATTTTTATTTTATGTTTGCAATTACATCATAAAATCCGATTAAAAATCAGATTGTGTTGTAAAATCAATATAAACTTATGTATTGTAAATAAATAAATATTTTTTATCTTGAAAATCTAAATAATTTGAAATGAAATGAATCAAAATAAATTTATGTTGATGAACATTTTAAAATATCCAAATCTCTTCATGAAAGTAATATTTATAACATCTCCTTATTACATTGCAAAATTCTATACAGAGATTCTTTTACAAAATCTGTTTTTAGCATATTGATGCATACCATGTAGTTTCATTCAGTTCTTGATTATAGATTAAAAGGTATTTTTTCCTATAAAATTTACTTAAGCTACAATTAAATTACAAGAAGTTATTCATCATGTTGGTTAGAATTAAGAGAAAGTTTATCAAGTTGCATTATTGTCTTTGTAGTCCTAATTTTTGTAGTTGTGATTATTCAAATTTGTCAGATTAGGTTTTTCAATCACAATTTCAATTAGTATTGATTGATCCAGCTTAGAACTGATTTCAATTGTATTATTGAATTTTTACATATAAACAAATCTATAGTTCGTAAAGTAGATGGAGATAACAAGTTGTAGCTCTCATATGAGAGCTATCATTAGCATGTAAGTAATTACTGCAAGTAGTTAGGTGTTTAAGTTTGTAAAAAAAATTTGTGAATTATATTTTTTGTTCACCAAACATATATATACATAAAAATGAATTTTTTTTCATTACATTAGATATGTGTTTTCATAATCAATATATGTTATCATAAGACTAAATCGTTATGATAATTTTAATCAATTGTTTCAAGTAATAGATAAATTAGTTTGATATTTATTGCATACATATAGACAAAATGATTTGATATTAACACATGAATTGTTTGCGTGTTAATGATTTTGAATGTATATTGTAGTTACTAAGATGGAAACTTCTTGATGTTTAAAAAGTAATATTGTATCAAGTATGTTCAAGATTACATTGGTCGATTTAATAGAGGTAATAAATATAGTGGTTTTCACTATCCTTACGTTGCTTTTCAATTACAGTGGACTAAAATATGCTGATAGTTGTTAGATTTAGATATTTTAATGAGTTTGCGGAATTTAGAATCAAATAACCATAAAAAGACTAAAAAAATTTACATTTGAACGTACATGAAATCTCCATGTATTAGAAAAGTCGTTGATCTATAAGTTTGTATTCAAGAAAAATTCAAAATGACTATCATTGGAAATTATTTTATTTTCATATCTACACATGTATATTAAAAATAATACAGGTTATTACCTTTTTTAAGTCTTAAATTTCAGTTTTTACCATCAAATATAAATCTGATTGATAATTATTGCGCGTATTATATTTTTGAGGTTCTTGTTTGTTACCATACATATGATGGTGGCATGAAATTTATTCAGTTTTAAGCCTACTTTTACTATCATATGTCTACCATCAGAAATCAAATTCCACTGCCTACATAGAATTGAAATAGTCAATTGAGTTTAATGAAAAATTGAAAATGGTACTAGATGACTAATTGACGCAATCTCGATCTAGAACACCGTGATCTGTGCATAGACTAGATCTCAGTTGAAACGCATACGTACGTCACGCATAATAAACTGAATGCGTCAAGATCAAAAAGGCGAGTCGACATTATCATAGATATGCAGCAAGATGTGCGCCATAATCTTCGACGTTGTTTTTGTATCTTGAAGACTTATTCCTCGCGGGCTGTGGTGTACCTGTGTGGTATCAATCAAGTCAGTGACACCGTCCCCGTCTTTTGATTCCCTTCGTCGGTAAGTGGAAACCTGACTCTCGAACTCTCATTGACGGGAAATCTATGGCGTGAAAAGGCCAACACCCAGCGGACATAGTTTCATGTTTGTATGTATCACACAGACCCAGGGTCTCAAACTTCTCTCGACCCTTGCAATCCACGTCATGGCAGAAAATTGGCTGAGAAGTTATTAAAAGAGCTGGAATATCTGGCCTGTCCAGCAGCAGAGAATATGTGAACGAACGAACGTGGAACGATCCAACTTTGATGGCAGTATGATGAACGAAAACATCCGTAAACCCCCGTGATACGCAGTGGTGTTCACACGAGTAACCGTCAAACCTTTAATGAACTGGTCTAAGAGAAGTCTTAATAACAAAATACTGTGCCGAAGGAAATGGTTTTCCCGCTTATGACATCTCGTAGCCTGCACTGGGGTGCAGCGACGAGGACATACGACCAGAGCAGGCGTAGAAAAGAATGCGAGGCGGACTGTACTCTACTGACAAAGATTCGCCGCCGCTCTCAGATTGACAGAAAGATGTGGAAGCATGTTAATGCGGATGAAAGTGCATGATTTGGACTACGAGGCATCCTGGCCAAGAAGAAGAAGACAAAGCATATGGAGAAGAAGTCCGGATTCTTACGATGGATCATCCTGTAGACACATCCATCCATCATGAAGAAGAGGACGACGAGTGGAGGTCTAGAGCCCGCCCGCCCGCCCTTGGGCCGCTTGCGTCTGGTGAGAGCCAGCCGCCGATCAAATCGAGCCGTTAGCAATTCGAGACCGACGTGGCGCACACGTCAAGCTAGTCGAACCCATTTGTGCCGAAGAAAAGACATTACAAGACAAGAAGAACCGCGAAGCCATGGATCATGAAAGGTGATCGCTCGATGATGAAGCGGTTTGTTCCCTCTGCAGGTCGTCTGCAAGGAATCCGAGGGCCTCTCTAAGACAGACCTTCGGAGCATTGTCAGTTCTCGCAACGCAGGGGCCTAATATTTATTAAATTTATGCCGTTCGCATGGGTACGTACGGTTTCGCAGACCCGCATCCACTGCCAAATTTCAATTTAGTTTGCTGCTGTCCGAACTCTTGAGGTGAAGTGGCTACCGTGCGTGAGCATGTATCATCATCATCACTTCCTATCATTTGCCCACCGGGGTCCAGTGGCCGGCCCGGCCCGGCCCGCTTGCACTGGGATCATGAGTCATACTGGGCAAAGTGCATCGCTTCCTCTGCAGAGGCCTCTGCAGGTGCGGGCGAATATTTCGCGACGAAGTCTCTTCGGACGCCGCATATTCCGATGGCGAGCGGCCAGCGTCAGGAAGGAGAAAGCACGCGCGCAGCACGAGGAGGGGCTACGGCACCGGAGTCTGGACCGTATGGCCGTACACCTCGCACATCTCGGGCCGTCTCAAAGTCCCGACACATGCCCGTCGCTTGAACCTTCCAGGTCTCTGACCACTCTGACCACGAAGATCGCTTCCTTCACTCGAGCGATCGAGTAATGATCCCCCTATTTTCCAATTCCATTGCTTGGTACCCTCTCGCCATCCTTTTGCGCACGGATTCTCGACTCCCTTATTGAAGACGAGTCCAAATAAGACTGGAATCGTCTGAAATAAACGTCCAAGAAATAAATGAGAGCGATGATGCTCACATCCCTCGTTCTTGTGACTAGAAATTCGAGGCGATGATTCAGCTTCCGGACATTTTCCAAAGCCAAGCCAGACAGAGCGCATCAAATAGCAAATGGAAACTAATCCAAGAGCTTGTGTCTCATTCCTGTCTGGAGAGTACCACAACGTACGCATTCAGCGTCTCTGCAAAGGCTGCATTAACTGATCAAAGCGTAGATGACTAACTTGTCACGACCAAATTTACGGTTGAAAACATGTGAAGCATCCACGTCATCTGATCTCCAAAATCGATTATGAATGTTTCTGAATGATCCCTCTTCTCGCCTGTAAGAAATCATCGCGAGCACCTGCAACAATCGACTCCGGAGAACTTCAGCAACTTCCGGTGACCTGACTTCTTTGGCTTTTCGGGATCTCACCATTGTTTCCTGTGCGGCTTGTCCAATCTAATGGACGCCTTGTAAGAAGATGTCGTTCAGTCCCAAGCATCCTGGTGAACAGACCCGACAAAAAATTTACACGCCCTCAGGATTTTATGGCTGAGATATCGAAAGCTAAGCCGAGATTTAGAAGAAGCACACCTACCACTACACCAAGTGCAAAATTGCCTTCTCTGATCTAGCCTAATATCTGGACTCCTCCTGATACATGATCTTTTCCGGATTCATGAAGAAGAGTAAGAACGAAAGGATATGGATTATTGAATTTTTTAATCCTTCTTTGGTGCTCACCGACGACCTCTGTCTCTTTGGGATACCGAGTGAGCAGGCTTTGCCCATGTCATCATGTACAGCAAACCGTACTTATAGGTATTATTATTATACCTCTCACCGCGGGTACGTCCGGTTGTCTATCAGTATACAGTTGGTCGAGAAGTGAGTAGGACGAGAGATAAGGACGATTAAAACGGTTCCCTCGAAGAGACAAGTTGAAATGTTCGGACTTTCAAGCAAGAAGTTGACTGTAGTCGGATGAATGGATAACGAGCAGCCGCAGCAGGTGAAAACAAGATATACCGCTTCCAGTAAGAAATACCGGGAGTAGGAAGTCAAGACTAATCGGAGAGGATCGAACAGATGGCTGCTCGAAATTTGGTGAGGAAGATGGATATAGCTCATCCAGTTGGTACAACTTGCTTTTCCAGTACGAGCGAGAATGGATTTGGTGCGGGCATGGGAATCTCATAACTACGCCTGTCCGCAGTTCAAGGTACGTCCGTCCTGTACAAGCCGCCCGCATAGATGATCGATCAATGTCACAAGTTGTGTGATATTGATCGGTCATTTACAGCAGTCTCTGGTCTAGTGTCATTCGAATCTACAACGAATTCAATCCTTAGAAATCTCCGTTTACGTATGCAGAAAATTTATTCATGCTCTTGCATTACGCAGCACTTGAAATCTTCCGACGTGGAAGCCTTCTCACTTAGAGGAGTGAGGGAGTAATAGCCGAGTCTGTTGATGAGCCTATGAGCTGATTTGATCGCTGTTAAGAGAAAACAGCTGAGATCCAGTCTCGTGATCAAGGAGCGCAGCGTTTCAGCTGATCACAGACAACGCAACGACTCGCCTTATTAGACCCACCTAAGTTTGAGGGAAATTAATGCCAGGCGGCTTAGAGACGTGGACTCAAGTGCAGATTCATTAGCTCCACAACTCTTCTATAGCATACGATATATATTTGCAGGTTAAAATCAGCTTTTTTTTTTCCGTTCCCTCAATTTCTGTACAGGAGAAAGGGAAGAATCACGCCAGAGTTGTGAGCACTGAACGTCCACCAAGATTATTGGCAAGTTGTCCAGCAAACACTCGAGAACATTGCTGGAGCTCATCCATCCTCCACGCACGAGGATTGCACTCGTCCGACCGGCGCCGCCACCGTGACTTGCAGGAGACGGGAGGGGTTGCTGGTTTCGAGCGGACAAGCAAGAGGAGGTATATGGATAATAGGTAAGCCTATTTCACGAACATCGTAGAAGTAGGTGAAGTTGAACTCGGCGCCGGTGGAAGTGATGAAGAGCGGATAAGCCGAGAACGTGGAGGCAAGAAAGGCAGGCAGGCAGGAGAAGCCGTCTGAAGTACACACCGAGAACCTGGAGATTCACAAGTCAAAGGTCGAGCATGCGGGCGGGCGGGCGGGAGAGAAGGAGGGAGGCAATTAAGCAGGTCAAAGTATGGGAGCGATGGGTTGCAGATGTGCGTAGGATTGCACGTCAAGGTGGACAATTTGGAGTCTTGTGTCGTCCCAGTGACAGCGCGAGAGCTCGAAGCTGGAAAAAGGCGAGATTCGTCAAACAACTTCCAACAACACACAGCTGACCATCAGTAACGACAATAAGGTTCTCGGATGTCCCGGTGTGGGCCCGAAAACGCTCTTGCGCTTCGAGAACCAGCAGTCGTGAAACGATTGATTCAGAGCGATATCAGTCCAAGTCGACCATCTTCTTCACGTGCGAAGCCGGATAGATAACAGCATCAGCTGCGCTTTTCCTCATTCGGGCGCTGCGACACCGTAATATTAGCAAATTGGAACTGCTCCACACATACGCGTCACCTGCTTCGGCTTCGAGCCAGTAACGCTTTCCGGCTCGTAGTCAGCTCCCTATTTCGGTCGGGGCTTGTTGCTAGTGTCCGCGCGCTGCGACAGAAGCAAGGAGCAGCGAAAAGTGGGGGAGCGCTGGGGTCGGAGGGCAACACAGCAGGAGCGCAGAGCTTATAAGGCCTCGACAGTCACCATGCACCGGCACCCGGATCCGGATCAAGCCCGGAGAGAATCGCGAGGACAAACGGAGTGACAGCTAGCGAACATGGCGGTCGGGGCCGGATGCGTGGTGAGCAATGTGACGCACCTTCTCACGCTGCTCATGACGCTGCAGTCGGCAGCGCTGAACAATTCCGGAGGCGACCCCGCCTTCGACCCCAAGAGCTACATCGACCTGTCGCTGCGCAAGGACGTCTCGCTGGGCCAGGCGCAATCGGCCTACGCCGAGCTGCGCAGCATCACCAACGACACTCTGCACAACTACATCGCGCAGCACTTCGACGAGGCCGGGTCCGAGCTCGAGCTGCACCCCGCGGCGGATTTCGCCGCCGCGCCCGACGAGTTCCTGCCCGACGTGAAAAATGCGCAGGTGCTGGCCTGGGCGCACGACGTGCACGCCATCTGGAGGAATTTGACGCGGCATGAGACGCCGGAGGTGGCCGCCGACAACGAGCGCTTCACCATGGTGCCCTTGGCGAACGCGTTCGTCATCCCCGGGTCGCGGTTCCGAGAGATTTACTACTGGGACAGCTACTGGGTCATCCGCGGCCTGCTCGTGAGCCGGATGCACGAGACGGCGCGCGGAATCGTGGACAACCTGCTGGGCATGGTCGAGACGTACGGCTTCGTGCCCAATGGCGCGCGCAAGTACTACCTGAACCGCTCGCAGCCGCCGCTGCTCAGCCAAATGGTGCGCGCCGTGTACGAGGCCACGGGCGACGCGCGCCTCCTGGAGAGGGCCGTGCCGATTCTGATCCGCGAGCACGGCTTCTGGACCTCGGCGCCGCACAGCGTCGGCGTCGTCGATGCGCACGGCACCGTGCACTCGCTGAGCCGCTACTACGCCAACTGGAACACGCCGCGCCCCGAGTCCTACGTCTACGACCGCGCCGTGGCGGAGTCCGTGGCGGGCGCGAGCGAGGAGGAGACGGCGCAGCTCTACAACGACATCGCCACGGGCGCCGAGACGGGGTGGGACTTCAGCTCGCGCTGGATGGCCGATCGCTTCAATCTGTCGACGCTGCGCACCTCGCGCATCGTCCCGGCCGATCTGAACGCGCTCCTGTTCCAGCTCGAGCGCAACGTCGCGCACTTCGCCCGCCTGCTGGCGGACGACGGCACCGCGGCCGAGTTCGCGCAGCACGCCGAGCGGCGCAAGGCCGCCATCGAGGCCGTGCTGTGGAACGACGAGGCCAAGCAGTGGAACGATTTCTGGCTGCCCGCCAACGCCAGCTGCTCGGGCCCGACCACGACCGTCGCGTTCGACCGCCGCGCGCTCAACACCGACGCCATGGCCTCCAACTTCGTCCCGCTCTGGACCGGCCTCGTCGCCGTTTCGCAGGAGGACGCGGACGACCGGACCGACGCCGTGGACGCCATTGTGGCCGCCCTGGAGCGCTCCGGGCTGCTGCAGCCGGCGGGCATCGCCACGACCGCGACCAACACCGGGCAGCAGTGGGATTTCCCCAACGGCTGGGCTCCGCTGCAGCATATGATCATCGAGGGCCTGGCCCTGTCGAACACCGCCAAGGCGCGCGCCACTGCCGAGGAGCTGGCCGTGCGGTGGGTCAGAACCAACCACGCTGCCTTCGTGAGCACCGGCGCCATGCACGAGAAGTACGACGTCCGGCGCTGTGGCGCTGCTGGTGGAGGCGGCGAGTACACTCCGCAGACGGGCTTCGGCTGGTCCAACGGAGTCGTGCTCGCCTTTCTGGACCAATTCGGTTGGCCCGAGCACCGCGATCTCGCCTGCACTCCGAACGCCTAGATTGAGATTTCGCATTAGGTAGACGCTGACGATGATTAGGATTTTGATTATGATCCTTATGATGATGAGTGGAACGCAGGCTCGTTCCATTCTACGAGAACTACTGTAATACCTCAATTTTGTACCCGAGGGCCCTCGAAGAGAAAATCTTTCCATGTTTGCCGCTTCTACGTTCCACACTCGCAAATGCAATTACTGTGCAATGAAACTCCGACCATTCCTCTAGCGCCATGCATGCAATGTCACAGCCGAGAGTTTGAAGACTCGAGGCCTCGCTGCCATCGTCGTTTCGAGTCTCCTCAAGTGTCCAGATCGGCGAGCAAAATCGCAGTCCTGAGGGCGATAGTCAAGCACCAGACGGTCGATCGCGTCATGAGGGGACTCGTTCTTCGTTCTCGCAGCTCTGGAGTGGAGGTCAGAGCGAGGGCTATGAGGGTTGACACCTCGGATCAGACACGTGTAACTTTGCATGTCCCGCGGATTTTACCGGTCTTGCTCACTAACAGATTAAGACGTGCACGAATACAACAACGAGCACGACTGACGGGAGGACTGACGGTATCAGAGTCCAAGCGGTGGCCAAGTGAATGATCCTGAGCCTCTGTCTTTTCACATGGACGATATGTGGACAGAATATGATTTTTTTTCAGCAGCCACAGCACGCACTCTACTGCCATCGTTCGGTTTCTTCTCACATGCCTCCACGCAATTCCCAAGCAATACAGTGTGAAGGTGTAAAGTTCAGATGCAAGAGTACGTCGGCTTATACACCTTTTCAGGGCCTCTCCCAAGTCTAGACTGCGCTTCGGTCACGAGAAATATTATTCTTTCTCTCCTTTTTTTCACTCCGTTTCTTCTACTCATTTCGCTTGAGGCATACTTTCGGTCCGGAGGCGCTTTTCGCTCTCACAAGCACGACCCCTTGCGTTGGCCTGGTCAAGAAGTGCTACGAAGACACCGGTAGCGAACCGGGCGGTAGATTTTATTCCAGAGCCAATTTCGTTAGAGAACTCAAAACAATCGTGTACAGTATTCACGGAAAACTCTCGCGGCTTTAGGCCAAACTACTTCCATTTCTACAGTCGAAACGTTCTGGAGCAAAGCCCATGTGATCGAGGCTTCAGAAGTTATATTTCGAGATGGGTACAGCTTGCGCCAGGGATTGTAACTTTTACAGCACTGTGACGTATTGGATACATGAACTTCAAGGAACCCGGAGTCCCCAATCCGCAGCACAATTGGAAGGATCAGGGGAATGATAGAAGACGTGAGTTTTTTTGAGATGGTGCGCTCCTTCTGTGAGTTTAGCCCCGTGTTTTGATCGTTCCTGAATGAGTAGCTGCCAACCTGATAGATTACGGTTCCCAATGTAGTGTTCATATATTATGTCGAAGTTTCAATTGTTCCACTTTTGCAAGCTCTTGAGAGGTTCGACATCGTTTTACTCCAGAGTCATCCCTTCGCGGTTGTATACATAAATCCTTTAGCCCTCTGACTCTTTAAACACACCTCTGCAAAATTAATTGAGAGAGGGTTAAAAAACATCTAGAAACTGAATTTGCGAGTAGATTCACATGGACATCTTCATGAACCTGTTTTGGAATGCTGGTAAAGTATGATCCGGATTTCACGAACCAGAATATGCAAATCGCAGGTGAAGGTCCCTACCCACCGGGAAATCACCGGCAGATTCAAAAATCATGCACAGCGTATGCCGGCCCCCGCTCCGGTTTAGTGCTTTGTCTCGCTGGCCATTCGACCAAAGCTTGGTTGTCAGCTCTCCGCGCGATGAGCTGCCCCCTACTCCACTACTACGGGTGACGCCTATGTTCTTTCCTCGGTTCATTCTGAGAATTTTCCACACAAACAAAAAGGAGTCAAGTACACGAGAGGGCAAATTTGGAGGCCACAGCAATCATGACTGTACCGTTGCTGTTAATACTCGGCATGCTGCTCGGTGACTCTTCGCGTTTGTGAGGGCACGGGAACCAACTCAATTCCATGGGAGTAACAAACTTTAAGCGATATTTCAGGTAGCCAGATAGACTGGGAAGCCATGGTGATCTCTCCGGAGGTCTACTTTTCTTCGGTGCAAAGAAACAAGTACACTGTTGGAGCAGTTTTCATCCGGAATCCACCAATCGCAGTCCGATCGGGATCTGCAGCATGTATTCTGCAATGCAGAATACATGTTGCAGAATCTGCATACTAAATTGAAATGCCCAGAGTGGACGTGCTGTTGTTGTCCATATACTGCAGCCGGGTACAGGAACGTACTCGAGATGGTTTGATATTAGCATCTTCCAGCCTTTCATGCGGTACCTCATTCGTACTCCTTTGGCCGGATGATGAGGCGTTCGAAGGAGGACCAATGAGAAGGTTTTGCCAGTAGCACATTTCGGACAACCTTTTGCTGCACCTACTTGGTCGTTGGTGTCAGTTGAAGAATCTGTCTTACAAAGTTACACCTTGCGTTAGTAGGGTGGTACGCCATGTAGGGTGGGTACATCTGGTGAAAATATCAGTCTAGTATATGATTTGAAAGCACCCCTTAAATCTAAAGCTTTACCGGCGAAGGCAGGTCAACCGTTCGATCGATAAAAAGGAGTTATGAACTGGCGAACAAGCTAATCTCCCTTCTGTAAATCTAGCCCAGATGAGGCCGCCATCGTTGGACGCATATGGGTTGGAGACCGAGAACCATCAGAACTAATGAACGTCTAGCTGGGATTAGGAAAAGAGGACAACCCTTTGATGATTTGGCAGATACACTAGCATCGCTAGGCCATGGTGTTCGTGTTAAGAAGGGCCAATGATAACGACTACACTTTCCGGGTAAGGGATATATGACATTCACATTAGGAAATATATACTCTTTGCCACTCATTCCCTCGCCAATGTGCTTGAGTTCTTCTCGGGCCCTTGTAGTCTTCCTTCCCTGTTGGTGCTTAAATGGTTTTGAATCAAGCGGCTCGCGTTTCTTTCGGATTGACAATTCGTATTGACAATTATGGGGTATTTGTATCAAAAGACGTCCGTCCACGTTGAGATAACACTCCCACACTTCCTTAAATTACAATCTTTTTACAAATGTACAAGCTGGTCTGAAAGCGACAATATGTCATCTAAAAATCTCTGCATATCGACTCAAGAAGAATTGATCTTTAAATCAAGTGAAAGGCGAAGGCCAAAGGCGAGCGCTTCACTCTTGATATAATATCTCCGGTGACACACCTAGTAATGCGACTTGACAGCCCGATCCAGAAGTAAAACCAGGCCATAGGAAGAAAAAAGAGTCCCTTCTCTAGGACGTAGCGGAGGTTACTCATCCCTTCCTGTAACACAATAGATAAAATAATCCAAAGAAGACTCCTCTTTCGTGCATCATCCATGTTTTTGAGCCAATTTGTTGAGAGGCTGGAGTCGACGACCTCATCGACTGTCTTGGGAATTGACGTGGCCAGAGAGTTTTCGATATCATTTGGATCCGCAGATATTATCCTCTCGTTGGCTGCTACCCATTCAAGCCACTTTTTCTCAAAGTTTGGTCCTGGCTCCAACCCTTGCGCTACGATCTCCTGCTTGACCCATTCCCACAATTCCCACGGCCCAGCTTCCATGATCAAGTTAAGCAGCATACGTTTTTCATCAACCAATCGCTGAACTTCTGCTTCCTTGGCCGCTAGAAGCTGTTTTGCTTGCTTTGCTGCCTGTCTGTTGTGATCTAATGCCTTGACCATCTCGTCAACATCCCTGCTGTGGTAAAACACAACAACTAATTAACAAGTAGGCCTTCGAACTGTATCAGGCGTGAACTAATCTATAAAACGTGAAACTGGTGAGAACTTTTTCAATCATCAACTCCAATGTACATATCTACACTTCCAACACAAGTTAGGAGTGTATAACAAGAATACCCAAGAGAAAACACCACCTACATCATATGTCGCAGGGTTGACTACCTTCCAACATACATTGTTTTCAGCTTAGAATCAAAATGAAAGTATTGAATGAAGTATGATGGCTATCACAAAAATGCATCACAAGAGGGTTAGGGACCACAACAGCCATAATACAAAGTTCAGTAAGATGTATGACTTTGTGTGCTCCTAGACTCACAGTTGGTGCAAACTCTCGAATAGATTCAGCAGAGAATTATCAGAGCAGTCAGATGAACTGATGAAATAGTACGTTCGGACTTGTGCGCAGTATGAAAAGTGGAAAAAACAGCAGGAACATGATGGCTATTCCCCAACATACCCCACACCATGTGTTACAAACCTCAGAAGAGTTTCTGAAAAGGTGGTCTGCTTCTCTCTGAGTTTGAACTCCTCCTGGAATCGTTGTATTGCCGTATTGCGTTCCTCTATAAGTATGACCATCGCCAGTGATGCCTGCTGTTTCTTTTTCATCGACATCTGTTTCTCTTCTTGTATCAATTTATCCTGAGCCAAGGACAGCCGCACTAGTGGTTCCAACAATGCCTTCCGAACGTGCTGAGCTGTATCCCTAATACGGTCTGGAACACCTTCTCCAAGCTCGAGCTCCTCTAACTCCTGTTTGAAGGCAAAATTGATGAGCAATAAAATACCAATGAGATGGGTATTGACATTCTAATCAGCAGTTCTGCATAAGGATTTCCAAAGCGAGAACTGATTTGTAAAAAAAGATGGCTTACACACCAGGAAAAGGCCATCGATTGAAGAACGATCCCAAAGACTTGGATGCCTTTGCATTATTCGTTCCAATGCTTGCAAGGGCCTCACGGTGGAGATGTCACCCTCTATTGTCATGGAATCATCTTGGTTAGAAGACTGATCACTATATTCATACCGAGCAGCGTTCCTTGTTTCCTCCATCAGATCTCCTCCGAAAACACGGTCACACAGCTACCTATCTGACCGCTACTCCCTGATGTCCACGCCCACTTTTATCCTCACAAACGAAGCTCGAAGGCAGAGGCTCTCAGCTTCCCGCACAAACGACCCTCTTCGCGCCGACCCAAGACGACAACTTCAAGGATTCTCGAGTAGTGACCGCCCTGAATTCTCTGCTCCGGGATCATACTCTTCATGGAACACAGCTCCCAAGTCCACTGCAAAAACTTAAAATCATGGTACTAATATGTGAGAGAACTTGAATCGACCGCTTAAAATCACGACTTATCTGCCCAACTACCTTTGACTTCTTGTAGCACTCTCGATGACTTCGCAACAGCTCGCTTCCGCCAATTTCCACGGCTGGAAACGCATTCATGCTTCAACATTTTGACTTGATTGGTCACGCCATACGTCCCCTTATTCATGATGTGATAAATGAAATGTGCGAAAATCCTCTAAAAGTGGTGAAATTCAGATCGAAATGTCAACGTACTTAATTCGATGGTGTTTCTCTCTGACGATTCCAGTTTGCAATTAGACGAGTAACTTCTCAATTTACATTAAGCTTTGCAGTCGTTGCAGAAACCGCCGGAACCAGAAGAGAGAAGCCACGAGGGATACGAGGAACTAACGCACACTCTTGGCCAACATAGACTCCAGACTCGAGACCAGATTCTCGACAATCTCCACATCAGCTTCAAAACACAACCCTCTCCCTCTCCGCCACCTCGTCCTCTCACAACAAGACCCTCCGCATACAGAAATTGCAGTGACCGTTCGAATTCAAATCCGATAAGATTCTCTGAAACACGAGCGAGAACTCCTCGGACACAAGGCGGTCCCTGATCGCAGCCACTTGTCTCGTTACCTATCTCCAAGTAAAAGCATCACGTCCTCGTCGCTTTCAAATCTTTCTTCGAGGCGAACAACGTCTCAAGTCTATCCAGCGGAACGGCCGGTCCTCAAGCAATTTGAATTCAATCTCGCTGATGGAGAATCTCACAAATCTCAACACCGCTGCAGAAACGAACAACTCCTCCTCCCCCTCCCTTCTGGAAAGCGCTCACAACGAAACAATCACCACCTTCGTCGACCATCCACGTCTGCCTGGCTCGTGGGAACGCGCAAAGAACCCTAGATGTAGCCCCTGATCGGTTATATGTCGCGACCATCTTCTCCCCCCGATCCAACGACTGACAAGGATTTTTTGCGGATAAATTCTGCCCTGGTCTATCCGGATTCCGCCTGAACATTCTGCTGCAAGTCATCCAAATTTACTTTATCTCCCCGCGAAAATAGTCACAAGAAAGTTATGACACCAATGGCAAGGGAGGATACGAGCCAATCCGTGAGCTCCATGTGGCAGGTAGAGCCTGACTTCCACTTCACCTTCCACCTTGACGTGTAAAGCAAAGCAGATAAGGAAATAAGATCGAACCTACTTTTCTGCTGGGTTCTTCTGTCTTGATCCCGATCGATAGTACGACACGATGTGTGCTGGTTTTGCTTTATAATTTGTAAACAAGTGGCAAAGACCCAAAGCTACAAGGCCATAAAAGCAAATCATTTTCTGATTTATCAGCGTATCTATTGCGCATAATGTGGGTGTTTCTCCAAGGGTGTTGATCGACTTGCGCTATGATTATAATTGTGGAATTGCTATGATGATGTGTTAGGGGTTTCAAATTTTAGTCCAGAACACTCTTTTAATCTTCTGGAAAGGCTTGCCAGAATTGCAAAAGTGGTCCACATAAAGGGGGACGTGGAAGGTTTCCACGAAGTATCAGTCCATACCCATACGGATCGTTTGGTTTCCAATAATGTGTTATAGATTTCGTAACATGATGCACATGATTGATACACATGGGTAATAAATCCTTACAGAACTTTACAATGTGGGAGGAAAGAGTTTTCAACACTAATCATATCAACCCATGAGGGCCACACATTCATAAAACTGTAACTTCTCTAATCGGCAGAACACTCTATATAAACTGCGACACCATCAGCTATTTATAAGTATATTCATCCACATCTCTCCAAGTGTTCATACTATTCGTTTAAGTTTGATGTATATGTATTTACAATGCTGTTGTTTTCGATACACAACTTTAAATCTAAAAGAATCTAATGTTTCAATGAAGAGACTCCTAATAGAATACAAAGGAAATCAAATTTTAAATAAACGCGAGTTAGAAATAAATTCTCTCCTATGACTGTTTCACAATTCTGCTGATACATCAGCCTAATATGCAGTTTTCATTCAAATACACTCAAGAATAAACATAGAATAGATTACTACTACCAAATAACCCATGTTATTATCACTTGGAAAACTATGTCAGGTGATGACTAACTTACAATAGGTAGGAGACGTTACTTCCATTAGATATTTGAAACTCCTATTCACTCCTCATCATGAACAATACGGTATTGAATATAAACACTTTAATATCCAGCAAATAGCTGCTATCAAAGCTCATAACATAAGTTAACGCAAAATAATGGTTTGATTCCTTATGTTCTCTCTCATTCTTCTTTGGCAACTACAGCTTAAAATGAAGCTACTTAGTTCTTACATGCATCAAAAGATCTAATCGGATGGTTAGATCTTTGCAAATGCAGGTTTCTTGACATCTTTATCTGATATTCAATCTAATAGACCAATTTCAGTATATTTATCCGTGAAGATATCGATGAAACGAATTGTGATAATGGAATCCAAAGTTAATGATATGCTTAACAATATAGGAACTAGTCATCACAACATCCAAACCAACAAACATTTGAAATTTTCTTTAGATTAAATCTACAATTCAATGTTTCAAGGTACCTTTAACTTATATTCGCAAGTAAGATTGTTGTCATTTCATATGAATCATAATATGATTTCAGAAAAAATATAAAAGAAAAGAATAAATTAGAATTGATTAAAGTTCTTAATCATCACAGTTATAAACATCATATTTAATATATAAAGCAACAAAACTTGAGTTTTTTAACAATTTTATTATTTGATTTTAAAATAACTTTTAGCTATGATGTGACTTATTGAACTGTCAGAACAAAAACTCAAGATTATCATTAATTATACACAATAAGTAAAGTGTAGAATTTGTAAATGCTAGAAAGAAAACTATTAGAAAGTAAATAATGCATATTTTAACTACAATCTTCATTAAAACTCACTGCTTATTTTGTATGATGTATTAAAAGTCGTTTCATCCATGCGGTGACAAATAAATACTCTATCCATTGTAATAAAATTATGAAAGTTTTAAGATTCCTTCGTGCAAATTTAAACAATATATGCATCCTGATGAACATTAATATTTTTACTTTTCCATGCGTATGTATCAAGATTTTTATTGCCTACAGTTTTCTATTATATAAAGTTTGAAAAAACTATATATATGCATAGAGCAATTGAAATTTTATTAATGATTAAAAATTCAAATGATTAAAAATATAGTAGATACAAAAAAATAAAAAAATGTCATATTGAAAAATATAATCTTTGTATTTTTTACAGATTTATTTTTTATTAAATTACAACATTTATTTGCACTCAATATCACACGTATTAAGTTCAATCAAACTTTTCCGGTTAAGAATATTACGGTTTAATAGCTCAATAATTGCACAATACAACATAACATTTTTTTAGATATGCAACTATATAAATTTTCTTTTATAAAATTCAATTTCTAATGTTAATTTTTATCTCATCATGTTTAAATTTTTGATTGCATTTATATATTTTCTTATTATGAATCAAATAAATTTATTTACATCATAGTTTTAATATTCTATTTATGACTTTTAAAGCAAAAACACTGATTTTTTAACTAACATTAGAAAACTTTGAGTTACTTGTCATTTGCCACTTGTAATTATGCAAGCTTTCCACATACATCTGAGGTGCACTCACACATGGCACACACACAATGATACTGAACATAAGTAGTTTGACAATATGGAATAATTTCATGGCATGGTCAACTATAAACACTAGTTTCATCTATATATTTAATATATTACATTTGATACAAATGGCATAAATCTAGTTACGTAAGGAAAAAGAGTAGAAAGTCCGAACACATTATATAATGAATGAAGATTTACCAGACTACTCTTTTCAAATCTCCTTTAATCTCTATTCCAAGTCAGGATTCAAGACAATTATAATCATGGTAACCGTGGTAAAGTAAGCATGTGTATCACCATCTAAACACACAGTAAACATGATGACTGTAATGAACAATGGGATTCTTGTATCGCTCCAACTCCAAACACCAGTTATCGAATTAACACAAAATTCAAAATTGATAATGAAATCTAGTTATAGTATGTATAGAAGGTGAACCTCTAGTATAGAAAGCACTTTTGTCATGGACCGCAAGCAGGCATCCCGCGTCTTCTCCACATGAAAACTTTAAACAAATCTCATTTAGGATAGAAATCTAACAACGGCAAGACATATCACTAGAATTTGATATATTTCAGCGTGGTTGAAGTAGCACTTCTTGGCAATTTTACGACTGATGTCATAATTTTACAAGCATGATATTAAATCAATATACTTGTGAATTCTTGTATAGAGATAGTTTCATCAGCTTTATAAATTGGAGTTAAACTTAAAGTGAATATATCATAAGTCCATGGTTGATTTTCAATAAAATATACTCACCAAACATTTATAAAACTATATTTTAAATAAGTAATTATATCAATTTCTAAAATAATGGATATTTTGAAATCTTGATTGAATTTTCTTTTCAAATACTGCAAATTTATGATAATGTTAGAAAAAAACAATTGATCATACATAATTATGCTTGATATATGATTTTAAGACCAAAAACACAATAACATAAAATTGAAAATCATATCAAATTTTCATTTAAAAAAATATTGTTCAAATTTTTTTTCCTTGGCTATATCAATTGAATTTGATGATTGATTTAGTAAAAATCAATATCAAACCATCAGATCTGTTTAATGATGAAATAAAATTTGATATCAATTTTTCATAATTAATTTTTATAGATTAATAATATTTACTTATTTCATTGTAAATTTTATAGTAAATTATGTTATTATATGTAGATTTTATTTCTATATCTGTTGAATATAAATAATAAAAATCTTGAATTAATATATGCATGGCTATAAATAACACTGAAAATTAAAATAAATCAAGATTGATTCATAAAAAATGTTCTAAAAGTGATTCAATAAATAATTTAAACGATAAAACTAGTAAAGAAATTAGTTTGATGTTACTTTCCTACATTTAAAAAAATAAATCTTTAAATGATAAATTTCATATAATGATGCAATATTATATAATATTATGTTAGATTGCATTATAAAAAAATCGATTTTTCTTTTATAAATCATTAAGAAGATGAACATTATAAAAATAGAATTGAAATAATGAATGTTAAAATGTGTAAATGTACATCATCATGATTATTTACTTATTGAACAATTTGATAAATGTTTGATATTTACTATTTTATTGTTTTAATCGAACTTTTAAATGAATTAGTTTCTAATCATTGTTGTTATTCGTATTATCATTGATCTTGAACATCATTCATTTATATCCACAAAATAATAAATAAAATATCAAATTCACGTTGAATAGTTTAAACAAAAATCTCTATGGGGCTAGGGCCTACTTTTGCCCCATTTCTGGTTGCATTTGTGTCAACTTACAACAGTAACAAATAAAACGCGATATATTATCAATATGTGCTAAAGTTATCGAGAGGTTGCATGATCTGTGCGCGGTATTTTTTTTCCTTATGCGAAAGTTATGGGGAGGTTGCATGATCCAAACTATTTCTCACCGTGGTATTATGGTTCTACCGGTATATGAAATTTGAACTTTGAGATAAAATTTAAATAAAAATTATAAATATAGTAATTAAAAAAACCAATGCCATAAATATTCAAAATTATGTTATTAGACATTGATTTTATTCATATATAATAATAATCATAATAATAAATATTTTTAACAAATATTATAAAATGGAAAAATCATGTGATAAATGAGATTAAGAAATGAAATAAAAAACAAAAAATTGAAATTAATTCTTATATATATTATGAACACTTATTTTTACTTATATAGATTCTTGTATTACTTATATAGAAAAAAAATTCTACAAGTATAAAGTAGCTCTTTTTATTTTTTGTTTGAAGACTTTTTAAAAAAATTTCTGAAACATTTTAATAATATTTTTAACAATTTAGAAAATTTTTATTTTGTGTTCTGAAATATGACTGCATATTAAAAGCATGTTAAGAATTTTAATTTTGATTAAATCATGTTATTTTCAATTTTAAAAATTGTATTATAATGAAGTTAATTTCTTTACAAAAATTATCATCTACATTATAATTATTATTATATTATCATCAATAATTTTGTTAGTGCATGATGAACAATAGATTAACGATTATTCTAATTGGTGTGCATCAGAATGTTCAAACATACTGTGTTTGATAATTGAATTTGTTGTTTTGTTTAGTTTTTATTAGTCAAGTAAAGAAAGTTTTTGTGGGCAGTGAAAATCTATGTAACAAAAGTTATAGAATTTTTGGAGTTCATTACTTCTTTGACCAAGTAACATATTTCATGATCATTGTTCTTTCAAATGAAATTTGTGGCAATAAATTGAATTTAAATTTTTTTTGAAATTCATATGCTCTAGCAATTTCATCTTCAAACATATTTTAATATATTTTTAATAACAAAAGTGGATCCATATCAATCAACAAATTTGGATAAAAGAAAGAAGTTGGGAAGTCTCGATAATATTTTTGTAGTTTTTTTAATTGCATATTTGTGTGTGGCAAAATAAATTAAAACTATAATTATTTTTTTTGAAATTGAAAGATGTTAATAAAAATAAAATACAAGTAATAAAATATTACAAATTATTTTAGTTTATAACTTCAAACTCTTAATACTACAAATCTAGATTTTAAAGATTTGTCTCTAGAATAAAAAAATAGTAGAATGATTTTTTAGAAAAAAATTTAATTAGATCAATGTTATACTCAAAATAAATCAACATAGTTTAAATTTACTTCACAAAATTTTAAAATTTTTTATATGAATGAAAAAAAAATTATCCTGTTTGACAACTGATCATAGTACACAAACTTCAAGATATAGACAAGACAAAATGTTACCAATAAACACTAAGATGCTAGGCTTGTTACAGTCAACAAGAAGAATGATGATAATTTTCTATGAAAAGCTAGTCAAAGGTAACATAAAGTTCATAAATATTGAAACCTTCATTTTTATTTTATTTTTTTTAACTCAAAGACTTACATTTTTTTAAATTCATGATGTGAATATTGTTTTGTTACATTACAAGTTTTGATTTTGAATATTATGATTGAATATGATGATTGTATTTTGTAAGATGTTTGAGTGATATTGTGATTGCAAGAAAATTTTGAACATGGTCTATAGTTGTTTGAAGCTAATGAATTTTAGAATGCAAGATTTTTGAACAAAAATTAACATCATATTGATGATGATATAATAAATATTCAAAAACTTAAAGTAGAAATGTATGATAAGAATAATATATTTCAACTCTTAATCTCATTATTTGTTTTGTATAAATTATTGTCACAAATATTTTTTTACTGTGATAATTAAAAATCACATTTGTGTGATTGTCTTTATAATTGATTTGTTTATCAATAATGAATAACAAAGAATGATGATGTCATCTGCTAAGTAGTCTTCATCCATTATGACATTAAATGTGAGTAAAAAATCATCAGATTTCTACTTAATGATAAAAATTTGGATTTAAAGATAGATTTAAGTTTATAAATTTATCCTAAGACAAATAAAATGACAGTTTGTGGAAAATGTGATAAAATATCATTATTAAAATATTTTTGTTGGGAAAGATGTTTGTATTTTGTATATTCTTTTAACCCATGTGATTGATAAATTTGATGTTGAGAAGATTGACTTGTTCAATTATGAAGTTAGATATATATCAAGCGATACGTTTGATACATGATATTTAGATATTTTTTTTATTATATCTGTTGCAACGAATAATTTTTTCAATATTCTATATTATGTAAAAAAATTGTGCATCAAGTCGTAAAAGTTGTTATACGATACATCAGGTCTATAGGATGGGATTGGAGTGCAGGAGGACCAGTATCCAAATGAGATACACTCTTGGGAAGGTGACTTTTGGTAACGTGATGGCCATAGATTTCTCATCGTCTGGCACCATTTTAGGCTACTAATATGAGGCAGGTATTACATTCGCCCTTGGGGGCCATCCCATCGAATGAACGATTCATCGAATCCCTCAAGAGAGAACAGAAAACAAAGCGTAACCGGAACAGACGGTGAACGGCGAACGAACATTGACTAGGATTAAAAGAGGAGAATGTGGGCCATTGAGAGAGGTTAGCGCATGGCAGTCGACGTCAAGGCTACGGGAGTGTAACGTGACGATTCGATGTGATCCTCCTCGTCTACGATCCCATCCATCCCACCGGCTTTCATGGCTCCCAAATTACGAATGAAATTCCGATTAGCCTCTTCATGTCCATCCGGGTCAAAGTCAAGCATGGGAACAAATGAAAACAAATACTTACAGTGGAGATGGTCTTAACATGTAAAAAGGAATTCTTCATCTGTCAAAAAAAGACAAAACCTGGTATTCGGTGAACCCATGTAGGAAACAAGTGGAACAGATGGGCGGGCAAAGAACTACTTAACAAATGTGGAATCATGTCGGATGGAGTCAATAAGCTGTAGCACAAGAATTTCCTCCTTCGAACCAAACGAAAAAGCCAAAGGAATCAGAAACAGACACCAATCCTGAGTCGCTGGCGTTCGGGAACCACGAAATTCAAACAAAAAGCGTGGATCCTTGTTAATTGAGCCTCAAGCGAGCGAGTACGCGGTGACACATAGTCGCTGCTAGAGAGAGCTTGCGCAAGGAGTCATGCCAGAGGAGAGCGCTGGCCAGGAGGACATCCCATGGGGATGCCCGGTGGTTGTCGTATAACTTCGGCGCAAAGGAATGGCACGGCCACGGAGCGACGGATGGTGGTCTGATCCGAGCCTTCATCGCCTAAGGACCAGACCGACCAGCGGATGACGGCTTATAAGTGGGGCTCAAGCACGTGAAATAATGCCCACCTGAAATATCCCTGCTCCAGGAATATGCCTGAGCATTCGGTCAGTCGAGTCCGTCCGTAGCTGGCCAGCCGTCTTCGACTCCTTTTGTTCCCTGGAAAAGCAAGAGATCGATGACCTAATTACGTAGAGCGCAATATATAAAACATATCCACAGCCATTGTCCGGTTCCGATCCTTCGTCTCTTCTTAAGTATCGTCGACTGGCCCTCTCGCAAGCTTATCGGCACTGTTCTCATATAATATAATAGTCGCCCCACGGAAACGGTTATATTTTGCAGGGGGGCTCGCATGGACGAAAAAAAGAGAAATAAAATCACTTTACCTGCGATCAAAGTGCGATGTGCATGTCCGTGGCAGCGTAAGCTGAGCAATGAATGTAGCCACCGCGTATGCGAAGCACTTTCTTTGCTTGGCAAGGGGCGAGCACCATTCTACATAGGAACGCCACTCCCTTCCTTTGTGCCGAAACTAGTGACTGTAAAAATCCGTGGATCTTCTGTTGAAGATTTCTATGATTCCCAAAGTAAGAGAAGACTCGTTTCGCTGAGTTCATGCCTCATTCGGCGTCATCATAGAAAGCTTGATAATACTAAGCAAAAGGTGACCCACGGTAGAAGAAGTTGCGCCATGACGAGAGAAACTCCTGCCTAGTCTAGCAAACGTGTAGCAAGTCGGGAGGGAGGCCTCATGAACGACAACGAACGCCAAACCGAAAGTGCAAAAGCAGATTGACCGATGCCCGATGATCATGGACGGATTCACGTCGATGGCCTGGCTGCTAAGACCGGAATCGAATACCGAAAGGGGGCTGCAAGATTTGCGATGATGACATGAGATATGTCAAGACATTCTCCTCTCAGCTTCGGTGCGTGCATGATTGGGTGGGTTGGTTGGTTTAAGTGATGAAATCCCAGCGGCTCCATCTGAGACGTCGGTTGTAGTACAGCGGTTAGTGAGCACGGAATCGAGGAAGAGGGGACGAGGGCATCGAATCCCCCCTCGCGGATGGAGAGACGGAGCTGAAGGGGACGAGGACAGATGGAGGGGAGGGGGCGGGGGGATACACGTAACCGTAGCAACAGTTTGGGTGCTCGTTGAACGAACGAGCGATATGATATAGTGAGAGAGATAGATACCGCCTCAAGGGGCGGCCCGAATTCCGAAGTTCCAAGTGGGGACACCTTGCACGTGTCCCGAGGGACGTAACCGGCTGTAGCCAGTATCTCAAAATCCGCAACCCGCTCTTGAAGGCGCGGCGGTCCGATGCGCTGGAGCCTGGAGATCCGACGGATGCAGTACGAAGTGGTTGATTGAACGTGGTGGTCGATCAACTGAAACGGCGGGTGATGACGCTGACCTCAGCAGGCACCACCTGCTCTGCTCTCTCTCCTCTCGTCACCTCTGCTCTTTTATGGGCCTGTTGGTGGTGCAAGGCGAGCGAGTGCGCCCATCATCCAGCAGCAGCAGCAGCAGCAGCAGCCGCAGGTCCGGCCAGAGCAGCAGCAGCAGAACTGATTCTCGGATCAGACACAGCAGAGCCCAGCAGAGAAGGAAGAATGGAGTTCAGAGCTCAGAGCTCAGAGCGCAGAGGCCGAACGAACCGAAGTCGATATTAGAAGTAACAGGGGAGGGGGCGGTGCGCTCAGAATCTACTGATCTGGCATTCTCGTTAAGGGATGATCGGGAACTGGGACGACGTGGTGGATGGTGGCGAGCGCCTGATCTGGCTTCGTGCCGAGTCCTGAGGGGGGGTCTTGTTGTCGGAGCGAGAGAGAGAGGGGGGAGGGGATTGCTGCTGTCGTTGCGTCGTGGAAGACGGGGGGAGGGGGCGGGTGCGGGGGCGGAGCGGGGAGTTCCTGCCATTTGGGGGCTCCTGGTGCATGGAGGAGGGGCGAAGCTTATTTGTTACGGACCGCTGTTGGTGTAGGGAGGTTCTTGTTGTTTCTGGTGCCAATGTGGAGGATCGGGGAGTGATGGGGGAGATGGGAGAGGGGAAGAGAGAGAAACGAGGGACAGCAGACACGGGGAACGAGACGCACTACCGATGATGGAGTTGATTTGAGCCCGAGGCGGTGGCCGGTGGAGGAGAGCAATTGACGGGAAGGGAAGGGAGGCAGGACGGAGGTGGACGACGAGCTTGGAGAGACGGGGCGAATGGAAACGAACCGAGATCGATTGGAGCAATCTGCTTGGAAGCATGCAGGGAGAGAATGAGAATCGGACACCTAGATCGAGAGAGTGAGATAGCGAGCGGCAGTGCAGTGCAGTCCAGTTCAGTTCAGCTCGGCTCAGCTCAGCTTTGCTCTGCTCTTCTATTATCGTGGGACCTTGGCTGGGCCACCAACTGGACTGGATTGACTACGAAGCGAATGATCTGACGAATCTGCCTGCTGCTAGCTCGTAAGACTTGCTCCGACGATGATGCTGATGATATGATGGATGGATGGATGGATGGTTGGTTGGATGGATGATGCCTTCTAGGCCTTGTGCAGAGAGTGTGGGTGGGTTTTGATCGGTGCCGGTTGTAAATTACTACCTTTACCCTGCTGCTGCTGCTCTCCTTCGCAGAGAGTGCAGCCAAATTCTTCGAGGAAGCAAGGGCCTGCCGCATAGCTGCCTGCCCGATCGGGTTAAGTCGTAGAGAAGAGATACATATCCTCAGAACTGACGAGGCCATGATCATGCGTATGCGAATATGAAGTGAACAGAAGCCTGTACAGAAGTGAAGAGAAGGGGAGAGAAGAGAAGAGAAGAGAAGAATTTTGATGAAGGGAATTTCAGCACTGCGTCAGTAGCTTTTCCTCCCTTTCTCCCCTCTTCTCCCTCTGTTCCACTTCTTCAGCCCGAGCCCGTAGTTACCACTCATGTACAGTCGGTCACATTCGTTCAAAGGTGTTAAGCTAACGCTCCAACTGTGCCTGCCTGTTCGTCCATCGTCACTGTCTGTCTGTCTGTCTGTCATCCTTCCATCGGGCGGGCCCTAGTTTTGATACCAGGGGTTTCATTTCGGGACTCGATCGAAGGACTGTGCCCGAGCGGATGAGGATGATTCATGTATTCTCTTGGGGTCTGAATTGAATTGCATCCTGCAGGCGCTAATAGTGATCATGTGCTGATTTCGCTCTGCAGGGTCGACCAAGTCGCCGAAGACGGCCTGGAGAGGAGAGAATTTGCGATTTCAGCTCTCGTCCGCACCGTCATTCGAAGAGTGTGGACTGGATTCGTCGCTGTATGGAGAGGGAATACCTTTTCTCACGCCGCGTGAATCCATACCTCCGTCGCTCAGGAAGACGTCGAGCACGGCCTCGACCAGTCCCGCCGAGCCGCTGCTTCCGCGAACATTGTCCATGCCTGGCATGACGAATGAAGCCTCCAGGCCTGAGACGTATGTCGATGAAGCCGGAATACTGTCCTTCAGCCAGAGGCAGGAGAATCTCGAGGCCGACACAACCAAGTACTACGAACTGATGCACGATTTTGAGCCGCATTCGTCCTTGCACCACCACGGGCACGTCAAGAGGAAAGCAGCTCCAAAAGCCTCGCATCTCTCGAGCGCAATGGTTGCAGACGATGGGACGGGAGAGAATCTTATGGCATTCCTCGCAGGCATGCCAGCAGGCGATGAGGATTCGGTAATCCTCAACAACAGCCGCTTCAGGGACCCCGCCGTGCGCCAGAGGAGCTCGGCGTTGAAGCACTCGTCGTCGTCGTCGTCGTCGGGGGCGGCGAGTGCGCACCACCACCACCACCACCACCATTCGAAGAGCGTCCATGCTTCCGCGGAGGGCGATCACAATCGATCACTCGCCCAGGGGGAGCACAGGCCAATTCTGAGAGCGATCGCCGAAGAGCGCGAGGGCCAGCAGCAGCAGCAGCAGCAGCCACAGGAGGAAGTGGCTTCTTATCTGGCTGGCAAGTCCATGGCAGAGGTGTACGCTCACCTCAAGTCCAAAGCGAGCGTCTCGGAAATTGAAGAAGTGCCGGACGAGGCAGGCAATCCCAAGCCTCCTCCGAAATCGGTGCCACACCATCACCGCTCCGGGAGAGAGGTCCTGGTGGACCCTGCGTCGAGCTCAGCTGCAGCAGCTGAAGCAACGACATCGAACGCGGCGAAGGAGGGCAAGAGTGCCAACAAGCCGCCGTCGGGGCGCCCTGCGCTGAGCCCTCGGATTGCGCGGCAGGAGTCGGCCGATTCGCAAGCCGATCTGCAGGCCGGAGGCTCGTCCGAGGCGCGCAAGCGATGGCGGCGTGTCAGCAACACGCTCACCTTCGCTCGACGCTTGTCGAGCGTGCGAGACTCGGCCAGCGATTTTCTGGAGCACACGAGCCCGGACCCTCTGGCGGTCGATTTCCATGTGCGCAGCGATGCTGGTCGCGCCGGCGCCGCGGCCTTCGAAGGCGCCCGGACCCGCGCGCTCGGGGGCCGCGCCCGCGCCAAGGGCCGTCAAGGCATGGAGGGCATGCTCGTGCAGCAAGACAAAGGCGTCGTCGCCCTCGTCAAAGACTTCTACGTGGCCTGTTTGAAGGTAGGCGGCGGCGATGGTGTTGCGCTCCGTTCCTTGCTGTCATTGTTGTTGTTCTCTCGTGTCTGATGCCTCGCCCGCCCATGGATTCGTGTCCGAACAGATGCCCATGGCGCATTTTTTGGTTGGATTATTTCTTGCACCGATCGCTCTGGGCTTGGTGTTCACTCCGCTCTACCTCTTCGACAAGGCGGGGCTGGAAGTCGATGGCCGCCCGCTCACCGAGGACACACCGATCGTCGGTCGAGTGGCAGCTGCGAAACAAAAGGTTTCGGCGCTTTTGAATGTATTTCTATATGCGTAAGTTTCCCGACTCGTTGCTCTATGCTTTCTCGCTTGCCTCGACCTTTTGTACTCCGTCTCTCCTACAAGTGTTTCTATATGGTTTTGGGCCTATTATTTTTGTCTCAATTCCTTATTTTCAATCTAACAATGTTTCAACCTATAAGATTATATTCCAATCTAGGTGATTAGTTTTTCCCCGTACCCCATCCATCGTCTACTGGATTGCCTGACAGGCATGGACTGATGGGCCGCACTCTGGCGATGTTGTCGTGCAGTCTCTCACTAATTACTTCCTATGGGGGTTCCCCTGTTAATGCCACTTCGCCCTACTGCCTCGTCGTTGCTAATGTCAACACTCTGATGGGCAATTTTTTATTTGTGTTCCTCAGCGGAGCAGGTAATGTACGTTCAGGCTTCAGCTACTTTGTATGTCTGTCTGTATAAATTGGCGCATGAAGCCGCAGACGAAAGTCCCGTGCGGTGCTGGCATGTCCACATTGTAGTGCGAGATTGTGTCGGGTCTGGCAAGATGGGCTTACATGTTGCTCGGATTGTTGCTCGTTCAGTTTTTGCACGCATGTCACAACCGTCACATCCAGTGCGATGTTCAAAGAAAGCTATAATTCGGATCGATGATTTCTCCATACCTCTGGACGAACTCAAGGAGAAATTCAGGTGAGCTGTCTGTTGAAACGCGAAGGAACGCACTTTGGGGGTTTGTTTCGGCTGTGTAATTCATACAGTCGCCATCAATCATCAATCGTGCACTCAAATTTGGAAATGGTGTCGATTGGGGCTGCAGGGTTTTTGCTGTGAGGTTGGTCCTGACCGGGCCGCCTCCGTGCGAGCTGGTGGGTGCGAAAATATGTCTGACTTTCCGAATCTTTATCAAACTTCCGTCGGGGTCGATGTTCTGCACCACACAAGACTTGGAACTTGTTCGACCCGAGGTAAACAACTCGCGCCCTCCTCACCTTTCATCCGTCAGTCAGATCCAAAGATTATATTGTGGGGTATGAGAAGGCTCGGGCTCTTGCCATGGCTGGAGACGGTTCTGACGGTGGTGGTTCTCTGTCGAACAGGTGCCTTACCTCCGATACGGAATCATGGTTCGGCATATCATCGATAAAAGAAGTCCTCTCTACGGACATTCTATGGAGTCCCTCTCAGATGGGGACGCTTCATTCTCGCTGACCATTTCGGGGCAGGAGAGAACCTCGATGCAGCCTATTTTTCACTTGGAGGTGAGCTCTGGGGCTGGACTTGAAAACTGTGGCTGCAAGTTGTATTTTGGCTGGCAGCTTGTCGTTCTACATGCACGCACGCACGCACATCAGGTCGTTGAGTGAGAAACTGAGACGTCGAGGCGCATGTGGATGATGATAATGTTGGGCAGGACTATTTTGTGTGCGATGGGGACGTGGCCTGGGACGGTGATTACGTCGATTTCATTCACATCAATACCGAAGGCCAGAGGGTTCTTGACCATTCGAAGATCGACGAAATACACGTCTCCAAGGTTGGTAATCTCTGCCTTGCTTGCGAGAACCTCATCGCATGTCGCGTTTCATGCAAAGCGGTTTGCGCCCCATGTCCTGATGCATGTCTCCACGTTCAGGAAACCAAGTTTGGCTGCGGAGGTACTCCCCAACCACAGAAGAGCCCCGAGAGGGAGAGAGAGAAGGAGAAAGAGAAAGCCAAGGATGCGACGAAGGGATGGTCGGCGAGTGCACTTCGTGGGCGCAAAATATGGAGCTCGAAATCAACTTCATTCACGCGAGCAGATTGGTGACAAGGCTGACGCTCCATTCGGCACGAGCTCCAGCCCGTAGATTGGCGATCGGGGGCTAAATCAGGCATCGTGGTTATGTAGCATCCCCCAGCTATAGAAGCCCGACCATTTTTCTATCCACGAACTGCTGTGAAAAATGAGTGTAAATTTTCTTAATCTATACATGTACAATCAATCAAGCGCAGACTCTCTCTGCAAATTTTGAATGATAAAAGCCGAATCGACTTCCCTAGTCTTAGGTCCAGTAGACATGAACCTCCTCCAGCTACTTCTCCCGCGAGCTGCCGCGACCTGTGTCTGATGGCGCCGTGGTTCAGACCAGAGAGAGGGAGAGAGAGTTCTCTCGGAGGCTCATCAATCAGCAGTAGGGAGCAGAAGTGCCTCTTCATTCCTGTCTCATGTGAAATGTTTGTGTAAGCTCGAAGAGTTTAAAGGGAGCACAAGCCGGATTATACGGCAGGCTTCACTCTACCACATTGGCACGAGTAATACTCTGCTGGCTATGTCTACGAGTTCTGTACACGTTACTTTTTCAGTGTTCTATTCTTGGTGTGGAATTGTGACTGTCACTGATTCAAAGCTGTCGGGTGGGGTAGAGTAGCACCTCCGAGGCAGCTCTTGGGCCTCAAGTGTCCAGAAGAGTACACACTTCACTTCAGTTTCACTTCAAGGACTCTGTCAGAGAATCGGACATTTTCTGTACCTTATTGCCGATGAAACCAACACTACAGTACATCGGCTGTCGTAAATGCATGGGCCATCCGACTCTGGTTCATACTTTGTCTGTCCTTCGTCACGGCCAGAACTAATAAACCGAACTTCTGCTTTTTCTGAACCTAGTGAACTTTGTAAAAGCACGGTTCGTTTACGTAACGTGTGTTGAAATGGCGCGAATGTAAGGGTGGATCTGTCACTCCGTGCCTGGCAGAAAGACATAAAATGTGCACATCAAATGCCAGACCTTCACAGATTTGTCAGCTCCCTCTTTACATATGTGAAGTACACATGTTGATACACTTTCGAATTTTTTGCAATAAATATTGCAGACTTTCACTACACCAATTTATAGTTTTTATTAACCAACTATGTAGAAGCTTTCAAGTGCAAGCTTTCGCAATAAAATAACACCCTAAATCTGAGCACAGTAGCAGGTTACTCGGGATTGGGCATGTAGCAAGCTACAGATGTTGCTAAAAACTGTCATAAGTTATGAATCCAGGGATAGTAGGAATTTTGGATAAGTAGAAAAACGTTGGGAATCGGAATATTATTATGGGAAATCTCAGCGTTCGTAAAAGGATCTCAAGTTGCTCGTTAGTAGATAAGAGAAAAGGTTTTGTTTTGCTCTTGTAAAACCCTAAAATTATTCTTCATTCCATATTATTCCCTCTTACACGCAGTAATATCACATCCACATCACTTGATATGGTTCAAATCTTGACTCACTAAATCATCGGAATGGGATATAGAAATCCACAAGACCTTTGGAGAAACTACACATATTTACATGTTTTTATATTACATAAACATATTGTTTAAATGTTACATTAAGTTAAATTGTAAAATAAGGATACTGTACCTCCCCGTCTACTATGATTTTGTTATTAAATTCTCGATCATCTTGAAGTCAACTTTCATAGTTTCATTTAGTCTCCAATCTATTGAAACAAATTGATTATCTTTGTTTGAACCTTTATGCTTGTTTTTTTCCACTTGCCGATCATCCAAAAGATAATTGATCACTCGTCCAAACTACATTAGATGTAGTATCTGCGTCACCATGTTTGTCATAGAAAACACTCAAATATGAGTTTGCAGTAACCTAATCGCAATTAATAAAATGAGATATCCACGCTTAGACCATTTGAACAATATGTTTATGTAATATAAAAACAACTCTATCTTATTATGTAGAGTTCTTGATGCTGAAATCTTTAAGACGATAATCAAATTTAGTACTATATCATTGTTTGGAAAACATTTGAAATAGATAAATGTGGTATTTAAGGTGTTCGCGTGAAATACCATTGGTATGTAGCCCATATTATCTATTTGGTTATCCCACACCCGTTTAATACTTCCGTCCTTTTCATGGTAAATTGTAATTCGATGCAGTTAATGTTCTATTTTTTTTTCCTCTAACCTACTGCGTCTGTTGGAGTGTAATTTGGCATCACTTCATTTGATCTTGGACTCGGGATCTTACGCTTGGGCTCATGTAAACATGCTCATGGATGGCAGGCTGGGAGAATTTCAATTCCTCTTATCAGGAGATTAGCGCAGAATAGTGGGTGTATGCTACTTTGTGATAGGTATGAGTATCTGGAAGTTTCAAAGTTATAGGTGAGTGGTTGATGTACAACTATTATTTGGGTCAGCCGCAGTTTATATTTGTATCTCAAGAGGTGAGATTAAAATATGGAGGTAAAGTGATATATTTTGTATTCCCATTTTTCTCACTTGATGATCTTAAAATTTGTCTTCTGTATCTATTCTGCTTAAGTTAACTTAGTTGTTATATGCCATAGTGATTGTTAGAAACTGGACCAAGATGAGATCGAGGTTGCGTGTACAATCAAGTTTGTTTCCATTTTTAAATGTGGAGATTAACTTACAGATGAGGGAGCTGCTAGTTTGCCTCCACTTAGGGTTCATTAGTCCTCACTCTACTGTTAATTAATCCTCAGATCCATTCTCTTATTGGTCGGTGCAAGGTAGTAGGGAAGCAGTAGCAACTATAGGATATTGACCGATCAGATAGTAGGATGAGGGCTAATTAGTCCTACAAATTATAGTCACAACACTATACTGGGGCTCAGTCGTAAAATTTTATCATCACAAATATTCTGCATATTATCATTAGTTAATAAAATCTATGATGTAGTTTCATGCGATCATCTATCGATTGTCAACAACGCTCATAGTGAGCTTCAGTCCTTGCTCACAAACAGAGTATTCTCTCTGTAGCACAATAGGTTCCAGCGGAACGAGAGAAGAATAAGTTGATATAGGCGAGAGTCAAGAGTTCCACTCCGGCTTTTTAATTTTTACTTAATCCGATTTCCATCTTCTATATCTCTCGATTAAAGCTCGTACGACAACGTCACCTAGACTTTTCATCCATGAGGTCCTCCGAAGCCCATGTTTTCCTTCGGGCAATAACTTATGTCCGTCAAACCACGAAGAGATTGACAATGGTTCCAGTCGAAGCAGGAAGAATCCATATCCATAGACTCGGTTTTTTTTCCTCTTGGCCATAATAGGCAATTATAAATGTAGCTTTTCTTTATAAATTATGCAACAGTAACAGTGACTTTACTCTAGGGCCACTCGCTCGAACCCACAAGGCTTAGACAAGACCAGAACTGAGCAAGGTTCCGATCAGATTAGCTTTTTGGAGATACCGAAAGCATTCGAATTGAAACCAGTGAGAGCCTGACAGTTCTGATTTGAAGCTACGAAACATTAGTCAAGGGAGCAGAGCGGACAGGGTAACAATGGTTACCTCATGAGTAGTCGTAAGCTCGATTCCCAGTTTACTAGTGACAGTGTAAATACAACAGCTATGCTATTACTACTTGCAAGGAGCGAGCATGCACTTGCCCTTGCCCCAGCCGAGATTGGCTTGTTTCAGCTTCCATGCAGTGTCCCATTTGAGCTGCTGGGGCCCTTTGAGGGCCAGGAGGAATTCCTTCTTGACGGCTTTGGGCGACATGGAGAACTTGAGGTTTCCGTACGCATTCATCATGGCGGCCACGGCCTGCTTCAGGAGGTCATCCTCGCCCTGCAAAGCGCTGTACAAATTCATGTCGCCGTACTTCTTCTTAGCAGCCTTGCCGAACATAATCTCCACCGTCGTTTGGAAGGGGGTCGCCTTCTTCCAGTGGCAGAAGAAGTCGGAGTTTTTCCACTGGCTGCACGTGCACGAATCACAGCAATGATCAGAAGCGGTGTTTAGACGATCTTCATCACTTCCATCGGCTCACAATCATCTGTCGCAAGAAAGCTCCAGAACTTGCTTTGCACTGGAATTGTGTCGACTACCTCTGTCCATTTGAAATCGTAGATACTTTCTCCAAGAATGAAAATGTTTTAAGAATGGATCGTAGCTCAAGATTCTCCCTACTCTGGAGCTTTCTCTACACACGGTTCTATTTACATCTGGACCTATCGTCCATCATCGGTTCTATTGTGGATGCACTCGACTATCTCAGCTAAAACTGAGAGATCAGAAAACATCAGAGCAGAAAGAAAAGTCAGTATTTCTTCACAAGAGGCTGCCTTTAAGAAACCCTGGGAGTGGATGTACTTACTCTGCGGTGCAAGTTGAGGGCTGCATCCACGGCATTGGAGGGAGGGTGATGGGAGGGGCGCCTGGAGGTTTGGGTGGCAGTGGAGGGAGGGGAGGGAGGGGAGGAATCCCGGGGAGCGAGGGCACTGGTGGAGGGTTGGGTTTGGAGCCAGGACAGAAGCTCTTGGGTGCAGCAGGTTTGAAGAACATGGGTTCCACCCCATAGAATGAGGTGAAGAAGAACTTGCTTCTGAGCTTGAGCTCTCCTCCGCCTTCATATCCCGCTATGCTGCAGGACGAATCCGGGCTACTCTTCATGTAAGCTTTGCATCCTTCCAGATCTGCCATCCCTTTGAATGAGGCCACGAACCCTCCGAGAAAGTCCGTGGTCGCCTCCGCAGACGCCATCATACTGCCATCCGCGGCCTTGCACTCCACCGACACCTTCGCACCTGCGGAAATTGGAACCGACTTCACGATCAGCCCTCAAATTCCAGCAAGCAACCTTCACGCTACCGACGACAACGCACGCACAGCATTTGGGACTCCGGACCTACTGACGAACTCTCTCCGAAAAATGCCTCCGTCAGCTTCGCTTCAGTATCAGTAGCCATGTCATGCGAGGAGCTGAGATTAAATTCGGCCGACACAGGATACCCTTCTTGGAGCCACAAGCTCAGCTGGAGCTAGCGTATCAGCTGTTCGTTGAAAACACGGTGGTTTAGCGATCCCAACCCAGCAGGCACTTCCAGGTCCCTCATTTGCCCCGGACTGCATGCATTTGTATTCGAACATACATCTGGCATGAATGATAAGCACAGCTTGAGCACAGAATACCACAGAGATGGTCGCACTCACCCAGCATCGGCAAAGCGAACGGGAAGACGGTGTTCTTCATACATTGGTCGCAGAACACATTTCCAGTGACGAGCGAGCTCCAGCCATCTTGGTGCTTCATCGAAGCTACGGAAGCAGGATGCAACGCCACCAGCAAGAGCACCAGCGATAGACCCAGCATCCTGCTGCTGGCCGCCATGCTCGAAACCTTCGAGGTCCCTCACTGGACGTCAGTCGGTCGATGGTCACTCTCTACTCTCCCTTTCTCTTGCCTTCTCTCCGCTGGTTGCAATGCCCTCCCCTAGCAGAGTGAGCTCGGGCTTATAAACGACTACATCAGTGAAGCGATCCACGTCCGACAGCTAACAAGCTCTGGGTGAACGAGTCCGGTGCTGTACTGTCCAGGAGGAGTGTGAATTCTCGGCGCGAATGGAGGAATGGTGGACTCGTCTCCATCGGTGGTTGTTGTCGAGTAGCATTTACACTGAATTAGTCGACCTGCATGCATGCGCAGTGAGAGCGACAAGCGAACATGACAGTCAGTGAGGGAGGGAGGGAGGGAGAGGGAGATGGAGATGGAGATGGCTCAGACGCCAGGATGAACTGGCTTTGTTCGTGTGTCTATGGACTCTGACAGACGTTCTCAGTCCCAAGTCAATCGGATCTCTGTACAAAAGTACTGACGGGAGGCTTCTAACTGGCCCTGGAAGACGCCACTAAATGTCGTGCTAATATTATCGAGACATGTCCTGCCAAATTAAAACCTGCGCAGTCGAAAAGCAAACCAAACACTGAAGGTGGAGCTCCTCGAGGCTCCAGCTCCTTTTTACCGTCGACTCTCTCTGCACCGGCGAGAGTTCGAAAACGCTGGCCACCATGTCACAGATGTAAGCTTCTCCCGTTGCCTTCGTGTGTCTTGAGAGTCACGCTGCAGTTGCAGGCCACTTCTGCAGAGCTCCCTCTCTTGATGGCACAAGTCAAAGCCTCAGATTTAATACTCCGGACCTCCTCCCCTGTGCTGTACTTTCGCTTTCGGGCTTCAGAATCATCACCACAGCACCGAATCTACGGTATGATTTAAACCCATCCGACAACCCGAGGTTCGTTATTTATTACTAATATATCACTGTGGGCCTGCGCTCAGAGAGAGACAGAGAGAGGGGATGGTGGGCGGGAGACTGATTTCTAATTCGCACAACGGAGCGGGTGGTTACAGCTACAATGCCATGCTAAGCCAAATATGAAATGTAGAGTCTCTGAGTTTCGCCGGTCCGAGTCCTTGACCATCATAAAAAGTGGCATTGGGGAATTGCTGCCGCTAAACATTCCACTCTTGGCAGCGAGTCCAGAATACTGTACGCGGAACTGCCCTGGCCCTGCAGTGAAGCTAAGTGAGTCATGTGGTGTGAGGCGAGACATCAGATTACAACAATGGCTGTATCCAACAACGAGCATTGAATTCGCTCTGACCTCTCAACAACCACGCACAGACTTTCGGAATTCTTCTCCGTGAAGGCAAGTGAGCGGGCAGGCAGCTCGATAGGCCTCGTCGACGCCCAACAGAGGGAGGGAGGGAGGCATGAGGATTGATGATGGTGATGGGCATGATGATGAAGGGTCAGTGGATCCAGAAATGAAAGCATGAAATTTTCGACCTTTTGTCTTTAGTTGTTGAATCTCCCTTACTGCCCAAAAGATTCCGGCCATTTTTGCCCGTCACATGTGCCCTGTAGCGACAAATAGACGCAAAGCGCATCGCTCGGATCCACTGAATTAATCCCCGACCCTAAAAAGCTCCCACCCTCCGTACAAAAGCGTATTCTCGTATGTTATGGAGTCTGGGCGGCAACCCGGAACCAGCAAGAAACATTTGCTCTCGTTGTTTAATTCGGAGACGATTTCCTCCCTTGATCTACGAATGTTGCCTCTGTTTGCATTCGGATACTATATAAATTTATTTATTTATTTACTTGTTTATTTTTTTTGGTGTGTACATGTAGATGGCTTGTGCGCACTGATTTTCGACCCAAAACGCAAACGGGCTTTCGGCATCATGGATTTGCGTCGTCGAAATCAGGTTGGTTTCCTGACCATTGTCAGGAGCCGGTGATTGAGGTACTGCACTCGATGCAATTTCATCTACGGCCGTCGATGGATGCTGGCACTGGATTTATATCTCCTCCCGGATTTACGTCCCCATGTCAACGACTGACATTCACTTCTGTGCCGCACTGCCGCCGCTGGGATGTGGTGGACTCACTGACGGACTGACCGGCTGACCGCTTTATTTGTAGCTTCTACCCATTATTATTGCTAGTGATGAAATCAGGTCCGCACCGGTAGGTGAAATCGTTCCGGTCTGCGGTGCATCAACGGACATTCTGTGGCATTTTAATTGCCCACAGTCCTGCCTGGAGACTTGCGGGACTTGAAGGAAATTTGGCCGAGAGAATTTCGTACGTTCATCATTACAGGCAGTCTCTACGCAGTTATGTCGCCCGTCTCGGCAGCTTGGTGTGAACACCATCTGAAAGTCCACTTTGTAGCTCGAGCATGGCAATCAAACCTAAGAGTGCCCATCATTACGTAGTAGGTGACATGCCGGTGATAGACGGAAACAAACAAGGCCTAGCATGGATGGAATCTTTTGAGAGGCTGAAAGTTTCGCTCCTTCATTTAGCTGGAATCATCGTTTACTTGCGTTCTCTATGGGGAAAGATATGTGTTAGCTCCTGATGTTGGCTCACAGTGACTTCCGTATACCTTTAGCTGTTAGGACATGCACTGGGTACATGTACCCCGTGACTTTTAAGGAAGGTGTCGTGAGAAGTCAAGGGAGTTGACGAGGTTTCGCTAGCAAGTTGGATTCAAAAAAAGAAAAGTTATGATGCAGAAACGAGAAGCTTCTGAGTCTGCCGACCCGACGGGTGAAAATGAAGGCATCAGCATTTCTTACCAAATCTGGACCCAGAGACGTTTCTAAACCCATGAACTACAAGACGAGTTCCGCATGACACTGTTACCTTTCCTTGAGAATTTTTTTAACACTCATCCGAATGGCATTGACTGTCTACCAAGCGTCAGCCTCAGAGACGTCAATCTGTTCGGTTATGTATCGTGTAGAAGTCACCACAACTTCCTTACGATAATTGTCGACTTCTAATGTTGAAAGGACCACTGATGAAGTACCGAACAAATGCTACGTCTCAAGCAATCTACGTACAACAAATGCAAACAAGCAGAACTTCAGCTCGGGCGCTCTTCACTTTGCCTGGCCTCGCGGAGTGATCTGGAATGAGGAGATATCCCACGTGTCGACAAGAACTGGTTTACTTCCGGCCTGCCCTCTTCGACAAAGAGACACAACAAAAAGTGTGTTTGTGCAAGTCTGCGCTGGTCCATGTGGAGCAAAAGGGATGAGTCGACACGAACTTCCGTTTTCGATTTGTTCCTGACGTACTTCTCTTTTGGCAATACTTAACTACTGGTAGGATACGCATCCTTCAGTGGAAGTAGATATATCTCACCACTGGTGTATTATCAATCAAAACAGGACCCGACTCTATGCTCATGTTGATTAGCTCATGGTGATTACTTGATGCATTTAAATTATGACGAATGCTTGTCTGAAAACAACTTGCACAGAGGTATTACATAAAGCTGTTATGCAGATAATATTGTTCAAAAATATGGCTACTCCGGCAGACTTGCCGAAGCGCAGATTTGAAGCTTGAACACGCGATCGTATTATACAGCAAACGCTACATGATACACTCTGTAAAAGGCTACACGAAGTACACAGCACAGAACAGGCATTGAACAAGAATGGAGGAGGGAGTCCTTGATGCTACGCACAATACATCGAACTGGCTTCCTGTACTACAAGGCTTCAAATCAATAATATTTATCAGATGGCTCTCCGACGATCCCAAACCAGAGAGGAGCACCTGCAAGCCATATACTAAGTTCTATCAGCATCAATTGCACCTGAAGCACAAAGAGCGTTTTTTAATCCCGAACTTCCAGATCAACCGTGCCATGTCTCATCTTACCCTTGCTTTCTTTTGGATTGTACATTTTGCGGGAAGGTAGGCACTGGGAGCGATGTCTACCTTATCCGAGACTCATTGATTGCAAACGGATAGAGAACGTATCAAATGAATTGACAAAAGACGAGGCTTGGAAACCGATAGTTGTGTGCAAAAGGTGAAGAACTATACGTTCTATCACGCAGAAACCACAATGATATCAATTCAAGTGGAAGGTTGAGATCCGTCACTATACAACCATGCAATCCGACTCTCGCCCAGTTTCTTCTAACAGATCCAAAAATAATTTCAAACATCCGAAGGCAGACCGCAAACTCCAGTTACCATTCCACGAATGTGCAATCGAAAACCTTGAGGTACTCCACACCCTTTTTGGTGTCCTCCCCAAGGCAACGGCAACCAAGGAGCACCTCAAATGTCTAGAAGCAATCGTCGTGGATCTTCCACGGCATCCTTGATGGCGCGAAGAAAAAGCACTGCTTCTCTTCCATCAATTAGACGGTGATCATATGTCAAAGCAACATACATCATAGGCCTTGCCACAATCTCCTTTCCAATAACTACAGGTCGTTTCTGGATAGAGTGCATCCCGAGAATTGCCGACTGAAACGCACACCAGAATCCAAAAATTAGCTCATATCCACTAATTGCAGAAGATAAAAAAACGTATTATTTCTCAACTTAATCCAAGTTATTCACGAAAGGTAAATTTCAACAAGCACGACATTCAATGTAGACACCGAAGAAAATCAAACGCTGAGTGCTCACCTGTGGGGGATTGATAATAGGAGTACTGATGAGACTTCCATATACACCACCATTCGAGATAGTGAAAGTACCGCCAGCCATGTCGTCGATCGAGATTGTTCCCGAATTTGCTTTCTTTCCAAGTATGTTGATAGTTTTCTCTATCTCTGCAAAATTCATTTTATCGGCACCTCGAATCACAGGTACTACAAGACCCTGCACACAAACACACCAATCCAGGTTACAACGTGAAAGGATGACGCAATATGGAAACTAATGATAGAAAGGCCCTAGAAAAGAAAGCCGAGGATGACCTAATTATACTTCCTTGCAACAATATGACATGATATCTCGCAATCGAGAAGCCAAAACAAGCACATCAAATAAAAAATTGAAATTTGGCGTCTACCTTCTCAGTTCCGACTGCGATACTGATATCGACATAGTCTCTGTAGATAATATCATCCCCATCGATTACAGCGTTTACAGCCGGGAGCTGATGTAGAGCGCTGACTGCAGCCTGCAAGGACGAGTAAAGGTTAGACCATACGGTACGGACTCAACCAATTTGAACCGGACCACAGCATTTTCAGCAGATGGGTCCAAACCAGATCTGAGAGCATAGCTACTGGCTTGGTGAGGTCAGCAGCTCAACAATAAAACCTCTCTCTAACCATGTGGAAAAGGAACTCTTAACACACACTTATATAGCAGTTCCTTAGAGGAAACCCTTTCCGCAAATAGCGCAGAAGTTTGGTCACAAAAGCATCGATGAAATCTCTCTCTACAAACCACACGCGTAACACTGACACAAAAATACAGATGGTATGAAAGCCACCACATGAACATGAACCGACTGCCAGAAAGAGGACATTTTAATTGTTATTAAAAAAATGTCCTCTTCTTGGCAGTCAGATAACCTTCCGTGAATAGAAAGCCTTCAAGACGTACCTTGACAAATCCAGACATGAAACCAAGTTTTACACCATGCTTTTCCAGGAACGCATCCTTATATTGAGCTCGAAGATCCATCAAATTCGTCCTGAAAATATCCATCTTAGGTCATCAAGTTTCTCATAAGCCACAAAACGCCTACTTGACATTCCGCTATACAAATCACTTCAAAAGATTTGAACATAACCCTTTCTCGTATTTTGACTTAAAAATACGAGAAATAATTTAAACAAGACGTTTGAATTCCTCCCAAAGATTGTACGGATAAAGAAAGCTCTAACTTGATCGAAGCTTGTATCTCACACATCTCAAAGACAACTATTCGTCCCCAGTATTCAATTTGATCATTAAGAATAGACTAACAAAAAAATACCTGACTGCTCTCCTCCGAGACTCAATATATAAAAAACAATGTAATTTCTAATCTATATAAAGTCGAATGTGGATGAAATAGCTCAAAAACTGGAAACCTGAAAGGTATGACCCAGATGTAAGCATGAAGAAATTGAAGAATTTATCATAAGAACAAGGAATAATGTTCCTAGCTTACGTACATATCAATCTCGTTGAAAGTCGTGAGCAGGGCAAATGTGTTCTGTGAATCTTTCAAACGAGTCGCAACACGTTTCCTTAAGCGCGTCATAGGAACCTGCCATGATTTTCCCGTGTGCTGCTAGTTAATACTGAGTAAGTTTATCAGATGCAAAGAAAATAAGATTGGCGGCTGGCGGATAGAAACCAATGAAGCATATCTTTCCCCATTAAACTCATAACTTACTTCTTATGTAACAACTACCCTTTTCATCGGCTTATAGTAGTTACTAACATTCAATGTAACTCTCTCCTTTCCGATTCATAGACACAAAGAGCAGTGTAATTTCTCTATGAAACCTGTTAAATGCAATTCAGTAACTCCATGCGTCTCATTTATTCAGTTGCATGCACCGCGTTTTGTGGGGCAAAAAAACTTCGCTTACCAAAGTACCAAGGATGACTTCTCTGGATGATAATCTTCTATAGTCATATTTATGACAGTAAAAAATTGTGATCCAATTATAAATAAATATACAAATAAATATGGTTATATCATGGACTTACTCTTCTTTCTCCACCCTTGGGAGGAAGCTGCGGCTCTGATGGACCTGCACCGGAAGCCCTTGGAGGAGGCGGCGGTGGAGTTGCAGGTTTCGCGGGAGGGGGTGGTGGCGCAGCAGGAGTAGTCTTAGCAGCTACCGGAGGAGGTGGTGGTGGTGGAGTGGCCTCTTGTTTCTTTGGTGCAGTAGATTTCCCCGAAGAGACACCTTCTTTTACAATGGCAACTTTTGTTCCAGGTGTAACAGTGTCACCAACGTTTGCTACAATCTGCTCAAGATATGGTAGACAAGTGAAGAAATGTATTACGAACTTACAACTTACTTGAGATAAAGGAACTACGGTACCGTGAACTAAAATGAAAACTTAAAAACTTTCGGTCCAGGAAGTAGGGAGCAATTGGTGGAAGAACCAACCTGCTCAATTGTACCGGCGAAAGGACTACGAACATCGATTGTAACCTGCGGCACCATAAGTATTCATAAATAAATCTTCCATCAAATTGATACCTGGAGAAGAATGCAATGTAGATCAACTGCTTAACAATTAAAACAAACCTTGTCAGTCTCAATCTGTGCAATGACTTCATCCATATCCACTGAATCGCCAGCCTCTGGAGGAAGAATACGTTACATGAAACAAAGTGAGATGTAGAACCCTCGTGCTATACTGACATCCCTAAAAACTCAAGATTGACTGCCAAAGTGTACAAAACACACGCATGACATGACAAGTCTCTTGAAAAACACTCACGTTTCAAAATAGCTGCGAGGTTGCCATCTGGGACTGAGTCACCCATAAATGGAACCACCACTTCCCCTGGGCCTGTAGCAGACAACACCCTTTCCGATTGGTCAACTCAACTTTGTATGCACAGAACTACAAGCTTGAAAACTGCCAAAGAGTTTGGACGAGCAGAAGTTTATCAATCGTGCTAGTTTTGTACTAGCCAGAGTGTTTTGTGAAACCCACGATATTTGACACATCACCCAACAGCAGGGACCTATAAACAGGCAGAAGTCTGCTGCAAATTCTAAACGTGTCCAGTAGACATCATTAGTGAGTTCCTCTACTCTTATACACATTAATACTTGATTGAAGCAAACAGGACGATATACACATTGTTCACGAGCTCTACATGCTTTCGATCTCATTCGAGTGACATGCACCATCTCAAAGCAATCTACCCTAGGAAAAGGGTTTCGATAAGCTTGTTTCATCTTTAGCCAAAGAGGGTACTTTACCTGCCTCTGAGGCAAACCCTCTGCATCCTTCCCAGATTGGTCGACTGGAAGAAAAGCGAATACTCCTGCAGCATACAGTCAATCCATGAACAAAAAATACTTGTCTCGCCTAAACTGTGTCAGTTCTGAGACTGATATCAATAATCCCTATCAGGCAACGACTCAAAGCGTAAGCGCGGTAATCTGCTTACATACTGGGCTAGGTTATGGCGGCAATAGCGTACTTGCATCCGACAGACTGGAGCATGTAAAGACACAGTGATCCCAGAATAAGATTGTGTCATGCAGATTCATGTCATATAAACTCAGGTCGAAAACAAGTAACGCATATGCATGATAAAAGCCAAAGATGGTACACACCTTGGCTCGGCTCCAGAAAGAGTTCCATCTATGGACAATAAAACAATAAACTGTAAGATTGCCGCAAAAAATCCAAAAACAGCGATTCCCATCCCAAGGTCCAAGGGCACAGCCATAAACAGCGCTAACTGAACCATGTTCACCTGCAATGGAGATATAATGCCGCACCCCTTGTTGTGACCCCTTCACCACAGCGGGCTGCGTAAACAAAATAGGGATGCAGAGACAAGTCATCAGAGAGGAGATTTGATTTTCCAACGACTATACCCTTCATATATCTTCGTCCACTATGTACCTTGAGTAAATACAGGTGAATGTTGTGACGAGTACGAGCGGCCTGCGATCTTAAATTTCAACGTGGTTTGTTTTGGCCACATGCTACACCCTCAATCTCAAGTCAATGACATCAATGACTATAGTCACATGAACCTCGAAGGAGGTCTGGATCAGCAAAGATAAATCTAGGAGCAGACAAAACCTTAAGTTGTAATTTCCAGCTAAGATCGAGGATGACCGGCGTTCATGATTTTTATCTTGTGCTACACCCTACCTCAAAACACTGACTCATGTCTCTCTAGACCGACATTCAGCAGAACTCCGATAGAACACTTTAACTAGGTCTGAAGGAGCCAACTCAAAGCTTGAGTGAACAAAACCTTCTGATCTAATTCCCAGTTGAGATCCCTTCGAAGACCCAGGAAAGAAGGAAATAAAAGACAAAACCATGAGAACAAAGACAGAGCCCCATCAAAAATTGAAATAAAACATTTATTGAGCCATCGGACGGATCCACAAGCTAACGGGCAACAAGATCACACCTACAAGAACCAACCTGAAGAACGCGAGCACGAGAGGAGCGGGAGGCCCGGATGGCCGAAGTCCGCAGCAAGCGCAGAAACGCGCGCTCCATCAGCACGCTTTGCTTAAGCACATCAAGCAATCATAAAAATCTGAAATCTCACACTTGCACACGAATCTCACACTTTCACAGTCCTGGACAGTCCCCTCGTGCCGCACGAGACCCACGAACGATCAATGTGATCCACCGCCCGACGACGCGGCTCTATCGATGAACCACTAGATCGATCAATCGATCGCTCCACAAACTCACTGATCCACCTGCCACAGACCAGACCAGACCAATCACAAGGCACCCTGCAGACAGCCCTGCCTGCCTCTGCAGCTCTCTTCCTCCTCTCCTCTCCTCTCCTCTCCTCTCCTCTCGTCAGAGCACCTCCTTTTCCTCTGCCTCTCCTCTCTGCTGCCTCCCCCTACCTCTTCTCTCTCTCTCTCTCTCTCTCTCTCTCTCTGGTCTGTCCGCGTGGTCTGGTCTCCGTCTGCACTTTCCTTTGCTTCCTTAACTTTCCCTCCCTTCCCGTCGATGTCGTGAACAACGCCCTAAAGAGGAAGAAGGAAGGAAGAGCGTGGCTCTCGGCTGAGAGGGACGAGCACATCTCCGCGTCTGGGTCGGTCTGACCCCTGATTACCTGTCCGAAGCAGCGACTCGGGCCAACTGGAGTCAAAACGTACGTGGCGGCCCCTTGCGACAGAATATGACTGCTCCGTATTCTCCGAACCCAACCCTGCTGATATCTAGCGCCTTGCTAAACTGCCAATTACCTTTCTTTGGGGCTTAGTTGTTTGCTTCTTGTCGCCTCTGCGATTTGGGAGGTTTCGTTACCCGGCAGCTCGACCTGGTCGACCTGGTCGACCTGCATTGCTGTGCATGTTGCCCATGTGCTCACGCTATCGCTGACGCCTGCTGCCTGCTTACCCGACGGAGCATCCAATCTTCGGCTTCTGCGTTTTCATTCCATACATGTCCAACTCACAGGCCCCGGCGCGGATCTCTGGTCTTCGTTCGAGCATCTCTGTCGTAGCTTTGTATATTTCGTCTACTGTGATTGAAAAGACAGGTTTAGGTTCCCGCTCTATCTCTTCCATCTCGATCGGTGTCCGGTACATTGTTTTCAAATACTTCGTTTGCGTCTTCAATCAAGATCAAATGATACTGTCTTCACATTTGAGAAGTGGTACGATCAGAAGACACATACGCTTGTAATCCCATAATTTCTCATCGCTTGTATCAGTAAGAAGTTTTTCTACAAATGAAAGGTGTTGAATCGACAGAATATTCCTGAATATTCTATTGAGACAGTCTTCTTGTTCTCCCATTATATAAAACAGTATTAGTAGTCTTCATGAACTTTCAGACGAGTCTATGTACCACTCTTGTATCATGAACCATAGTAAAAAGACTTTTATTGGTATTCTGGATGACACAAAAGTGTTCAAGACACACAAATGTTAATTTAGTCCTCTCTCCTAGGTTTCCCAAATTCGCGCATCTCAATATATAAGGATATCATAGTCATCAATATATTCATAACGATGATATCCTTATGATTATGTTTGGTTACAATAAGACAATCATGTGTGGTCGCATCTTAGTTGATTGATGTGATGTCTGTATGTGCAACACTACAAATCCCTTTCTTTGATCACTATTGGAGCAATTCAAATATCCCGTATCGAATGTGAATAGATGTGAAAGCTATGGTGCAAGTTAGACGACTACAATGGTAGTGCATGCTCGTCTTGGAACATGTTTGTAATGAGAAAGTATCTCCAAAAAGTATCACATTGGCGATGTGGTGCACAGTTTTTGTACATCTCTTTCCACTATCATGAGTTTGATGCAACAGTATCTACGGCATTATTTCACTGGCAATTTATAACTCATACGTACACTTGTACATATCATGTACTCATTTAAGCAGATTTGTACATCGCTCTAGTTAAATATTGTTTTATAAATTTCTGCACTTTTTTGCATAACACCTTGCACTCAAAGCTTTGTTGCAGTGATTGAAATTTAACCATATTGTACATGAATTTTATGTTTCATCAAATCTACTTTTGTAGAAAGAGATATCATCTGTTTACATTGACTTTAACATATGTTGTAAATTTTCTCAAATCAACACTAACATCTGATTTAAATATTTGAAATTCATAATTGGAAATTTTTCGTTTTTTATTAAATTAATACTCTCTTGATTTATAGTTTTAAATTGAAAACTCAAACGAGGATTTAGTTTCCGAATCACATTCTTTTTTTGCAAATTTGAAATAATCAAATATTTCTAGCAACAAGATCTACAACAAATGTTGAAGCTCCATTTTATATATCTCTATATCTTGAAAACATTTCGTGCTCATTAGATTACTACTATCTAATGAGCACAAATTTATTTATGAATTAATTGAATTTTGTATCATATGACTGTTAATTGACAACTTTGTGAATATGTTGCTTTTTTTCTTTTTCATACAAGCTATAATGATCTTATATAAATAGACTTGAACATTTTCGGCTACAACTTTATATTGTTATAAGTCTTGAAAATTCACGGTGATTTATGTACAATAATTAAATGATATTTATATCAAGCATTTTTTCAAAATTTCTATAAAATTTAAAGAAAAAATTATGTTTTTTAATGTATTTTCTAATTTTATACTTATCATATGTCATCATTATAAATATGCAGTAGCACACAACACCATAATTCGAAGCTTTATTATTTTTTTGCACATAGTATCAATAACTTCTAGAATTATAATCTTTAAATAGAAATTAAAAAATAGATATTCATATAAAAAATTAAACTGAAATTTAAAATAAAATTTAGAATGTTTTTATAAATTAAAATATTGTGATTTTCAATGAAAATCACAATATTTACAAATGTCATCGAAAACTGTTGTGACCTCTGGTATATAGTGATAGTCTAACTATTTTTGTTAAGCTAAATAATTTTCATTTTATTTATTCAAAATTTATACTAGATTATAACGTATTAGATATTTGACTTGAAATTTGATGACATCATGGTTTTTATAATATATTACTCCTTTGCACATATGTACTGTCATGTATAGTGCTAACTATGATGATTTTAACAAATTGAAAATTCTAACTTGTAGGGTAAACATGTAATATTTATATTTTTAAAACAAATTTTATCCAACCAAATTTCTATCTTAATGTCATCTAATTGTAGTTGAAAAATAATGCAAAAAAATATTGAAATTCACTTTCATGATAAGTAATTTCACTTTAATTTGGATTGTTTCAATAGAAATCCGTATACTTCTATGAAAATTTTGTGAATTATAAGACTTGAATCTAAATATGATATCATTGATTGAGTTACATCCGAATGTGTTATGCCCATATCTTGTTTTTACTGTTAGTCTTCATGATTGCAAGGTTAGATTTGCATTATACTTCATGAATTAAGTGTTAATGATTGACATAGAATTTGGATATCAATTCTTATCTATATTTTAACATCAGAGTTCATGTTGTTATTGTTTGAGCATATTATGATTGCTGTTATATTTAATATATCTATAAATAATAATAATAAATAATGCATTACTCATAGTCACTATAAAATAAAAAAATTTCATGTTTTAATCAATTATTATGATGAATACTGATTTCATTATCAAGTAGTTTATTTTAAATAAGACTCCATATAACCACGATTTGAATCATGCTAATTGCAATGTACATATCAATCATAGTCATGTTATTATGTTTCATTTCATAGCACATTTAGCATGAGGTATTTCTGCACTATTGATCTATCATATGTATGTATGTATATATATATATATATATTAATTAATTACATAGAAGACCTTATCATCATGAGAATTCATGAATCTAACTATTTATGCATTTGTTTTCATATTTATTTATAGCATTGTGTATGAACAACTTACAACTCTAAATCATTTTCATTAGTCATAGTGAAGCATACGTGTAGATTAAATTCAAAGATCCATTTCATAATTCATATTTTTTATTTCAGTTTTTTGATTTATTTTTAAAAATTATTATATACAAACCAAAATTATTGTTTTCTGTTATATTTTTTTTTGAGATACTTCTTTTAAATTTTATAGTTTTATATTTGAATATCAAATGAACTCAGAATTTTTGTAAAATAACACAAGTTTAACCATCTATATATTGAAAAAGTAACAATTCAATTTCCGAAATTATTGTTTGAGAAAATAACTTTGAATGGACGAAGTCAAATTATAATCAAAGATTCATATATTTTTAAGACTAGTATATCTTACTGACCTATTAAAACTCATGTTATACGTATACAAATTGCCCAAAATATGTACGATTCAAACATGTATTAGGTAAACTTCAAATGTTATGGAAAAAAAAAGCAATCATAATTGAGCATATGATGTGAAATTTTGGATTTCGCGTGAAAGATATATATAACATATCTTTTAAGTGATAAAAACGATTGAAGTTTTAATCATTGATATTTTCAAAAATCATTAAATGCAGTTTTCTTTGGACTTTAAGACATATTTATTGAATTTTTCCCTCTTAAATATAATTAATGATTTAATATATCTTATATTTTTTAATTGATCAGATTCTCATTAAATAACTGTGAGAAATTTAATTTTAAAATTTATTTATGGAAAAAATTTCAAAATTCTCCTAAAAATTTTCCTAAAAAATTGAAAATCTAGATCACTAAAAAATAGAATCAACCAATACAATAAACAATCAAGTTTGTGAATTTTTTTTGGGGAATTTTAGATGAATCAAGTAATTTTATTTTTTTTCATTTTGTGCATCTCAGAAGTTTGAACTTAATATATGATTAAGTTTGAAATATATTTGAATTTTGGATCATATATTTTAATATATCGGACACGATATATTTTTCGAAACAGAAATAGTAATTTATGTAAATCTAGTATCTTACAAACAAATATTCATTATTTAAATTATATTTTATGAACAGAAACTAGTATCAATAATTCATAAATTACTATTAAGAACTAGTGATTTACTTTAATGGTTTCTTAGTTTTTTTCTAATTTTTTACAATATTAATTTGTAATTTTTAGAAAATGAAAGAATAATATCGTTGTGTACGCAGGCAGTTTTATGAAAATTGCGGAAAACAGAAGAAGATTATGAGATGTTGTAAAGATAATTTCACATTACTGCGTATACTATCATGTAGTTTTCTTGAAATGGTTTAAAAAAAAGCTTTTTCGGTGTTTCTTTAAAACAAAACCTAGTTTGTTTATTGCATGTCCTTTAAGAGCAAGCCGAAAATTTCAGAAAATTTGTTTCCACATTCTCAATATAGCTCAGTCCTATCAAATTCCAATTTGCTACACAAAATGCGCTATAAAATTTCCAACAACATTACTTCGTAGAATATTTTCAAATGGCTAGGTTAGTACCCGTAACGACTGTGCGAAATGCGAAATGAAGCATTTCATGGAACCTGCCATTTAATCTACTGAAACCAAGAAATCTCACATAGCAAGGGAAAAAGGACTTCTAGCAGGTTAGCGATTGGATGCACAAAATAGATTTACAGGAGCGAAAATGTTGAAGTCCCTAATCACATTCATTTTTGGTGTTTAGATAGAAATGAGAAGTTCCAAGCACTGTGAAAGACTCAATTGTTCACACTAACTCCCGACGTTTAACCCTCGTCGAGTAGACTCCATGTTCATGATACTTCCAGTCGTTGGCTTATCTCGGTTATGTATATCAGCCAATGATTGTCCCGTTGAGTGCTGAGATACGATTTTGAAATTAAAAATTGAGACTCCGAGTCAAAGAGCACAAAGTGAATGGTGGTTTCTCCCAAAAATTTACAGTACTCATCCAGTGGTATATACAATCTCACCAAGTTGCTAATCGTTCAAGACCATGCGCGATTCTGCCTATCCAGACGTGAACTTCAGCAATTGGTTCTTCTCGTATTCGGTTTCCTTCCACATACCAAAACAGTGATAACTCTTCATTTGTAAGTCTAAAGTGTCGTTCACAATCACGACTACTGAGCACTGGAGAAATACCAGCTGACTAAGGAGATAAACTCTCACTAGGCAGAAGCGGGAAGGGAGTTGTGAGAAGAAATTTAGCAGTCTCATTGAAAGCTCTGCAATTATTGACTAGGCCAGGCTTCCAAGTTCAGCATCAAGCATACGAAACGAATCGAGCGAAAGTGCAGGATCTAGAGTGGGAGTGTTTTCAAGTGTAGGGCGTTTCGGCATCCACGAGTTGCCGTTACGGAAAATTCCAACAAGCTCACAATCCATAAAAATAGTCAATCTCTTCAGAAGGTCGGACGGGCCGCTTTGACAGAGTGAAAGACAGCAGTAGGGCTCCTGGTAATATGCTTCCAGAGCTGAATCGGAGAGAAATTTCAGCGAATTAACGAATTTTCTGCTCATGAATTAAATACTTGTGGGCATCACCTGGATCTTCAGCACATGCTGCAAGGCTATTGCACTTCGTTGGATCATTTACATGCCAGGGTTTCCTTGGCTTCTTGAGAAAGAGTGGGGTTTCTACAAAGCTTTTGGATATCAACGTAGCCTATCAGTGCATCCTCGAATGAGGCGTCCGCTAGATTTGCGTCGGTGAAGGTACTTCCCGACAGGACCGTGTTAATGAATTGAGTACCTCGCAAGTCTGCCTTGTCAAACACAACTCGGTCCAAGACGGCATTTTTGAAGGTGGTGCCTGCATGAGAAGGTTTGGCATAAAAATAAATACCTGACACTGATTTCATTTTCTTTAACTTCAGAAACAGAGTCGAGCATCATAAGAGATTGACACTTCAGTGTAAGAATCTCACAACTAACACGAAAACGAGAATCTGAAAGGAAAATTAAGTATTTTAATACCTTTGAAGCTGGCTCCAACAGCATATGCTTTGGACATGGTCACCTCGGTCATGTCTGCTCCATCAAACTTTGCATCCGACATGAGCGCAGCTGAGAGGGTCTTGCCCTTCAAGTTGACCAGATCGTTGGAGAAGTCGCAGAAGCGAAGATCCAAGAGCACATCGGCCACTCCATTGGCCTGGCCAATAGTGTTTCCGACGAACGCTTTTTGGCACCTGTCAGGGTCTCTAGAAAGTGGGGGAAGTCTCGCCTGTAAAGAACCGACGAGAACCTGATGTCATTCCACGTCTCTAAGCTACAGCAATAAGACGATGGACTGATTCATGCATGATCAGCCCGAGAAGTCACTCGACCCTTTGGAAGACATTGACTTACCTGATTGTTTGTATTTGCCGCGAAGGAAGGCATGGCAGTGGCAATCGTAAGCGCAGCACAAAGTCCGCATGCTACTTTCTTAATTGTCTCCATAGGTTGCGCCTTCTCGGCATCGTCGGTGTCTCTCGTGGCTGAACACAAAAGAAAACAGAAGGTTGAGCGAATGAAGGGCAGCGAGATGTGCCTGACAGCAGCATTACAGCTCCATACGTCAGAAAGTCGTACGGTACATCTCTCCACAATCCGTCAGGCTCGCCAAGAGGCCGACAGGGAGAAAGGGACCGAGAAGCCCAAGGATAGAATTGACTAACACGGTTCCACAACGAGCAGATTTAAATCCCACTGCGCAAAAATCTGCGAGGTATTTTTCTTCAAGACCGACAAGGTCGACCTCGCAACCAGAGAAGGAGAGTCACTAAAACTCTACGGGACCGCTAATTCAAGAATTGAAGGCACTAATGGATGCGCCATGCTCCCATCCGAGCAGCAAGAATCCAATTTTCATATATCAACGTTCAGTTAATATTGCTCAACGGAAGAAGGATCATACATCGAAAAGAACGATAGACCTGAACTACATCCCGCACAATCAATGCTCGTCCTGATGATCTCAACAATTCTTTCCAATCGCCCCCTCAATTGACATCAAGAAACTCACCGGAACAGCGGACGACCTGTCGCGAAGAGCGACCAGAATCAGCCAAACCGCGAAGGGCATGCGGAACGGGCGAGGCAAGCGCCGAGGCCGAGCTCAGGGTCATTGACGCCATTGATGTGGAAATCATGATTCCTCGAAGCCGCTGCTTTACTTCCTTTCTTCCTTCCTTCCTTCGTCCTCCTTCTGGACTCGACTTCCAACGCCCAGGAATGATGCCACTGCTGGCTACGACACGAGTGCCGGGATAAGATGATGGCTGTTCCGAGAGAATGGGCGAGGCGAGAGTGAGAAAATTACGAAGCGTTTGCTGCTGCTGCTGCTGCTGCGGCGACCAGACACGGACACGGACACGCACGGAGCATTATCCGAACCCAGCCCACAAGTGATCGGTAGGATTTTCCTCGCCGGTCGGAAACTGTGAAGTTTCTGCATTCTTCTTTGCTCGTCAAGTGCTGATCATGCGTCGGAATTTCTCGTTTGTCCGCTGGTAGAACTTGAGTCCAGTAACTCGCCGGGTGCTGCTGTCCACAGCTGCGATGCGCGACATTGGCCCTCGTCGTGGGGCCCGCGCTTGCTGCGCTCGCCAAATGCCGATCCACGCTCTGGACGTTGAGTTCGGTGAGTGCTCAGACGTACACGGAGGCAGGCTCCTCGTTTCACCCTCCGTCTTACCGTGCTTTGTGCTCCTTCTGGGGCTACTCTGCGGATTTACTCCTCCTCCTTTTTCCTTGTATTGAATATTGAATATTGACAATAGTTGGATCCAAAACTTACCCTTGCAGTTTTAGGCCCACCGGTCAAAGGTTTTAGAGGTAACGTGATCTTCAAAAAGCATCCCCTAGATTTTTTTTCTAGATACCGCTCCAGTGATTCTTTCTTCGTACCTATGATTTTATTTTACGGAATTCAATGTAATCGGGGTTTTATTAATCTTATTAGGGCCTCTCGATTAATCCCAAGAGAAATACATGGGTATGAGGAACATGTTTATTTTGGAAACCTATGATTGTATGTGGTGAAACTGAAACTCAGAAGAGATCACTACACCCAAAATCTTAGGTTGGATGTTTGAATTCCCTGAATGGACGATTGAACTCTTCTTGCATCCCTGCGCGAAAGCCGCGATGAATATGTACGGATAGAATCAACGAACATTGACTATCATATAATAATAATTTCAGTGATGGTGGGGTCACTTCAGTGCTTGGAGGATAGTCTATTTTAAAGACATGTTGTCCAGTCTATAGTTCGTTCTCACGATTTCACGAATATGAAAAGTCGAAATGTTTCTTTACATTCAAACTAAGATTTACTCATTCTGATATCGAGCATGCTATCATATAAATGATCTTACAAAGCCACCTCATATTTTTCTGAGTCAAGACTTGAATTAGTTTCGTAATATGTTTCATAATAGTTAATAAAGATTCAGTTTATTTATCAAATTTTAAAATATACCTGAGATTGATATGTGTAAAATAATTCTTTGAATTTCATCTCCTTATACCAAAGTAGTTTAAATTTATTAATTAAAAAAATTCTGTTTTAGTTTTTCTTGATCGATGAGTTCATATATAGATTTTTTTTTTATTATCAAAAATTTTGATGCATCCTAGAAAATTTTCCATGAATTTCATTCCGAAAACTGATATGAATTTACCCAAAAACTTATTCATATTTACATTAAGATTGTGTACAACCGTGATAGTAAAAATTAAATAATTCTTTGGACGGTATTCAGATATTTTCTCTTGATTTTTGATTTCACAATATGAATTTAATTAAATTTTTTTTTGGTCGTGGATGAAAAAATTCTATTGTTTATCAACCTTTGGTCCAATGCATCGCACAGGATTGAATCTTAAATCTGTATATAATCTTGAATTAATAACTCCTAATATCATATTTACTGATGTCAAACATATCTAAGGTGATAAATGTATTTGTATAATGTTACTTTTTATGTGATTTTCACATCAGTGATGAACCATTCCCAATAGCATGTCATGACTACTATTGAATATAGAATGCACAGATCTTGCAGATTCAGGACAAGTTGGTTGAGAAGTGTCAAGTCCGCCTTCTTTTATTAAACAATCTTAGTCATTTTGCAATGACCATTTACTCAAGTGTTCAATTTGCTGCTTAAAAACATTTCGGTGACTTCCAAGTTAGACCCGTCTGCATGGATGGTATCACTGATGTAAGGCTTACTTCCATCCGGCGTTTTGGGCCCTACATTTTTGCTCCGAGACAATACCCAAAGACAAAGAAGCTTTCAGGTTCCCTTAAAACCAAAGTTAAGGCTCAATCGCTATCTACCTTTGGCTACGCTGTGCTTTGTAAGTGCTGTTTTTTTTCAAGAATTCATATCACTACACAGGTGTCAAAGAATGTTTCATGCTCGATAATTTGGAGTCGATACACATCCACGTGCCCGAGGGTTTAACCTTCTTCATGTTAATTACAAAGTATGTGAAGGGAGCAACAAAATCTCGGCGAAATACCGTCGCAATGTTTACTACAGCCTAGCTCGTCTATATAAATGTCGACAAAATCTCGGCAAAAATATGATCGCAATACCTACATCAGCCTAGCTTGTCTAACATTAAAGTCAACAGTCTTGCAGAGTCTCTTTCTGCAAAGGTCTACCGGAGATATGAAAATTAGCAAGAAGCTATGTAAATTAGCAAGAACGAATTGGTTCTTCCATAATAAAATAAGCAGAAGAATCTAAGCTTTCAGAAATCCCATCCACTAGCAGCTTGAAAAAATAAATGGTGTTTCACAGTCAAGAGCCAACTAGTAAATAGTGATGGAGTGACCAATGAGCCATTCGTCCGCAGCCATCTCTCTATCGACACAGAGCTGTCACACTCAAAAGTCTCAACCTGATCACAGCGTGTCTTTCGAAAAGTGTCCACTGCATCGTCCCTGTACACCTGCACGAGTCGCGCCACTCAAGGACCGACTTTGCAAGACGACCTCTTAACGCGATGCATGTTAAGTGGTATCGCTCCGTGGAGCAATGACAGTGAAACGGGCAAATTGTACACAAAATCGTTCGCAGTCATTGCCTACTTCCATGTCAGACTGATGAACGTATGAAACACATCGTGATCTCTTATGAGGACGAACGACGTGATGTCCGCGGCGAATTTTTATATGCCCCGATCGCATTCCCAAGTGTTCTCATTTGTTCGGATGTCAACGTTTTCCATCGTCTCTGACCGGTAGAGTCGGATGCCTGCTCGATCATCTGACCTAACACCTGGATGTCGTCTTCTGCAAAAGTCTGCCTACCCGTCTGTCCACTTGATCGCCGAGCGTGCCGAGGTGACTGAGAGTATCCATCTCCGCGGTCGGGGTAGATCTCCATCTGTCTTGAATGGGGTAGGTCGCCAAATAAGTTCGGTTTCGCTTGTGAATCACCACTGCAACTCAGCACAACAACCCCACTGAGATATTGAAAGAGCTTATAACGCTCTGCAAACAGTTTCTCACTCTTGATTAAAAAAGGTTATGTATATGCTTAGTATAAATAAGTGGGGTATACACTTGGTACATATATTAAAGGTAGATAACAATTTCCAAGGACAAGTCCTCCCCTCCCCGTGGCCTCCAAAACCGTGTGTGAAGCTTGACCGAATACCTCCTGCATTAATATGCACATTCTTGTTTATGTTTCCTCCCAAAAATTTGAAAACCTAATCCTCCGATTGAGACCTTCATTAGTCGATTCTACTGACTAAAATTCACTGCCTATTTATCATTCAAGCTGACTAACTTTCAAGAATCTGTGGACATTTTACAACGAACATCACTCTGCTCTAATCTACTCTACTCTAGGCTCGTGGGACAGTTCAGTACATTTACTTTGCCCAGGCCACAGAATCTATCTCATCCCTGGCGTTTTTATACAATTCAAGCCTCTTGCCGCAAGCTAGTCTTCTTTCCATCGTTGCTGGGTCTTCGTCCAATAAGACGCTCAGCTGTCTCCCCTGTTCAAGTTCCAGTAAACAAAGCAGAAGCTCGTCAATGAACCTCCGTCACATCTGCCTGGGAGAAGTCCTATCAACTCTTTCTTCCAATCATTATAAAAGACTACGTGCTCAAGGTAGTATTTGTGTATATATAAGACAGAACTCCCGACATCAAACATCTGCTTTAAGGTACCAAGTGAAAGGTGGTGCTTAAAAGATGAAGAAAGCTTCTGTAGAATACCTCTTTCTTCCCGATATTTGTATAGAAAGTGTCCAATAGTGAACGCTTGGCTTCTCTAACTTGACAGTGTACTGCCGCTTTAGGTATTGAATTTCTAAGTATATCCATCACCATTCCGACGTATGCTGAGACGTTGGAACCTGAGATCGAAACCACCCGTCGGCAAGAGAATCAGAAACAGACGTTGCACGACGCTCGACAGCATTTAGGAAAAACAGGTACGCAACCGACGAAACATCCAGGAAAACAAAATGCACTGTAAGAACTGCCATACCTATGCGTCGAAGGTGCGCATCGGTGTAACGATCCATGCTAGCAGCTCCTGCATTCCCACCTTTCTCCATTTCTTGAGGCAGTTTCCTGAAGAAATCTACTGTGAGATAACTAGCCTCCATCTCAACCAATTTCAGAGCGGTCTTCCTGCTATCTTCTCTATAAGCCTCTAGCGCTTTGGTAGCTGCCGCAGCTAGTTCTGCTTGTAATGTAGGAAAGCGCTTCAACTCCTGCACGTCCCCACTTTAAGTTAGCAAACACATCAACCATTGTCATGACAACAGAAACCAATCAGTAAAAGAAGAAACTGAAACTTCACCTGAGTTTCGCTGACGGACTTACGAACCAAGTCTCTGAGAATGAAATGGACCTACACACGGCAACGGACCCAAGCGATGTCGATGAGATTCTGCTGAAAAAGAGATGGATCTACGGACTCACAAAAAATGAGCCTCACAAGACAAATTTAGCTTCAACCACTAACTATACCGGTCAATTCAGACAGCGCTTGTCAAATAAAATGATGGATTTTGTACCGCATCAACGACTGCCTCGGCAGGTCCTTTGAAGTAAGCGATAGAGCTTTCAATTAAACGCCGGTAACCCTGCTCAGGAGCTATTAAATGTGGTTGGTAACCATCGGCCTCTGTTACAACTTTTCTCACATTTTGCATGGACAAGTGCTTGTCAAATGGCAATTTTTTCAGGGCAGCGGGTAACTGATTGTCAAACACACCATAAATACGTTCACCTCCAGGTCGCCTGCCACAATCACGGAAAAAGTTATGCGTTTGTTCCTCACCCTACCTTCCCGAGCATGCATCAGTCCCCTTGCGAAGCATTTGCAATACCAACAGTATGTTCAGAATTGAACAGCCTGTTAAACCCGAAATTACGAACTAAACTCCTCAAAGTAAGGTCGTACCCTCCATCAAGATGATCCTTAAACACATGATCGAAGGCTCTGCAGAGTTCTAATATGGTGTAGAGCTGGACCTGCATGAAAACAGATGTCCATCACAATTAATGAGCATCAACCCCACTCATCTTTGATCAGGGCTTATCTATAACCTACCCAGCTTTCGAAGTGTTCAAATTGGCATGAGCAACTAGAAACGGAATCTTATCAAACATATCACTTACTCCGGCGTCCACAGCGATAGGTTTTCCGAGATGACTCATTTCTCCTTCCAACTCGTCAATGGTTTTGTTGATAAGAGCCAAAATACTGGGAATACGAGACTTGATTACAGCTTCTAAATGCTGCAATCAATTCAATTCATCATCTTAGTACAAGATGGACAATCAAGATGCACAATGGCTTGGGAAAACTGAGGACACACATCCTTCTTCAAAATCATACTGATCTCTATCTGAGCCTTCAAGAAGAAAGTAGTGCTCTGCACATCACCAACACGTATTAAGTAGGCACAGGCACCACAAATTCTTGGCAAAGCGGGTTACAAGTAACAGTTCACCTTCGAAAGCATCTTCGCAAGGTATTCAGATCCCATTTTGCCTGCCAAATGTCCATAGTCTTGACTGCTCTGAAAATACTCTCGTTCCCTTCGCCGAGCTGCTATCATGTCGACGTTCTTATTTATGTCAGCTTGAGAACGATTCACAACTCCAATCCAGGGGAGCTGAAGCCTGTATGAGCGTCCTTCCAGAACCTATTAAGGGTAACAATTAGAATGAAGATACTGTAAATGACGATTTTAAACGAAGATTACTTTCTGTTGCCAGCTTTAAAAAAAAAAAATTTACGTCGCCGATAATAAAGACGGTTGGATTTCAGCAAAAGTGGAGTTTAACTCGAGGTTCAAAGTACTTCGTTTGACGTAACCAAGAGGTAGCATCGAACTGGAAATCAATCAAGAAGTGACTCACATCCAACGCGTTGGTCCCCCTATCCATCAGATCTAACTTCGTAAGGACTCCCCACGTTCGTTCACCTGAATCAGCAGTACCACACGCATATGATATGTCATACAGACAATCCACCTACAGTAAGAACTAACTGCAGCAATTTTAGAGTACTTCCTCTCTACGGCCTCTACCGTCTGCAATCTGTACAATAATATGGGATAGGTGATCGATGACCGGCGGTCTGAGAGACGCGTTTGAGTTTGATTAGTTATACTCGAGCAGAGGGGCCAACTAAAAGGGAGAAGACATGCTAAGCAAGAAAGGTGAATGTAGGTTCTTACTACAGCATGCGTAAGGTAACAACAGTGCACCCACATCGCGAAACTTCATGAGAAATTAAAATGCTGAAGAGGTGGTTTGGACAAGTAGAGGTACGTTATGGCCCAAACGAGCCCAACTCCATGGGCCCTTTACCATGTTGCCCTTAGGAAAGTTGCCATCAGAGGGAAAAACCTACAGCAGACTTTGTCAAATAATACACGTTTCTCAGTTATGAGGCGTCTCGGATACATGCAGGCCAGGTGCAGGATTTCAGATGGACTGAAAGTCAACATCTTTCTAACTTTGTCTGAAGACATAAGTATTCAGAGGCTTATAAGAGACTTTGAATCCAGGCCTCCTGTTTAAGGGAACTTCTTCAGATCAAGAGAAAGAATTGTGACCCACGAGTAGTGCACTACGTCTGACTGGATAAGACCATCCCGATTTTGGAACTTTGAATGTTATCTGGAGAACATTTGAAGAAATACGTCCAGATGTCATATTCCATTAGCAAATATAATAAAGATTTGATCAAAATTGCACTGCAACTTTCTACAATTCATTCGCAAAAAGGAGAAGGCATGCAGTTTTCTGATTTCGTTCGTCTAGCACAGTAAAGAAAACACTTAATAGATTTTAAGTATAATTAGACCAACTGTTCACTCGACTGCATGACTTCCAAAATGTAGTTAGGATTAAAAGATAGTTGCACGAGTAGAGCGGTACAGGATAGAGTACAATATGTTAGAATATTGTACCTGCGGGATCAACTTCTCTGGCCAATTTGATTGCATCTGAAGTTGCGATGTCCTGATTTGCAGGGGAGATTGCCAGAATGATGGAATTGGGCTGCAAGCGAGGAGCAGCAGAGTGAGACGGTGTTGGAAGCAAGACACTTGACGACACTCACCACTCTGAGCAGTTACGACGTTGCAGTGTATTACTTAACAGCGGGGAAAACTTCTACTGATTTGAGCAGACTTTCCAAGATAAGATGAGAGCAGAACACATGTAGTTTCTGAAGATTTCATTCCGGTGATTTTTCCTCCGAACGACATTACGAGAATGAACCTTCTAAGCCAACGAAATTCAATCAAAGCACAGACAATGTTTGAGGACCATTGACCTCACCTTCTCCACGTAGGATCGAACCATGTTCTCTATATCATGTACGATGCTGTCGGGCTGTCCCTCTGCATAAGTCATGAAATGGGTGGTCAGAACTTCCGGCAACACTAATTAACACACACGTGAGCACGAACTGTCAGCATTTGATAAAAAAGAGACGGAAGGATCATAACTTACCCACGGCAACTTTCGTCAACCCAGGAAGATCGATCAGCGTAAGATTCACGACTGCACAGAAAAGAGAAAATATGTCAGGTTCACTTCCAGTGTCTAATTCATGCGTAAGTTGCATTAATATGCTCAAAAGTACCAATGACATACACTGCTGGGGAAGAAGGCCTCCAATGAATTGAGCGACAAAGTACTATTTCAACCGGATCGCTACTCCAGATAAACACAACATGCAGAAATATCAACCAACTCCACATCGATTTAGTAAGATCGACTATATAGTCGATCTTACTTCTATATTGATATAACTGCACCAGTTCAATTCAAAAAAAAACAAATTACCATTGGGAGAGTATATGCTCAGGTGAATTGGAACAGGAGAAATCATCTTGCTGCGACCAGTCACCCTATCGGTTTCATCAGCTATTTCCTTTCTGACCGCCGCTGCGAAAAAGATTACAGATTCCTAAGGTCAGGTCAGATTATTGGCCATGAAATAGAAAACTTCTTCAAATATCAATGATGATAAGGCCACCCACGGCCAATAATAGCAAAACACATAATGACTTTCGAGCGACCGCCCACCAATAGCAAAGCGGTAAACGGACAATTCAAACTAGTGTCTAGAGACGATCTTCTGGAACAGTACTCTCCGTGATTTAAGGTCTCCAAAGAGGATTCAATCTACAGGAAACCACGAATCTGTATTATCCATGAGTCATTATTCACGAATGTTGCTCGCCAGCTTACCGAAATCAGCAAATCTCCTTCTCGGATGGTGTAGAAACTCTGCGTAATCGGAACCATCATCTGTTTTATGCAGCTGTAAAACCAAAGGCCTCCTCGTAACGATCCCTGTGGCAAACCAGTTCAGAGTCACATGCTGCACGATTGCCAATACATCAAAGCCCATGCATAGCCCTAGGCCGATCATCTCTCTCTCTCTCTCTCTCTCTCTCTCTCTCTCTCTCTCTCTCTCTCTCTCTCTCTCTCTCTCTCTCTCTCTCTCTCTCTCTCTCTCTCTCTCTCTCTCTCTCTCTCTCTCAGGGAGACTAACCTGAGCCACGAGGAAGAAAGTCTCTACCGACTATGCTTTCCAACACGGACGATTTCCCAGAACTCTGAAACACAAACACGCGAGTCAATAACCATTAAAGAGTATATTTCATTGGCAAGCCGATGTGCAGCGGAGGAGCTAGATAGACAGCTTCGAAGCCCGGACAAAGGCAAACAGATGTTCAAAATCGCGTTCCTGCAGTGAAACCCACTCACCTGACCACCAACAACCACAACTGAGGGCAGAGACTCCCACAGCGTGGGGAGAGCATTATCACCCCCATAATCTCCCAACACTGTACAAGCTCGTTGTATTCTATTCACGAGGCCTATGAGACTTTCCATGACGTTCTTCCTTCTACTTCAACCCAACAATTCAGCAAACTTGCCCCCGTGGAATTTCCTCGTGTAAGCCGGGTCTGTACGCCTCTCGGAACCTCGATGTCCTGTGACCTCGTTCCTGTCAGACCCTCGAGCCTTTGCTCTCGTTCGCACTTTCCTTGCCCAGCTCGCGTTGCGTTGCGGTGCGCTTCCTCTGCAAAGAGAATGATCGCGACTGCCTCTTACTCTGCTGCTGCGCTCCTGCTCACCCTCGCCAGCGGACAAGAACCATGCAGGCACGGCAAGAGCGAGAGAAATGGACCGCGCTCCAGCTGCCTCCGCGATCACGCCACGGGAGCCCGAGTTCCTTCGTCTCCACCTAATCGCACTGGGTCCGTGGGTCAGTCCAAAGAAATTCCTTGGGCTTCAAACAATCAATCACTCAATCAAAAGCGAAGCAAAGCAAGCAAATCTGTCCACAACACTCCAACTCCACGCCATTCCCTTTTTTTCACTTTCTTTCTTTTCTTGCTCTGGTCTGTCCACCACAGACTGCCGCTACTCCCTCTCGTACGACCACCGTACTCCCTCTGGGGCAACCAAATCTGCCGCTATAAAAGCGCAAGGCGGCGGTCTTCCATGAAGGCAGCAGTGATTCACCAGACCTGCAACGGGACAGGTAACTTCATCTACTCCAGTCCCGTCGTTGTTGCCAGTTGGAGTCCCGGAGCTGCGCCAATCACCTACTCGGAGGAGGTCGCTTTGGCCGCACATCTACTCTGGACCCGTCTGCCATTGGTGGGCTTTTGATGACGAAGCCGGATCGTCGCACCACAATGCTCGCGGCTTGAGACGAAGTCTACGGAGCCTCGCTCCGACGGTGCCACCCACGCTCCGCCCTGTGTTCTCAGGACAGCCTTCCGGCTCTCTCTGGTCCACCACGTGTTCCACTTTGTCCACCACGTTTTTGTTTGAACCTTTCTCTGAATGTTTGTCCGTGGAAACAAATATTGCTTTCGGCTCGACGTTACTCCTTAGAACGTTCAGGAACTTACTTCTGGATACTGCCATGCAGTTGAGTCCGCTCTCCCACCAGTCCTGTACAATACAGTGCATTGACTCCGTAGTGGATAAGAGAACTGTAGTATTTCTTCTTGTACAGTACATGCAAATCAATGTACTCTTGGGCGCCGAAATTCAGTTCGCTGCCCAACGATTATAATTGTTGGACAGCTAATTAAATACAAAACTTCCATTGTTAATTGACCGGTACCTTCTCATCTCTAAATAAAAACGCTTATAGGGTGTTTAGTGATATGTACCACATATTTTTAGAATTTATTCATCTCTAAAAGAAGGATTTTTAGCAGTGTAAAAGACGTTTTTGAGTGAATGTGGATCTCGAAATATGAACTAATATGTCAAGAATCTGTCAGCATTGAAATTCAGAATTTTATCAGTAATTATCCCCCCGAAAATTCATTCATCGACACAGACATCTTAGAATTAAGTTGTTCACCTCTTGTTTTGTAGTACACACTCTTTCCGTAGGGTGACATCTTTTTTCAAGAAAGACCTCGACTTAGTGATCACGGTCCGGGATGATTATATCACCACTAAAAAGAAGAACATGGTGTCACTATTTCTTTCAGTGAGATCATCATCGCGGGACCTATGGTAATATTGGCCATTCGCATGGACACCTAGCGGTCATAGAGTTATTCAGTAGTGATGATAATGCGCTCGAGAGAAGTGGATCTCAATGTGCCATAAATTCAAGACTCAATCATTATGATTTCGATCGTTCCCCTTTAATTGCAATTCATCGAGATTCAAACATGCCTATATAACCGATTTCACAAAGAAGACAGTCGTGTGAACTTCTGCAAAGGTAATAGCCATTGGATTAAGAGTCTCGTGAATTAAGATGTATAAAACCCAGCATGCTTATATTAGTCAATTGTTTATATTAATTTAATTTAGTCTAATGAAAAAAATTAATATAGATGGTAAGAGAAATCAATCTGAATTCAAAGGAAACTTATCAAGCTTTTTTTTTCCTTTGTCAATGACGGGAAGCATAGACGACAAACTATTCATTAGATGCCGTCAGCAGCACTTTCACCTTTGAAGTTACTTCACTTGTGTTGCTCCATATTCTCACATTTATTACATGCTTATGGTTGTTAGGTTTTGAGTGATTGACATGCAAACCTTGACTTTTAGTTTATGGTTTGGAAATGTCAGTTATCAGATTTTGGAGGAGAGTAGTTTAAGTAGACATAAACGGTTGGTATCAATGCTGGAAAATACCAACATTGATAATTTGCCAGTTAATAATCAAAAACAAATTGAGAACTAGCACAAGACACTTGACTTACAAAATTTGATGGATTGAGTCCGGTTGTATGAAGAGATTCCTTGTCATGAATAGCTAGTGTTTCATGGGAGGCTAGCGCATAGTCAAATTCATAGATGCCGAATATTTTCACATAGAAATTCACGAGAGAACTATGAATATTGTTATTTTTCTTTAGTTTATCGGTTTTTTCCATCTATATTTATGTCTAACCAAATTACTCTATTCATTATCTTGTGAAATGATAGAAGATGGTGAATAGAGACTTTTATTAACTATCTTGATCGTTGATACTTAGGTCTTTGATAGACAATCCGAACTAGACTACAGTCAAGACTTCATTCGCTGGTTTCAGGTTAATATTTTGGAAGCGAAGAGTCTATAAGACTTCATTCTACAAATATTGTCAGCTGTATTTGAAATTGTATTTAAAGTCAACTTAATCTGTAAGCCATTCTTGTAATCATGGAAAGTGTTTGGATCTGGCTTGTTTCATGTCTTTATTTGTGCATCATCTTCATACCTCGTGTGATTGAACCCAACTTGCGAGACTTTGTCATCAAGTGCTTGAGGTGCTTGTTTACTTCAATGAACTTACGAATTGATTGATTAGTTTGAGCTATCTCAAAATCTGCCAGCAAACATCATGTTTCGATCACATACGATTATCAAAATGCTCATTATTACAGATCCTCACCCGTTTGAATAAATCTCCATTGTCTGTCCACTTACGTTGATTTAGACTCCTAGATGCATCTTAATTTAGGTAATTTATACAAATTACGTAATGCAATTACTTGTCGTCTAATTTACGCATGTCTGATTATACCCAAAGAGATGTGAATGACAATCTGTGTGACCTTGAGCAACAGGGCACCAATTTCCAATATTCATTGATGACCATATCTTGTGCTCCGATCCAAGATTCTTCCTTGGTGTCTTTGATCTCTTCCACATTGACGTGAGGCGACACAAAAATGATTTGTAACTATAAATTGAATACATGTTGTTACTTATTTTCTCTAATTTTTAAAGTAATTATAATTCATTTGTAAAGTATTTTTTTTATAATCGTATGGATCTAATGTGACGTTTGGAATGTCATACACCATTGAATATGTTATCTGAATGTTAGATGAAATTCAAGTGTAAATTAATGAAAATAAAATAAAATTCTAAACACACATTTTTTTAAACATTCAAAATCATTTTTAAATATAAATAACAGATTAAAAAATTAAAAAGGTTGAGCAAAAAGAAAATAAAAACTTCAAAAAAAAATCAAACATAATTATTTCAACTTCTTTCTCAAAAAATAATTATTATAACAAATTAATGAAATAAAAAATATATAGTTTAAAGATTAAATCTATATTGTGTGTGTATATAAAACTCAATCATAATGAAAATTTCTAATTTATATTATTATTTAATTTCAAATCACATGTATATGTGTATATATATATATATATATAGTATCTAGTTATTACTGAGTTTGGCTAATTATCCCTCATCCTAGGCTAATCTGCACTACTTCTAACCTCTTACTATGATCGCAAAGACTAAATCCCATAACTCTAGTAAATATATGGATAGATGTGACCAACCATTGAGCTATGTTCTGGATAGTATGGTAGTATGAACATTAATTAGTCCAAACACAGGGATAACTAACCTCTCCCTATATATGTATACAAAAATCTATACAAATGCATATGAAAGATTGTTTAGATTTTATATGTTTGCAATTTTTTAATTATTATGTAACTATTGAGTTTGATATTTTTTATATAATAGATTAAGCAACAACATTAAAAATTTTACAATCAATCTATCAAAAAACTATATTTTGACCATTTAAAATAAATCTTACTTGAATAAAAATATAATTAATTAGTATTACAAATTTATATTAATAGTTAAAAATTGAACTATATTTGAAAGGTCATAAAGCATAAGAGGCATAGATTTTAATGCTGAGTTGTATCTTTTTAAAATAATCAATATTTCTTATTATATGTTTTTTTTAAATGATTATATATTATAGATGATCAATCAATTTTTGTAAGACATGTTCACAAAGATTGATAAAATTTAATTATTTGGAAAAATGTTTTATCATCAGCAATTTTTTGTGTGTTTTATTATTTTTTTATTACAATAAATTGAAATCAAGTAACAACTTACATTTAAAAAATTTTTAACCATTTATCCGTGACACAATCAGAGTTTTCATTTCAAAAAATTTGTATTTTGGACATAATATCTCAAAGTTGAAACACATATTTTTAATATCAAATTTTTCGAAAAATTTGAAATATTCTATTGTGTAATATTTTTATGAAGTTTAATCCTTGTAGTTATTTATTCTCAATGATAATATAACGTGAAATTAGTTGTCTTAAGAGTATACTAAAGTAAATGTACTGAGGTGGAGCACTCAATGGGCTAGGGTAGCCCAAAGCTTGACTAACCCCAAGAAAACTCCGAACTGAGGCCATTGAGTTTGTACACATAGACATTTTATTTTACCTCTATCTCAATAAAACCTTAATAATTCCAAATTGCTATTTAATATGAAAATTTAAAGCTTATCTTGGTTTATTCAATGATTTATATCAATTACATATTTTATCAAAAATATGATACTCTAAAAAAATGAATAAAATTTACTCTTGATTTTCATCAAATGATAAACTATTACTATAAATAGAACAATTTTATTTTTCCTTAGCTTGGATACGGTTTTAATACTGGAGACCCATTTATCACTACTCATGTTGTTTGGACATTGAAAACATCCCTACTTTTCAATGACTAATTTTTGAATTCATAATCAAAGAGCTAAACTTATTCAAAACCAGCTAAGTTTTAAGATAAAGAACTCAAACTTAATAAAGTACTAGATTAAGTGTATACTAACTAGGTTAATGAGTGTCTCTAAAAAATCAATTCTTATATGAAATCCGTTATCATCATCAACTTGCCATTTCAAACACCTCTAACTGCATATTAAAAAATAATCCTACAGTTCATTTGCAATTTGCACATCCATGATTATAATATAATTGATCACTTTTGAATATGAATTGTAAGATATTTTGCAAGTTCACACAATACAAATTGTGAATCAAGATCATGAGTATTGTTATGGTAATATTACACAGATTATGAGTTGAATTTGTTGATTTTTAAATAATAAACATACATTGAAAATAGCTGTAATGCAAAATGAAGATGAGGTTATATATTTCAGAACATTTGCAGTCAAACTTTAGGCCAATTATGTGAAAGAAATGATGTAAGGTGATTAAATTTGGAGTCTCAACAACAAGAAACTATGAAATGAAAATTGTGATATAATGAAGATTTGCAAACAATTTTAAATACTTGAATATGATCATATAGAATACTGAATTCATTCTTGTTATTAAAATCCAACATACACTTTATCAACACAATCATATTGATAGAAAAAATACAGCTTTGTTACCATGTGATACAATGAAATATTTACAAATTCAAATTCAAATAGATTGACATCATCAAAACTTATACAATTTCAAATAATGCTGTTAAATATACAAATTCTGAATGAGATGAAAGGACTAAAATGAAGCTACAGCTTAAAGTTTTGGATTAAGCAACGTTTTTAGATCTAATATTTGTAGTTTCAACAAACAAATTTCAAAATTTGTTTTCTTCAATTAGTTAAAAAAATTTCTTTATAAGCAAATTTGAAACTATGATATGAAACATCATCAAATAGAAAACAACAATTGTGTCAAAACCAAATACTGAAGTTGTCACATGACATCTACAACCTTTAGTTTTTCAAACTTCTAGATCACTATGATGATACTATTTGCTAATATCAAATTTTTAACATTATTTGAACAACAAAATATTTGTTTTTATCTCAAAGATTTTAAACAATTAGTTAAATCGCATTTTTTATATTAAATCACACAATATCAAAATTGTTAACTTTGATTATATGAATTTGTTGACAATATTAAATATAAAATAAATAATGAATGATTCTTTATTTTAAGATTATTTTTTCATCATACTTTTCATGTAATACGTTTTCATGTGATTATAAGAGAATCATATATACAAAATCACAATACAAAAAGATTATAAAATTTTTGAAATACATGTATGATTGAAAAATAATATTTTTCATATAAAATATGTTTTAAAATGTATAAAATGTGGCTAGCCACATTTTTTATTTAAGTATTTGACATAAATATGTTTGATTGCATATTCAAACTAAAGATATTTTTAAATCAATATGATATCTATTTATATAATGAAGCTAAAAATGTGACGATTGATTTAATAATAATTTATAGATTTATTTTCATTTAATGATTTAAATTTTTTTATCAAATATTCAACGCCATATTAATATTATAATTACTTCATGCATTAAGCCCAACACATTGATAAAAGACGCTTATGTTTTAACATCAAATATAATATTTACTTTCAATTTCTTTAAGTCGAGGCTAATTCCAGTTAAGGAGTTAACCCTATGTGTGGCTATGTAGCTATTTATAGCTGAGACGAGTCGCATACTTTGGGTATATATACTCTAATGCTTATGTGGGTGATGTTATGTTTTGATGTTGAAGTAGTAAACTCTCTTGAGTGTATTACTCCATGAATGTAAAACTTGAAGGTGAATCACGTTATACATTTTTGTCTCTCATTTCTCTCATGTTGATTAGTTTCTCTCATATTGATTAGCTTGTTCAATGTGATCTAGAGTTTTATACTGAAAGTTTCAACAACTATTCAATTTTGTATTTAATATGAAAAATCTTAAATTTGTTTTTTTATTTATATTTTTGTATTGAAAATATTATTTTTTCATAATTTTACAAACTGAAAACTATTATGAAATTTTCATTAAAAGTTTCAATTCATGTTGAAATGATAATATGCATAAAATTCTAAATTGGCTTTATTTTGCAAGTTTTCAAGATATTAGTTTTGTATCAAAGTGTTTTATTCTGAAAAAAATCGATATACATCATTTTTTGGGATGAATATAATTATACCGACACAAATAAATCATGCGTATTTATTTATTTATTTATACATACATACATATATAAACATGTGATGTGTCTACACTTTTCTAATGCAAAATACAAACTCAAATTCAGTCAGTGTAAAAAGTTTTCGAGGCCTGATTGATCTTGAACAATTTAACATAATTTAAATTCAAATTTTTTTGTTCATATTACGTTCATTTTTGAAAGTACTATGCGGATTCTAATTTTGATCAGCTAAAATTGATTTTTTGATATGTGTATTTTCAAAATAATAATAATATTATAAATTTCAGTTGATAAGAATGAATTTTGTAATAATTTTTTTTAAAGATTTGTTTGTTTATTTTGTTGGCTAAGATCATAGAATTTCTCTTCATAAGAATACAATGAATTAGACAACTTATCAAAATTTCAATTTGGTAATTTCAAAATATGAATAAATGAATTTTGGGAACATATATATCAAAACGTGTGAAATAAATTTAAGAATTTGTAAATCACACATGAAAGAATTTTTACCTATTTTTTTTATTAATTCAAGCTCATTTTCACGTCACATGTTTAAGTTTTTATTGATATTTCACGTTTTGAGATTTATTTGTCATAACATCATAAGTTTATGATAACTTCAATATTATCTTAAATACATATATTTTCAATCGCAACATCACATATACTAAATGTCTATTTGAGACATCTATATAAGAGGAATCGTTTTGATATATATCAAAAAATTGTGTATATAATTCTATTATATATTTTATTGCTCAGATGAAATTAGTAATGTCAATGACACCAGCTAAAATATAAAACCATCGTCTACGCAAAACATGGATTACTGCGAAATTTAAGGGCTTTGTGTTAGAATATCATATAAGTGAATTTATATTTTTTAAATCATATAATAATAAGGTGATGTAATTCAAAGTTAAACAATTGCAATAGATGTGAATGTTTTCTTCGTCAATTAATGCATGTATGAAGAAGTTATAACACAAGAGAATCTTAACAATCATAACATTTGCACCATTATAAAAATTAATTACCAAATGAAAAAATAGTTAGCCAAGTGTTTGGCATAGTAGCAAGGAATAAAAAAGATGCAATTAACTAATCAATGAATGTAGTATCAAAGACTTATAGAATGAGTCTCATAAAGTGATATTTGTAGTTGGTATTATTTTCCGCAACAAGATGAAAAGTGAAGAATAAACTTTCGTGCTAGCATCTAAAAAATTAATAGAAGAATGCATATGTTATATGTATATTTAGAATATCTCGCAGGAAAATCTCAACGACATATTACATATATTCTTCATATTAAGTTGCCGCATCATAGAAAAGAGAAGAATAAAACGCAGGAAAAAACCTAATTATATCGTGGCTGTCGGGAGGGAATTCAAGTGGCACTACAACGTAACAACGTCCGCTGCTCAACCGGCTTTCGATTTAATGTTGACCGCTACGATTGGCTACTCTCAAAAGTTTGCTCGAACTGATTGTGAAGCAAGTCTTGTAAGGCGGACGAGGATGAATTGCCGTCAAAGTTCTTATGTTCTCATTTTGTAGAGATATCATCTCTTCGGGAAGTTAAGATGAAGGTGTGTTTCAAGTGCAGTTGTGATTCTTTCCATATAATGTGCTTATGACGGATCATGGACACTACCTTTTCGAGGATAGAAGAGCTCAAACGAAATGCAGTCTGATTTTGTCACAACCTGTCTGCAAGCGAAGAAATGTCAAGGTTTAGAAATAATTTAAACACAGTTTAGTGAACTTTTACAGATTGCTGTGGAAGGATGTGCGCACGGTGACCTCGAGAATATATACGCAACTCTGCAGCATTTGGAGCTGGTTCAAAATACGAAAATTGACCTCTTGATCTGTTGCGGCGATTTTCAGGTTGGTCCTTCTTGGTGCTCGTTTCTGAGTTTCTTATCTTCGCCTCGTGAGGAAATCTGTATCAATCTATCCAAAATTTCGTGCACAGTTTTCTCATATCTTATGTTACAATGTAGGCAATCAGAAATGAGCACGATATGGAGTGTTTAGCCTGTCCGGCGAAGTATCGTGAAATTGGAAGCTTTTGGAAGTACTACTCAGGAATTGAGAAAGCACCCTACCCCACCATTTTTGTGGGAGGTAACCACGAGGCATCTAATTATTTGTGGGAGCTGTAAGCAGTTTTACTGTTCACTTCCTTGAAATGTAGTTGTAGTCACTTTTCCACTGTCAAATTCCCAGGATTTCTCTTACCAGACTCTGTTGAGATTTTATCAATAGTTCTTTCTGATTGTATAGCCTCTCAATTCCAGATTTTTTGAGCTCGTACGACTTATAGCCTGATGGTCCATGTGGTCAGATATTATGGCGGCTGGGCAGCTCCAGATATTTACTTCATGGGATTCGCTGGCGTGATAAATTTTGGGGGTGTACGCATTGGAGGTCTTTCTGGCATATACAAACCGAAGGACTATCGATCAGGCAAGAGCGCAACTTCTAATTCCTTTACGTTTGAGGCATGCAATTCTGAATATTGGCTTCAAGATGAACCCAGTTTTCAGCTTAATTTAAAATTCAATGGCTTTTCAGCAAATCTTCGAAAACTCGTTTTGCAGTTTTATTTTATCTTTAATGGTATCTTACCGTTCAATTTTTTCTAATCTTTTAGAGTATTCAGTTTCTGGCTGTGCGGATTATTGATAGCTTCGGCAGTTTAAACTTTGGGTTGCAGGGCATTATGAACGCGCTCCTTATAATGAGAGTGATATGAGGTCAATATACCATATACGAGAATATGATGTGAACAAGCTTTTGCAAGTGAAAGATACAGTGGATATTTTTATTTCGCACGACTGGCCATGTGGTGTTGTCAATTTTGGAGACAAGCAAGGTCTCCTCCGTCGGAAGGCGTATTTTCAACAGGAGGTATGTGTTCGAAAGCCGTTGCAATAAGACGTTGGCTTGAGTGACAGCCAGTGTCTGGAATGCCAATGCGTACGCATTCTCTGTTTCAAAGAATTGGAATTCCTTGAGATGAAACTTGCCACCAACTTTGATGGGACCTGGTTACGACAGCCATGTAAACTGACTGAACGAATGAACAAGTCAGAACCCATTCAACTGTATGGCAAGACATGGGAATCACACTTGCTACTGACGGAAATCTTGAACTGTTCAAAACTTGCAGGTTGAGCAAAACAATCTCGGAAGCAAACCGGCGATGCAAATCCTGCAGAAGCTAAAACCATCATACTGGTTCTCTGCTCATCTACATACGAAGTTTGCTGCTCTGGTCCACCATCAAGACGGCTCAGCTACAAAGTTTCTTGCTCTGGATAAATGTCTTCCTGGACGTGACTTTTTGCAGGTTGGTAAGATTAATGGGACACATGTAATGAATTACTTGGTAGATCATGGCCCTCCGAGTATTCCTCTTTGTAAATGGGTTATAATACTAAGTGGTCCACGTAAAAGCTGGTTACTTCTCGTTATCTCTTCCAATATCCTAATTCTGTCTTCACCTCGGATACTTTTGAGCAGGTACTTGAGGTACCCAGCGGGGATGGACCGTTTGAGTTCAAGTTAGACGAAGAATGGTTAGCCATAACACGCGCTTATCACCCTTTTCTGCCTCTCACCAGAAGGCCTGCTGTTTATCCGTAAGTGTTTCTCATTTGTTTGATTCAAAAGTTCATTTCTGATCTCCGTAGACATAGGCGTGACCTTGGAAGGCGGGTAAATTGGACGTCAAGTTGCCACTGAAAATCAGTTTGTAGCTGGTGATCTCTTGAGCTAAGATAAATGGTAGAACAAAAGAGGCACACATTCAGAAATTTTCTAAGGCAAGGTGGAAATGGTTGAATTTTGCGGCTCCCAGACAGGACATATCGTTGGAGTCACACAGGCTGTGGGTGAAGGAACTTTTAAGTGTTCATGGCAAAGACAGCCTTCCAGAGTTTGCCACGACAGCTGAGCCTTATAACCCAACCCAGGGTGGCAATGAACGTCATCTTCATGCCTTAAATCGTGCAGGTTCTTACCTGTCCATTCACCTCTCTACCTGACGTATATCGTGCAGACCAAGGACTCCAATTCTGACATTCAGCTGGATCTCTTCATTGATGGAAAGTCCTGATGTAGCTTGCAAGACAATAGTGCTGAAGGCGTAACACTAGTTATCACATTAGTTATCAAAATCTTCAATTTTGTCAGTTGAAAGCCTAAAAAGTTAAAGTTCGGTGATTTATATGTTCATTTTCAGAAAGCTAATGAGCTCATAATATATCAATAAAGGAGCTTATGAAAGAAAATGTCAGTGTTTGAAGCAGCATAGTGTGTAGCAGAGGATCTTCAATGCATGAGACATTAGTGTTCGTTGAGGACATGCGAGATTGTAACCAGGAACCTGATAATGCAGGTCACACCAGAAATCAACAGACAGAAGCCTTGATAGAGGCATTGGAGCTGGAGTACACTTTCGATGGACCTGGTGGTGGTGACACCATCAACCAATATAGTAAGTTGGTTGTGTGAGATGCATCCTTGTTGGATCGATCATATGATCTTCATGTATTACGTCTTTTTTATTATGGTGAACTCAAGCCAGCTGTACACTGATTTTCTTCTGTACTGTCACATAATAGATTGCGGTATCGTGATCTGCATGCAGATCACAATACTATGGAATATAATTTTTTCGGATCAAATTTCATATAGTTTGGGTGTGGTTGATTAAGCACTTCGTAATTCCAAGGAGTAAGTTCAAAATCTATACAGGTAGTATTTTGATTGAGAATGACGCATGTTCCTTTCAAGCAGGCACTGTTGCGGATCCTGATGAAATTCCACTTGACGATGAAGAGGATATTGATGCTCAAGTCGAAAATGATGATGAGGCTGAAGCGGCCGCTACAGCAGTGATTCTTCCCGAACATGTAAATGATCCAAACGAAATTTGTTTGAGCGAAAGTGACTTTGTCTAAAATCAGTGAAGCTCAATTCATGAGAGATGTGAGTAGCAATGAGATGTATATATATGTTGGTTTGCTGCCTTGTGGCAGTAAATCAAAGCGGTTCAAAGGAACAAGTTTGCCGAACTGAAGCTAAGGACAAGTAAAGGGCCTCATTTGGTAAACTGTACTGGAGCATCGTTCTTGCCTTCGTTCCCTTATGATTGCTGGAGTCTTCTGTATACTACCCTAAGATCTGAGTGAAGAAAGTAGTGTGCACCAATTTAGAAGTGGATAACACTTACCTTCTTCATTCACAAGTAGGAGAATGCGCCATCTCGGATTTATCAGGCTAACATGACTATCACGATACTGAACAGTCAAATGTCTTGCAATAGACCATTGTTAACTGCGTGGGGTTGTTTTGGCCTCGATACCTACATTCACAAGCTCACACCAGTCACAACAATTTTAGAAGAGTCCCAATAGTGCTCAGTGCTCATGGTTTTAGATACATAGGGTTCACTCGAGAGGTAAGGCTCAACGCAATTGGGAACGCAAATGAAGGATGTTTGACAGTCCAGTTTTGTTGATGATATTTTAAAAAAGATGAATTCATAAGTATGCACGGAATGATGCGGCACAAAACGAAGTCCAATCACAATAGAGTATATTTTTGTATCACAAAAATTTAGTTTCAATTGTTTCTAGACAAAACATCAACTGATTGAGCAAACAACTGTCTGTTAGGAGATCATCAAATCAAGAGTTTGAAAGTGCAAAAAAACAAGGTAAATGTAAATTGATGCATTTTTTTAAAGATTATAATTGTGAAACCAAGGAAGACGCTGATAATGTATTGATCCAAATAGAGAAGTTTCGTGCTAAGTGAATTTATTTGTTTAGACATTACCTAGAATGACATCTCTTTGCAGTGTGAGATTAATCACTTGTAAACAAAAGTTGAAAATCAGGAGAGGTATCTTCAAATATGAAATGATGACTGACAACTTCAGATAATAACAAAAATGTCTAGATTGGAATATAAAAATCTTAACGCTGGTAGAAAAGTATGATAAAGTTATATTGATATGTGTAATTATTTATTATGTATGTGAGTTTTACATACTTTGATTTAAAAGGTTAAAATAATTGATTTGTAAACTGTTGAAATCATTATGAAAATTCATATCATGAAATAAAAAATTCAAAAAATTTATGATATAGTTTGATTTTTTATTTATCGTGTTCAGTCTATGTATAATTCAAAAAAATTGAATATTTAATTATTTGAAATTTTTGGGTTTATAGATTTTAGATTTCAATTTTGCAACCAACAAAATATAACATGTGAAAGTTCACTTAAATCTGCAAATCAGATTAAAATATTCCAGCATAATTGAAAAATTCAAGAATATATAGAAGTCAAATATTTACATGAATTTATACTATTGATTATTAATCATGATTTAAAAAGTAATGTTCTTTTAGAAAGATTTAGCATGATAAAAAATATGAATTTTCTTAACATATATTGTTTTAACTCTATTTGACTTTTGTAATTATATAAATACTGGTCTTTCCTACCCAGGAACAACACAAACGGACCAAAGAGAATGTGGAGTTTTCTTGGGGTCGCTTGAAGCTCGTTTAGCCAGTTGTGATCGTGGATGCCCGATTTCCAGGGGAGGTTGGAAGCAGCCATGAATGCCAGCAAAACTGCCGCCAAGGGCCACATGCAATGGTGTTTCCGAGCATTCGGGATTTGCTGCCAGTGGAAGTGCTACATCACAAAATCCTCCGGTCGCTCCTCATGACTGCGGTTCAGCCCTTCATAGGCTGTTCATGGAGGTATACCTTTTTCATAATTACGGTTTCTTACTTATGTTTATAATGCAAATTATAAATTTATTTTGTATATTAACTTAAAACTATAGTTGAATTTTGATTTTTTTTACTAGATTTGATATCATTTTAGTATTGACTTCAGAAAAATATAAAAAATTAAACAAAATTCATTTCAGTGCTAATCCAAGAATTAAGAGATTTTGTTTCATGTGTTAAAAATCTCAAAACTTGATATTATTATTAATTATCAATAAGATCAGTTTAACAATTGATGTAAGTTTATATCTGTTTTTTAATTTCGACTTGCAAGAAGTGCATACTTGAATTGATTTCTAATTAAAATTGAAAACAACAAGTAAGATTGAAATTTTGATTAGATTTAACATTAAAATTCACATTTAAAATATTTTATAAATTTTCCATGTTGGAAGATTTTACTGGATTAGTTTTTGCATCAGATAAAATAATAGATTTCAAGATGCAAGACATCAATTTCATATATTATACCATGATGTGTTCTTTAAAAAACATTTAAACTAATGAAAATTGATGATAATTTCATCCTGCTAGTTTGTTAACATAATATTATTAATAATATATTATAGTAGAATAAGAGTGTATGCAAATTTTATATAAAAAATGAGCAGAATTTTCCTAATATTTAAATTTGCATGCATTTATAATGAAGTCTTTTAAACAATAATTCATCTCACTATAATTGATATTGTTTTATAAAATGAAAATAATTTAAAATAATTTTAATTTCAATGTATGTTATCTTGAATATAAATCAGAATCTTGAAACATGATTCAAGAAGAAAATTGTTAATATTAAGTTAAAAATCAGCACGTTTTAATTGATTTTATTATGATTTAAAAATAAATATGACACTTAAAAAATAATAATTTTATTTGAAAGCGTGAGATGACGATTTGATTATGTTTAAATTGCAAAAATGTTATCACAAATCTTTGATTTGAACTTAAATTTATTTGGTTTGTGTGAAACATTGAGTTGATACATCTAATCTTTATTTATTAAAAAACCAACAAACAATTTTATCTTCATTTCCTGATTTTTACTTACATAGATTTAAATTTACATCAATATAATCCTATTGATAAATTTTCAATTTTAGTATTGATGAAAAAATATTTTCAAAAATTTAAACTTGAAATTTTCATAAACACAACTAGTACATAATTAATGATTATGACATGTAATATCTAGGTTATTGTTTTATGTATTTTGTGATATGTTATTTAAAGAGATGAATATACATCGTCTAGAAATTTCATGGTGATGATTATTTGATTTATATTTTAAAAGTTCATCATACATCATCATATTTGTTGCATAAATTTATATATATTTAAATCTTAATTCAAAGCTATGATGACAAATTATCTTAATATAAATAATAAATGATAAATTGATCAAGCCCGTAAGACCCAAATGATCAAAAGTCTGAAAAATACAATACAGACAATCCAACTCCAACCTAGGAGATAATCAAAAGTACCCTCTAGTTAGTGCCAAGAACACTAGAACGTTAACTAATAACATTTCTAATGTAACAACCTAATTCATAAGTACCAAGCTGAAGCAAAGAATAAAAATTCTCAACTACAACTTTATGAGACACTCTAAACTCTATATATCTAGTACAAGTAACAAACACATACCCTTCATTCTCAACTTATCTGCCATCATCTGCCATCACGTAGACTACGAATATGTTCGCTCCTATCAATGTTCAACCAACGCACTTCTTCAATCCTAAGACTATGAGATCCTATTCTATGCCTAGCAATGATAAGACGTAAAGATGTAAAGAACTCTGCAAGTAAATGTACTTGCTCACAACATCATGTCAACTCTATAATTTTTTAGTCATATGAATTCAAATATGAAAATTTTTGTAAGTATATTTTGTCTTCAAATCATGTGTTATTTCATCATTTGAATGTGTAAATTAGTTTTTTATTGACACATTTCGTGCTTGAAGTTAATTCAAGTATAAATTATCAATTATATCAGATGTTACTCTTGATCACATATATCATCAATGATTGAATTTTGAAGTTTGATCATGTGATTGTTGTGATGATGTGCATAATTATGCATTATATTCATTTTAATATCACATTGTTATATATTCAAATGTGATAATTGTGTAAATTTTTTAAAGTTTTGAATGTTATGATATCATTCTTTATTTAACACGTGTTGATGTTTTTTTATTATACTAAAATTGCATGAATCTTATTAAATATTATCTTTGATATCATGATTCTATAACAATTTGAAATATGGCAATCTTATTTTTTTAAATCTTGGTATAGATAATTATGATGATGTGATTTTTTAGTTTCATATGCATGTTGAAGCATCATGTGAAGTTTGTAAGTTGATGTTACTATCAACTTATGATATTTGCATGAGTAGATTTACTCTACACATCATTTTGTATTGTATAATTTGAAAATTAAAAGGCTTATTATGCACAGCATGTGAATTGATGGTAAAGTAAAATATTATTTTATGTTTTTTTGGAACTTTTCTTTGAGTATATGATCCCCTAACAATCTTCTTTAAGAATCTCTCTTCTCTTTCAACCATTTTCACTTTGACATTAGGGCTTATGGTGTTTAGTAATGTTGTGCTACATACTTTTGTCTTGGTTGTCACTCACAAGTCTGATGTATAATACATTCTACTCTAACATAAACCACATGTGGGAGGATTAAAATTCAGTGTTGATGTTTGTTCAGATAATAAATTATAAATCTCTTGTTTCAAACAGATGAAGGTAGTTTCCAGGTAAATTCTTCAACATAGGATCAAACTCAAGTGTTACCAGGTATTACAATGTAGTAGTGAAAGTCAACAAAAAGCAGGATCTTTTACACGTATGAAATATTTGTGTACAAGGGAAAAAAACATTGTTAGATTGTTCGTCGACTTAATAAGAGTCAATTGATACAAATATGTCTCAAACAACTGTATAATCGTAGATCATGATCTCATCTTGACTTCCTAGTGCGTTTGCCTCATGTAGCATACTCAGGTCAAAATGACCTCTCATGGATAAGAGTCATCTAGAGTTGAGGAAGACCTATAACAATTCCCCGTTCATCGTGAAAAATGTCGAAGATTTTGTCTTCTCACATGTGCATGGCATAAAAGTGTCTATATCACATTTTGATTATTGCAAAGTGAATGATTTGGCCACTGCAGTTTACAAGTAGAACATAGCATTACAAGTTAGACATGATTCACCTCAACTCGTAGATCTCAAAGTAACTAGACAATTGGAATTCAACTCGGGGCGACATAACAGTATTTTCGGCTTGATCAATTCAAATGACAAGTATGACCTTGGACTCAAAATTGTTCACAACCCTTAATCCCAATCTAAATTAGATTAGTTTTTCCACTGAAGATGATATTTGCAGTCTCGCAAAGAGTACTCTAGAGATCAATTGATCGAGTGAAAATCTTGCGAGAATTCCTCCCGGCTGGCCGAAACAGTTTCTCTGAAAATAAAAATTGATTTGAAAAGATTAAAACAAAAAGGATGGGAAGACCCCATCAAGTCCTTAGATTAAAAAAATCATTCTCATCATTGTTCGTTTCAATGAAAAGTAAGAATCACACGAAGATTCTTGGATAGACTGACGATAGATTCGCACAGAGGGGAGGCACGCTGTACTGGGGACAGAGTATTCGTAAGTGATTGACCAAAGCCTTGAGCTCCTGATGTTAGTTAGGTGCATGTTTGCCTTCGGAGCTAATCAACCAGGGAATTTATCTTTTTTATTTGAAGTAAATATATAAATTAAATACGACGCAGCCGTCCAGAGCATATATATATATAAAGCAAACAGACGTAATGTATTACATGCTTAGCAATAAAAGACGTGGAGCCGGACGGGAATTCGAATAAAGTCGGTGGTGTACATTGGGTAAGATAAATGTGGTCAATGCGAGCACATGGAGGTGCAAGAGGAGATGGAGATGCAGGAGGAGGAGGAGGCCGTAGTACCACCGGCACCGAGCCACGGAGGACCGAGGAAAGCGCGATCCTTGTGGCGAGCATCGTGACTTTTTGACATCGGATCGAGGTTCGGTTTGGGTCTGATAGAAGATCGAGGTTCGTCCGCTTTTATGCTGCGCCTGCTGCAATTGCGGATGCCTCCTGCCTGCTGCAAGTCGCTGAGCAGTGAGCACACGAGTTTCACCACATTCTTGATCCAGCGAATTAAGATTGGACGTACCTCAAAATCATGCGGGAAATTCTTTCGTGTCTGTTCTCCGCCGCGCGTTGCGAGTTGTTGGATCTGCTGCCCTTGCCGAGCTCGTCTCACTTGTAGACTTGTAGAATTGTCTCTCTCTTTCTCTCCCTTTCTGTCTCATGCTCAGCTCAGATGTGCCCTCTCGTGCTTTCTTGCGATCAAAGCTTTTCAATCGCCACCCCGCTCTCAATGACAGTGAGCTCTTCTGCCACCACGATGTTTTGAGGAAGCTAGCAACGAGAATTCTCGCACGGCAGAGCGTCCAGATCTAAGATCAACAGCGGCCAAGATGTTGGAACGAGCACTGTCGTTGAGGAGAAAGATCCTTAGGGCACTCAAGGTCCAGAATTGGTTTGGGAAAGGTAGCAATTTGTCGCCGTCGCCGGATGTGACCATTCACAAGGCCAAGCCCGAATTGGAGGAGGGCGCTGCCGATGGGGTTCCGGCCGGGATCCGGTACACGTCCGCGCATTCGGATTCAGACATAGGCATCGTGTGTACGCTGCGGCCCGCTTGCGAGAGGCGAGAGCTGACCCCCAACACTCCGCTGGCGATTGTCATCCCTCCAGCGCCAGGCATCGCGCAATCGCCTCTGAGGACGCCGGACTGCAGCCGCGCGGGGTCGAGCCGGTCCAGCCCCACGCAGTCTCATGAATTCGCTTCGGAGGTGGAAAGGTTTCAGCGCTTGCAGGTGCAGAGGAGGGCCATCACCAGAGCTCGGTCCATGCCCCTCTCCATCGAGGATCCTATGAGAAAACTGAGAGATTCCTACGTCCGGATGATGCACCAGATGGCCCATGACGACGCCACCCAAAACCCGCTCTCTCCTTCCAGCGCTCTTGTCATGAACGAATCCGGCTCGTCCCGCGTTTTCGATTACGTGCACCGGAAGCGCACTCCTGCCGATGAAGAAGAAGAAGAATTCTGTCGTCTACATGTAATGAGAACCAAATTTCAGAGATCTCAGAGCTCTTTATGACATATTAAGTAGAATTTGCGACACATTAGTCAGGACAGTTTATCGCTGGCGGGCATCTCTTTCGGTACTCTCATCGACAGGCTTCGTTTTTGACCGTCCGTGGTCGGACAGACGGTTAATTCGAAGGATTTCGAGGGTTTTTCGAGGGCGGAGTCGAGACTGAAGCTCCAAATGAATGGGTTTACACGGTGCAGAGGTTTGGCTTGATTTCTTAGTAGGTTCTGCTGTAGCAGCTTCCTTATGATCATCCATCATCATCGTATCACAGCACACTGACGTACTTGTTTGTGAGCTGCCTGGTACTAGAGAATTGATCTGCTGACGCCTCGAGTCTGCTCCCTGATTTGTCCTGACCTGTAGATGTACCCTGGTAGAGGCAGACAATGTACACTTTATAACTTTTATCTCTATAGTGGGGTTTCTCGAGGCGTGTGGGACGACCTGTGAAGGATGTGTCATACACATGCTCCCGTTGTGGCATACACTGTACAATCTGGAATAAAGGAAAGTCTCCAACGCTGGAACAAGAGCTTTGTTGGGTTCCTCTCTCGTCGGGGCTGCATCGAGAGTACAACGTAGCCTGGTCATCATGTCGTTGCCTTGTGTATGAACTTGGACACGCCCTACAATGACCCCTTTTGCACTAAATTCAGCTGAAATTAAGTTGCACCTCACATTGCAGGTCGTCTCGAAGCTATTATGATGATTCTCGTCGTGGTGAAAATTCTGAAGCCGCGGGCGAGGTTGCTAATAGTTTCATTCTCCGAGCTGTGCAGCGGGAGGTCTCGGATGATGACGGTCGGAACGTCAAGTTTGATGGGACTATCGTATACCGATATCTCCGAGGACTTGGAGTACTCCCGCTGGTGCCTGCTAATCTTCGCGTCATTACCATGACAGTATTCATACAGAATACAGATCATGCGAACCACAGAGGAGTCGAGAACTGGACTCACGCGCGCATGCACGTGCGGCTACCTTTACCTCTGCATAATTATGGCTGGATGTATTCTAGCGCCGAACATTACAGAAACACAGCCCATCACCAGCTATGGGAGAACACATCGTTGAAAATTGCATTACAGCAGATCCGGAGGGAACGTTCGAGTGCACGACACTTTGCTGTGAGATTTTCTGGAAGTTCATTATCGTGAGACTGCGAATGACCCGTCGTTGAGACGATCGAGAGGCACTGGAAACAAGGATGACAGCCATCGGCAGCAGAAAGTTCCAAGGTGATCCCCCGGTCTACCATTACAAAAACCGAATCCATCTTCATTAGCATAATATGTCATTATCATATACATCCTCTACAGAGCACCACCTACCTACCAACTTCAAAACGGTATCGATGTCGCAAGTGTTCGATCTTGGAACAGAGTTATTTGTTAAATGCGTATTGCAGAATGTTTTGGCCCGCGGACCCGCGACCGACCCTCTGGTTGACATCGAGGGAACTACACGAGGTTCCGAGCCACCATGCCTTCGATGGTCACTCCGGGGCCGAAGGCCAGCATGAAACCCCACTCGGGATCTTCATCCGTGGACAGGCCGCATTGCAGATCTTTGCGCTTCTGCAGACTGGCCTTGCGCATGTAGTCGAGAACGTAGATGATGGTGTTGCTGTTGATGTTGCCGTAGTCCGAGAGAACCTGCCGGCTGCAAAGTAGTTTGTCTCGGGGGAGATTCAGCTGCTTCTCGACAGCATTCAAAATTGCAGGGCCGCCGGGGTGCACAGCCCAGAAGAGATCCTCGTATTTGAGGTCCAGTCCGATCTTCTTCAGCAGCCCTCGGGCAAATTCGTCGATGTTGTGCTCGATTAGTTTCGGCAGCTCTCTGCCGAGGGTGAAGATTATGCCCTCTTCGGTCAGAGTGCCCTCGATGGTGCGCTCCGTCTGGGGAATGAAGCTCTGGCCCGCCCAATGAAACTCGAAGAACGGCGTCTCGACAACAGGAATGGGATCCGCGCCGATGATCATTGCAGCAGCCCCGTCTCCGAAAAGCGCAGCTCCGACGAGATCGTAGGGGCGGTCCGGATGAGGAGCGCGGTAGCCGATCAAGCACGTCTCGCTGGTGGTGAGCAGAACACGACTGCCGGGATTATTTTCCGCCAGGTCTTTGGCGACTCGGATGCCCGCCGCTCCCCCGCAGCAGCCGAGCATGTACAACATCACTCGGTTGACATCATTCCGCAGTCCCAAATTGATCGCTATGTGCAGGTCTCCCCCCGGCAGTCGGACCTCGCTCGACGACACGTAGACCAGGTGCGTGATGTCCCCCGCAGGCCTGCCCCATTCCTCCATCGCTTTCTTCGCCGCCTCCACCCCGAGCTTCGTCACAGCATCGGCTGATATCTCCAGCCTCTGCTTCACGGTACTCGCCCCCTCGATCAAAAATCCCGGATTCTCTTTCAGCATTTTCTCCGTTAGCACCGTGTACCTCGTCTTCACCGTTGTGTTCGTGCCTGCACATTCAAATGTTCAAATTCAAAAGACATCAGTTGGCTTTTTCGCACATTGCGTCAAGTTCTGTGAACATATCATGTTGAATCACCATGACGAAACAGTATACAAGAAACAAGACGTTCAAGGCTTTCCATAGAGAGGACAAACGTACACCTCGACATTCAGCTCGTGCATTCGCCTACACTCTACATCTACCGACCCAATCAGGTTCATCTATTGCATTGAATTCACGTAGTCCCCAGTTTGACAGGCTGGAATAAAGATATATGTTTCGAGTCTTAGAACTTTGGCTCACAGAGTCGTTGAAGTTTCGCAAGAAGAATGGGATCATCATCGCGGTGGACATCACGCAGGTATCTTTCTGCCATGCCCTCTTGCTTGACAACCACACCCGGTACAGCTCGTCCGATGGCCAGAACCGTAGCTTTTCCTGGACGTGCACACCTCTCCGTCGTCCCAGCACCAGAGATCAGACTCCCGCAGTTTCCTGCAGCTGCATCGGTGTCGAAGCGTGCAAGGGCCACTGCTCGGGCCGCCATTGAGGATAAATCCAAATTCTTGCTATTGGAGTAGAATTGCCTAGGAAGGTGCGATGTGCTGGTTTACAGACAGACATGATACGCAAACTTATAAACTTCTGGGCTACCAATAACAGGTCTATTCAATGGTGGTGGGTACGGCTAGCGTGGACCAGCTTCGAACTTGCCATCGATATGCATGGGCACGTATTCGATGTGCATTCCGTCTGCCTCAACCTCGACAGTTTGAATTTCTTCAAGACTTGCAGAGATTCAGACCTGTAAAGCCTTGAGTCTCCAGTGAGCAGATCTGTGACTTTCCCAGTACCTTAATCGTGTGCACAACCACTATTTCTTATGCATTTCCAGATCCCTGGCGAACCTACAATTGTCTTCGTACGTCGTTGATTTATGAGCCAATACTGTTTGACGGATTCTTTTGACCGACTTGAGGAAGCTTGAACCGTTGTCAAGAGCAACGAGACGTTGCTTGCAAAGCATGTGGAAGTCCGCTGATTCATGTCTCAAGATAGACCCAATTCAGATTTCTGATTTGAGAACATACAAGAGGATTGCTTCAATGTCCTTCCGGAAATGGTGACGAGGACTAACTGGACACGGGCTCACTCTTTTTCATTTTGTAAGATGGGTACAGTAGGCATACACGTCTTGCTACAAGTTGAGGAGGACAACAAATTCTATAGCGTAGCGGCTCTAGCGAGCTCCACTTCGTTTGTTCAGCTTCATGTTCACAACCTGCTGAATCTAACGGGAAAATCAAATTGAAGATATCAACACTAGGTTGGTTCGTGATAGATACAAAAGGTTCTCACTTCCTTCCCCAGCAAATTGTGGAGTACTGTACTAGAAGTCGATGTGCTGAGCTGTCATGATCTGTTCGGGTCGGTAGAGCACCTTTGAAGTTGTATAAGTAACAGTTGTAAATGTTAGTGAAAAAAAGAAAGCTTCACCCAAAATTCCATTTTAAACTATGAATGTTATAGATCTCAATTAGAGTATTGAGTTCTTAGAACCGGGTCCGAACAAATGGCCTAAGACCACGACTGGCTTCACAATCAAGTTATAAATTTTTCGAAGTATGAACCGTGAAGTGAAGTCGCTTAAAAACTATTCCATCATTTATTCATTTCAGATTGAATAGACCAGAATGCATTCTTGCAGTCAAATCAAAACCAGTTGACTTACTATTTTGGTGTAGTACAAAAGTTCACCTCTCGAACAAATGGCGTAATATAACAAATGAAAGTATTGAGTTTTTTAAATTGATTTTGAATTTAACACAAATATTGTATTGCACTTTGTGATATTTTTATATAATTTTTTTATGTTTATTTTGTCTGTAAATATCAAAAAAGTTGTCTAATTATACACTGTATCAAAAACATATAAGCATAACCATATATACTACAACCATTATTCATCTGCAGCCCTCACTCTGATTGATTAAAAATTTCCATCATCAAACTAATTGCATAAAATTCAATGCAACTTTTAAACTTTGACTGTTAAAAAAAAACTGCATATTGTCTTTCTATATAAAAAGCTATTGAATCCATCCAAACGTTTTAATCAAAATCAGATTGGAAAACTATGAAAAATTGAAAACTTGAAAAAAAAAAGACGTCAAAAATTCTTTTAAAATTTTATCAAACAAACCAATCAAATTTTTTTATCAGAATAACATTAAATATTCAACGACCATCTTCAATTTCAAAATAATATTTTTTAAAATATGACAACGTATTAATTCATTTGATCAACTAATCTTAATGATTCGAAACTCAATATTGATAAATATAAAACATGATTTTTTTTCATTTAAATTCTATTTCTATAAATTAAATTCTATTCTAATTATCTTAAATCAATATAAAGTAATTTAAATACATATTAAAGATTTTTATTGTTTTTATGTCATCATCATGTTTCAAATTTCATGAGACACATAACAACACAATTATTATCTGCAATTTGTTATATTAAAGAACAAGTCATTATATTTTACTCTTATATGCATTTATTGTTTATTTTTATCAGTTGATAAAATAATATCATATTTTACTCATAAATTTTCTATCTTTTATATTTTATTAAAAAAATTATAAGTATTCAAAATTTTCATTTGTAACTGACTATATAAATTTTTAGAAAATTAAGTGTGTAAAAATCCAAAATCCAAATTTTTTTCAATAATATTTGTAGAGTTGGTCTATATCCAAAATAATAAAAAAATATTATATATATATATAACATCAACAACAATAACACAATAAGAAACTCAATTCATATAATTATGGTGATTCACCTAAGCACTACTATGTTAGGAATATGAGTGTTTCCTAACACGCATTGAATATTTTAAATTGTGCCCCATAGAATTATTTTCCGTATCAATTGATTGCATACCTAGTTGAACTAATTATAGCGTACGTAAATTTAATATCTCAAAATTTAAATTTATATATGAAACTATAAATATCTATTGATTAAAATTTTTAATTTCTATATAAGCTTATTACTTTTTTAAGATATCTGCAAAACACAAAAGATGAGAAAAATGAAAATATTAACTTCTGTATTTAAAATTTATCATGTGATTTTTTATTGATTCATTGTTTTCATATCTGAAGATTTCATTCATGAGTAATACTTTTCATTTCTCAAACACTCATTATGTGATATTGTTGTGTTTATTTGTAATCAAGTTCTATGAATGAAGCTTAAATAATTTCAAATTTCAGGAACAAAATCAATACAAAAATTTAAATTTTTAGGCTAACAAAGTTTCTAAACGTTTTACTCATCTTATACAACACTTCATCTAATTTCTTTAACAACCTCTTTGAAAAAGACTCATAAAAAAATATGCAGATTACAACTTGAATCTTAGATTCTAAAATGCCATGAAATGTGAACTATGAAATTTTTAAATCATGTTCAAAATTTTTTAATTTCATACGTATTTTAGAAAATAATTTTCTACTAAGAAAGGTAAACATTTGAGATTAGAATTTCATTTTGCAGATTATACCATTTTTTTAAAGCTCTATGCATTTTTCTTTCGCACTTTTACGATTTATGGAAAAAAACATAATGAAAAATTTAAAATATATTATTTCAAACACATCAATACATATTGATAGATTTAATTAAAATAATATAGAGTGATATGAAAGTTACATTTTTTTTAATTTTCTTTAGATTTATTTGAAGAAACTCTACTTATGAATTAATCATATATTTGCAATACTAAATATCTTTCAGGTTATAATTAGTTGTTATGTGTAATTTAAGTTTCGTATTTTATTTTGAATCTGATGTTGTGAAGAGACATTTGGAGTATGTGCTTTAACTAATTAAATATATTGGTCAAATTTTGTACATAATTTGTGTTATATGTCATAAAATTTTCTTAACACCTGCAGTAAAATTGAAGAAACGTAGTATGCTGCAAAAAGTAAAGTAATTTAAATATCAAGAATAATATCTATAAATTATCATATATTACATTGAGATTATGATTATGCACAGATGTAGTTGAGGTATGAAGTCAAATCATTGTAAAGCTCAACACCTCTATTATTCATAACAAAGCTGACAGAGTATATATATATATATATATATATTATTCCAATTGACATTTGATCATAGCAAAATATGATGTTGCTTTGTTTTTAGTATGAACTTGTATTCAAGGAGGAAGCTGAATTTTTGAACAATAAAGATACACTTTCACAGTACTTTAAGTAAAAAATTATTATTTGGAAAAATAATTTATATTTGAACGATACATTATTTTTGTTTACCTATGAATGGCCTGAGTCACAACTATGATTTGAAGAATTGTTTTTGAATAAAAATGTATTTCTTTATTTCAAATTTTTTATACAAAAGTAAATGTATTAAAGAGTTTAATGCGATTAATATAATATGAAACGTGTATAATTTTTTTTAAATACATTGGATATTATATATACATATATAAAATGCATGATAACGATTTCAAATGTAAATAGAAGAAGCGCATTTTTTTTCGGTGATACATTCAGTCATAGGTGGATGACAGTTGACATTCTTTTTTTATCAAATCAGAAACATTTGATAATTTAGAAATTCCAAGTGTATATGATGTATGTAATAAAACTGATCTTGTGAAATCGATGTGATTGGAGAAAAATTTTCAATATAGCCATAAATTGTATCCGTTTTATGCATGTCAAATTCTTAATTTTTTTCAACAGAATTTTGAATTGACATCCAAATTACACCTGTATGATATTGTGTAATGAATGCATCGCAGTTAGTCGGAATAAAGTGATGCGTTTCTTATTCCTTTCAGTATTGTGTAACCACGTGCCTGTAGTTATTATAGCTGATCATATGCAATTTAAGACCATTTGATAATATAAATCAAGAATGTACTTGTTTTCATACAGCACTATACTTTATGATTACAATTCTTGAAAAATAACGTACCTAGGGTGGAGTCATCAAAGTACTTCTCCATAAGATAGTACATGGGTGAAGGATCCGCTTATTTTAGCTTCTACAGTAAAAGGCTCTAACTACCTCTCATGGCAGATTCACCAGAATTAAATGTAGCTGATCGGAGTTGGTGCCCTTGTGATAGTTTTATGCGACTTAATCCAGCAGAAAACTCCACCGAACTTTAATCTCATTGTAAATTAGGCACCGAAACTGTGCACTCGAGACAGAAAGCTGTCACGTTGGGTTTGGCCCAGTGGATTGCAAACATTGAATCCCACATCTAATAAACCCCCAACCTACCTCTCTCTTATTCCAATGCCACTTAGATTTAGAGGATTTCTTGGCCTCAAAAACTTTACACCTTTTTCCCAATGTTCCTCTTTACACTCTGTACCAACGTAGCGAATGAGCTGCAGTGAGCTAAACATGAACTGTTGTGTATCCAAGCAACACAGCAATCGGACGTCACATCGCATCCATGAAAAACCTGAAGGTAGTTCACCACGTCGGAAGACATTCCCCGCACGGAGACATCACCAACCTCGTAAAGAGCGGATTAGAGCGGATCAATGGATCTGTAGACGAGAGAGAAGTGGCATAGGAACCTGTAGAAGGTGCCATGCAGGTGGAGGTGAGCTGAGAGCATAAACAGTCACGGACTAACAGTTACACCAGTCGGGTATCAGAAACACGGTAGTCTGGCCGATCATCCCATGGCAGTTGCTGGATCCGTGATCTATGATTGCCTCCATCCGTCGACAATTCCCAATCGCCGTCGTAGCTTTGTCATAAATAAGAGAAGATGCTATGACCATCAGAACTTACAGGCAATGTACAGTACAGTATTAAAACTTCCTTTGCTTCGGCCCTGACAAGTACAGAGTAGCAGCCGTTTGCGACAGACATTCGTTTGTGTCAGAATTCGCAGACAGTAGGAAGGTCATGCGGCGATGAGCGACGCATGTTTCCGTTCGTCCGTCTGTGCGACTCAAAGTTGCAATCAGTACATACTGTACAGCACGAGCCGCAAAGCCAAGTCAGGCACGTGAGTGAGTTCACAATTAATTGCACGAAGTTCAGGATCCATCGAGAGTTCAGTTCACCCGCGCGTTCTACAATCGATGTGGAGGACGGTGACGATTCCCCAAGAGCAAGAGGCCCGAGGAGAAGCTGGCGCTTGTGAAATAATGGCCTTCAAGCAGCTGCGTTCCGAAGAAGAGCCTGCATCGGTGGTAGGTGCTCTTTCAGCTCTGATCACTGACCCATAATGTGCCTGGAGCATTCGTACCCTGCACGTTTTCAGAGAAGGCACCCGAGTGTCAATCGCGGCCGGTTCTGTTGAGTCCGTCGTCCATGTGAGAACATTGTGTCCGGTCCCCTACAGCACTCCGTCCTGTTGGTGCTTGTGTTCACGTATTCGTCGTGTGCGGTGGAGTTAACGGCTGCCCGACCTTTCACAGGCCGAGAATGCGATCACGATTGCTGGATTTCAAGAAGGAGCGTATGGAAAGCTTGTTTGTGTGGTGGCATGGGGCAGGAGCACAGACTAACATGTGCAGATGGATTTGGTTGCTTGTGATTGCAGCTCGGGCAGGTGGAGTTCGTTCGTGGCGGTAAAGGAAGGAGCGACCGCCGGTGACGGGACGGGACGGGACGCCTTGTCCGAGAGAGAGATGCCGACAGCGACTAGGCCGAAAGGATGGATGGGTGGTCGGTCGGTCGATGCCGATTGTTGGTCAGTTGTCTGGTCTGGTCGGGGTGAAGATGACGATGACGCATGGCTCGTGAGTGCGGGACTTGTTCGAGGTGTGTGACGCAGTGCCCGACTGGGAGACTTATCGGGTTGGGTTGGGCGCCCAATTTGCCGAGGTGGCCAGGTCTGTAAAGAATGGTACGTGCAATCAATCGCTTGGAGTTTTCGGACCTGCTTCTGGAGATGTCAGTGATCCCGAGTCTCTAGGTGTCGAGCTCGATGATGTTGTTGCGTTGAAGCAGCCTTTTCGGTGTGGTATGTGAATAGCTGTCGCACGTTTGGGTTTCATAACGCTCGCGCTCGAGGGGGGAGCTGGTTTTGGAATCTCTGCGGCACCCGCAAGACTGACGCTCCCACGGCATGAACTCTTTGTAGGTGACTTCGCAAGCTTCCCTTTCAGCTTCATGGCGCCCAGAAGCTTGGCGAGTTCGAGTTTGAAGAGCGACACCAAAGTGAACCCTTTGCAGGCCGAGGATATGTACATCCGAAGGCCGCAGCATGACCAGTCTGGGTCCACTTGTTCCCAGAAAGCCAGGTTTCCTCGGGCGAGCGCAGACGAGAATTCTGCGACATCTAAACCACGTCAGTTCTTTGTGTTCAACTCTTCGCGCTCAGTTGTTGGCAGTCCTGCCCCTTGGTGTGTGAGTTTCAACAGTAAGTGGAATCCTGTCTCATTCTTGCTTGACTGTTTTGTGAATTAGGCTTGGAAGGCTTTTGCAGAGGATCGTGGTGGGATGTCGATATTGTTCAACAACGCGATAAGTACTTTCTCGCGAAGTTCCTGTCACCATTGACTGGTGAAGAAGATGCATGGCTTCCATTGAACAACCTCAGGCTGAAGAACAGGAAGTCTGATGACTGGGACTGCAACCTTCTCAAAAGAGGAATGGATGTCTCCGTCATGTGTACCCATCCCGATCAGAAGGAGCTCAAGCTGCATTCCAGGGTACTTTCCATCTTTCGCTGAACTTTGCCTTTCCCATGCATCTTCGGTTTGCAACATGAGGTCGCAGGCATTTTCTTCAGTTGTGTCAGGTTTCGTGGTTGGTTTGGACAATCGCTGATTTGGTCTGCAAGCTAAGGACTAGAATGTACGAATCAAACCGCATGAATCTTGTCATCGTGCTGGAATGGCATCGTGCTGGAGTTCTTACTCGCGGGCCCTCGTCCACTTGTGTCTGCCAGTTGTTTTGGTCAGCTTTCTCTTTGATTTACCTCGACAAAGATTTCGCTTTTGGCTTCCCATGTCTCAAATGAATGAAGCTACTGCGTGTGCAGGCTTTATATGATGCGAAGATCGTCCATATCGCGAAAGCTACTCATAAGTTTGAATGTACTTGCAAATTTCACGTAAGGTTTTACTGTGTAAGTACGGAAGATCCCATCGGGCTCACTAGGGAGAGGCTTTTGCTCAACCATCCTTCCGCATCCAGGGATGTAACCATTTCAACTGTGACTATCCTACAACAGCCAGGGATTGTGCCGTTTTACGAGATCCTGAAATCTCACCTGTCGAAGAAGTGGATCCAAGCGGGCAGGTGGTCGAACGATGCATTTTTTCTGAGAGAAACAAAGCTCAATCTTCATGTTCCTCCGGATTGTGGAGAAAACAGGTTGTATGATGACGATGAAGACGACGGTCTTGACGAAGCTTTGCTTGCTACTGGTGCCACTAGGTTAGACAAGCCTGAAGCGTTCACATATTCCTTCAGAGTGCAGCATTCACGAGAGCAGGCGACCAAGGAAAATCCAGTTGACCAGGATAGACCATACGCTAATTTCAGAGAGCCCCCCGACCCGCCACAGAAGAATCGTGGCGACCATTTCACAGTCACAGCTGGTGACCCCGGTGTGAAGGATAACTCTGCTTCTGAACCTGATATTTGCTCGGTGGGTGTGCTGCCTGAGAGCCGTGGAGTCAAACCTGTGTTTGACAAGGAAATTCCGCAAACGGTCAGGTCTGGAGTGAAAAGAGCAAGGGATGATATTCCACATCTTTCGAAGAATCCTCAGGAGGCGAGTGTCAAGCAGGTTAAGAAGAAGAGTACGAGCCAACCGAACGAAGGGAGAGAACTCTACGAGAGAGAAGTTTACCGGAGATGTAATGAAAACAGGCAGTCAAGCGAAATCTCTTCTGAGAAAGGGAACTTCGAGGATGAGATGGTAGATATAGGAGGTGGAAGCAGTGACGAGGATGACTTGAGTATTCAAGCACCGGCGAAGACAAGTTATGGCATCAATCCGCAGAATTCAGGGGGAAGATGTGACAACGCAGTGCAGAACCAAGGGCATCCGTATCCACCATTGTCGAAGACAATTGAAAGCAAGAGGTTGCGGAGATCAAGGAGAAGATGTGACGATGCTTTACAGAACCAGGACTCTGCCTATTCTCCTCCGTTGAAGAAGGTTGATGGCAAGAATCTCCGGACATCAGGGAGAAGGGTTGACGACGCTGGGCAGAAACAGGGCCGTCTTTATACACCACCGGTGACGACAAATGATGGAAAGAGTCTGCATACTTCAGGGAGGAGATCTGACGAGGGTCTGCGGAAACGAGGGCGTCCTAGGCAAAACGCGGAAGGGAGCCCTACAAAAATCAAACCTGATGCGGGATTTAAGTCGACAAATCAAGCGGATATTTCAGGTGTGAGCTTAGCAACCAAGGAGGATGAAGATGTTGATTGTGAAATACTTGAGACCGATCCCACCATCATGGCTCGTCTCACAGAACAATCAAAGTCACTGAAGGGTAGACAGAAGAAGACTGAAGTTTGCATCGATAATGAGACATTCGATAAGCCCAAGAATCCTTTAAGTCGACTCAGACCTCGAAACTCTGGAAAGAAGCAAACTTTTGGCACCGGAGGCAATATCCCAGGGAGTCATCGTCAACCTGTTCTCAAGCCCACGTTAGGGAAAGAAGGTGGCCAGGTGCCCTTATACATGGATCTTCTGGTAGATAATCTTGTTCCGGAAAACGAGACGGAGGAGCAGGTGGATGATATCAGTAAGGGGCAGGGGCAGGCGAAGAAACCAAAGTGCGGCATGAATGAAGACTGGGATCCTACAAGTTTCAAATATGATATACCTACACTAGAGGAGAAGCAAGCAGAACTGCAACAACAACAACAACAACAACAACAAGAAGAAGAAGAAGAAGACGAAGAAGAAGAACAACAAGAGAAACCACCTATTGCGGACTGTCCGAGTGACTTAATGGAGGTAAGCAGCAGCTGGGAAAGTATTACTAACTAGTTACGATTTTTGAATGTGTACAGCAGTCTGAAGGATCGATGTATTGGTAAAGGTACATTTGGCCTCGTTCCTGTTTCTATGTTTCTATCATAATTTTTCTTCTGCTATACAGCTACGCTTGAGTGAATATGTTACCCTATATCACGTTCTTACTTTGTTCACGATTATGTGTAGTTGTATGGATGACAGTATTGACATCTATATGAACATTTTCTTCTATCTTCAGCGGGAAGCAGATGAGGAAGTTGTGACTCTAGATGTTGATCCAGAAGGGGAAGGTTCTTTATGCAAAGAGCATGACCTCTATTTAAAGGAAGATGTGGGAATGATTTGTAAATCATGTGCGTTGGTGGTGATCAGTATCGAGAATCTGGTCCCATCTCTGGTAAGTTTGTAGTTTTTAAGTTGATCTTGTTTTGTAACTTCATGCTAAATTACAACTGAATTTAATTATGTTTTTAAAATTCCTTTTCTTGTCAATTTATGTACAGGGTATTAGGCAACCCCGTCACTGTGGAGAGGCGAGTGACTGGGATGCTGGAACGAAGTCTCCAGATCACTTCCAGGAGACAGCAGAATATCAAAAGCTCCAGGCTGAAAAGGATGTGACTTGGATGAGTTCATGTAAACTTCCGCCACGTATTCAGAATTCCATGCATCCTCACCAGAAGGACGGCTTTGCGTTCTTATGGAGGAATCTTGCGATTGGAGAAGGAAATAATCGAACCATGAGGGAGGACAGAAACACAGGTTGCATATTGTCTCATGCTCCTGGCACAGGCAAAACCTTTTTGGTCATTGCCTTCTTACAGAGTTATATCAATAACTTCCCAACGTGCAGACCGTTGATTGTGGCACCGAAAATAATGTTGCGTCAATGGGAGAAGGAATTCGAGCGATGGAAGTCCGACATCTCTGTGTATATTTTGAACACTGCGAGAGAATCTGGCAAGAGACTGCTACAAATGCACGAAGACGCTGGCGTCATCAACAGCAAAAATCTCCACCTGAGTTCAAAAAGGCTTCTCGATACTTTCAGACTTGCCATGCTCTACGAGTGGAGCAAAAACAGGAGTGTGATTATCGTTAGTTATAACCTTTTCGCATGCTTGACTGATGAAAATCGGGATCATCTCTCTCCAGAGGGTGAGGCGGTTCGTAAGACCCTGTTGGAAAAGCCAAGTCTTCTTATACTGGATGAGGGCCATTTTCCAAGGAACAAGGGTACGAGGATTCGTAAATCATTAATGAGCGTAAAGACCAACGTTCGAATTCTTCTGTCCGGGACTTTGTTTCAAAACAATTTCGAAGAGTTGTTCAACACTCTCTACTTAGTGCGACCAGGTTTTGTTGAAGGTTTTGCCAGCTTTGTTCCAAACTGCACGGATGAAGACGGACAGCCTAATGTGAAGAAATTTTCGGACATAGAAGACGTTACTAAGGAAGCAGAGAAAATAGCTCGAAAGCTGTTTGTGGAAGAGGTTGGACTGAAAATTGAACAAGGACAAAGCAGCAAGGCACGCTCCGATGATCTGGATTACGGGCTCGAGAGGTTAGGGGCTCTTACAACAGAATTTGTTCATCACCACACTGGAGGGGTGCTGGAAGCTTTACCTGGATTGAGGGATTTTGCTGTTATATTGAAACCAACGCAACAGCAGTCCAGTATATTGGAGTTACTCCAGAAATACTTTCACAAACCTAATCAGTATTTGGAAAGGGAGATAGCTGTGTCGCAAACCAGTATACATCCGATTTTGGTCAACACCCTCGAGTTCACCAGATCCTTGGGCATATTCAACGATTTCAGGGAGCAGAAGCTTGGAGCGTCAGCAGGTTCAGGCTCAGTTACTGGTCCTGCTTCCGGCTTGTCGAAGAAGGAAGCAAAGGACCCGAGTGACGGAGTAAAGACAAAGTTTGTCTTCGACCTGCTTTGTTATAGCAAGCCAGCAAAGGAGAAGGTTTTGATATTCAGCCAGCATCTTACCCCTCTTGAGCTCCTTGCGGAAATGTTCGTAACTCAGTTTAGGTGGCGTGAGACTTATGAATATCTCAAACTTGATGGACAGTTGTCCTTAGATGAGCGAGCGAAGATTATTGAGAAATTTAACAATCCCAGTAGTGAGGCATGTGTTCTCCTTGCGTCCACAAAAGCGTGTGGAGAAGGCGTTTCTCTGATTGGAGCTTCAAGGGTAGTGTTCTTGGATGTTTTATGGAACCCAGCAGTTATCAAGCAAGCGATGAGCCGAGCTTTCAGATTGGGTCAAAAGAAAATAGTGTATGTTTACAGGCTGATAGCATCAGGGACTATCGAGGAGCACAAGTATAAGAAGGCAATAAGGAAGGATTGGCTGTCACGCTCTATCTTTAGCGCATCACAAGGGGAAGGCCTCAAAGCATCGGAGATAAATCGAGAAGTAAGGAAGTCTCTCGGTATCATTGACGACAAGGGAGAGGATATAAAACCCTCTGGAGCTACTATTTTTGCGAAAGCAGCCCAAGAGCAAGAGGTGCTTGATGCTAATCATGCGACAGGGGTCACGAGATCAGTTGAACAAGGGGACGAAGGTGTACATAGGTTGAGAAAAATTCAAGAATTGCTAGCCTGGGAGGTTGATGTGGCAATCTGCAAGGACGTTATGCTTGAAAAGATCTTGGGAAAGGACAAAGTAGAGAGGAAAACGTTTTTGAAGGTGATTGAGCACGGTTCTGACTTTCGTGATGAGAACATACCATTCGGTCCGGATGCAAGAGAGTGGTTCTTGGAGGGCATGGAAGACAATGAGCCTCTGGATATGAAAGAAGTTAACGATGAGGCTTATCCCGCCATCCTAAGCGACTCAGATGAAGATGATATGTAGATCTGCAGTCGTAGAATTTATATAGTAACCTCAGCACTCGTCCAGATGAAGAATATTGTATATGGCTGCTTAAGTATTGGAAGACAAAATAGAGAGCTTGTGGTTTCGCATCCCCTGTCCAAGAGACGATCGTATTGTAAAATTTAGAAACTCGTGCTCGTCTGAGTGTTCTAGAGAGTGCTTGGTATGTTCATTGGGAGTATTTTAGCACATACTTGTTCAGAGAGTTTTAGGTTTACACATTGTGGATGTGATGCTACGAAGAAATAGAATATTTTCATACCTTAATATTTCGAACAGCTTACTGTATTTTGGTGCAGAGACGGTGTAGAGTACTTTCTTACCTAAATACCTCGAACAGCACACTGTATTTTGTATTTTGGAGCAGAGACGGTGTGGCATGATAGCCATTCTGAAACTTATATTGTAACAGCTTTGGAGTTTTGTCTTGTTATCAAACTAGCTGGTGAAACCTGAAAGCTTGATTTCAGTGAGTAGCTCCAAGTTTACTGTAGATATACGAACCCCAGATTTAAAACATGACGGTGCAATAAGTCTCGACTCATGTACATACAATTATATGCGGATATTGTTTTCTCGATCACTAGGACATTGTAGTGATCGAGGATTATGTTAATTCAGTTATATTTTCTTTGGAACCTGATTTTTCGAGCATATTTAATAGAATCCGATGATCTGAGAGATTTCATGTTTGTGAGTTCTGCACTTATCGATTATCGCAGGTAAAAAAAGTTCATACGTCCTTGATGTGTGCATCTGCGTAGGCTATTGACAAGGTCAGTGTAGATAAGAGTTGCAGATGTGGGTGAAAATACGTGAACTTCTCAACTCATTACGAATCAGACAGTTGAAGTTCTCCTCGCCTGGAGGACTGTTGTCTTCATTCGGATAGTGGTCCGTTCTCATCAAGTCTCTCCGACATTGAAGGCATATTAGGGTACAAAACCATCTAGTTCTGAATGATGTGGGATGGGTGTGATGAAGACGATCGGTCAGTCTGTTGATAAAAGGAAAAAATGACATTTATCTGAACCTGAAGTTTACTTCCAGTATTATCTATCGCTCAATCTCTGCTGTTGGCTAGGTGGTCTCCAAGATAGATTTCAAGAGTATTCACTAATCAGAAAGGAGGCAGTTTCATTACTAGCATATTCCTTCTGAAAACTCAAATTACAAAGAAGGAATTAAAAGAGATTTTATAAAGATTTCATAGTCACAAGATTGCGTGATGAATGATGCACGGGAATGTACAGGGTGACGGTTGAAATTGTAACATCGTATGGCATTTTCCTGAGGCTTCACGGAGATAGTATATACAAATTTCCACTTGAAAATCCCCAGGACCACTCCCAGTCTCATCAGTACGTCCGACGATGCACTCATCCGTCGATGCCGAACTTTGTTGTTTGACGGTGCTAGGTAACGAGGAAGTACCAGGGGATTTCAATAATCTAAACAAATCAGGCGTGTACTATGCTTGGATTGATATCAACAACTGCTCTTCCGGTAATTTCTCCTTTGTCCATTGCGGCGTAAGTTGCATCAGCTTCTTCCAGAGAACAGATCTTTGTCACGGCTGATTCAATCTTCAAGAAGCCCATCTCGGCCAGAGTTATTATTGTTGGTAAATCTTGTCGTGCTCTTCCTCCATAAGATCCTATTATTTTGACCTGTAATTAGAATAATGCTTATGTCAGAGACACGTCCACATGACATGAGGCTTCACACTTATCCACTGCTAAGACAATTAAGATGAATACAGGCCCAGATAAGCCACTCTAAAGTAGAGACTGCAGCAAATCATTTGATCACCTTCAGGACTCTAGCTAGATTTTCCAGGCATTCTCATGGAAAGAACATGTAGGACTTGGAGGGAGGTGCCCGAGGATGCCGATCTGTTTCGGACTTGTTGCCATCACTTGCACCCACGAGACAAGTGGTGGATATGCACAAGGCACAAGATTGACGATCTATGGCTCTCACTCGGTAAAATTTTTTGCAGGACTCCGAAACGACAACAGATCTGTAAGATTAATGAATATCAATCTTCCAAACTGACAAGAAACTTCACCTTCCGCCTGACTAATTTCGAAATATCAACTCCAGCTGTAACACCAGCTGGAGCAAGTCCAACCATGACTGCCCTGCCTCCGTCCCGTACTGCCTGAGTCGCTTGTATGAAAGTTTTTGGATTTCCCAACGCTTCGATAGCTATGTCAACCCCTCGGCCACCAGTGATTTCCTGAGAGATCCAACAGCCATCAGTTATTGAGTGGATCTGTTTTACATGTCCATCTCCTTTGTGAGTTATCTGCAATGGCTGCCCAGTCATTGCTGAGCTGCTACAAATTCAAAAGGTCATCAAAAGCCAAACTTTTCTCAAAAGTAGATGATGTATCCATACCCGTATCCGGTCAACTACACTCTCACTGCTGGCATTTACAGTGTGTGTAGCTCCCATTTTTGTTGCGTTTTCTAGTTTCTTCTCGTTCACGTCAACTGCAATAACCTGACGCCCTCCAAATGCTCGTGCTACCTGCAAGCAACTGGAGAAAGTTCCCATTCAATTGGTTGCCGGCATGATGTTTTCAGCCAACTTCGCAGTCAAAACCTTGCCTGAAGTGGCAAAAAATCCAATGGCTTCTACTTGACTACCTAGTTTGTAGCTCCTTACTTGGCTTGAGCGCTTGAAATTCCCAAAGGATGAGAAAGCTGTAGGTTTCTACTCTGTGATAGAACGTATACAGAGAATTGATAGCTTTGGTTCCTTTACTGAATAAAACTGATCACAAGTCAACACAAACACCGAACAACACGGGGGCAAGTTTGGAACAACATGGCAAACAAAATAGCAGCAGTAGCAGATCACAGAATCATTCCGGTAGGTTTGTTACTCTTAAATTATTCTAGCCCACAAAGTCTTATAGATACCTGGATCCAACACCACCGGTTCCAATAACAGCCACTGTTTCACCTGCACGCATGTCAGCTGCATTCTTCATAGCACCGTAAGCGGTGAAAACGGCGCACCCAATTATAGCTGACTCATTGTACGGGAGTGTGGGAGCAAGTGGAGCCACAGCATGAGCGGGTACAACACAGTACTCTGCAAGGCCGCCCATACTGTACATGAAAATAGGTTTTCCTGCATATATGGAGCAAGAAACTTGAGTATCAAAAATATGCATTTCAAGACCCTCATTAGTGAGCAACGTTGCAAAGAGTAACAATGTCCAAGTCCCCCTTCCAGAAGCTTTGCACCAGCAGTCACGGGGAGAGATCGGCGTACACTGACAAAAGCTTTTAATTTCATTCTAGAAGTGAGCGAACAATGGCTACAAAATTGCGTGGATCTCAGAAGATAATGGAAGAGCTATTTTACCTGTGCTCGCTTGATAGAGACGTGTGGTACCGTCGTATAACCCACCCATTCCTCGATTATACTTGAAGAAAGTCTCACATAGATCTTCTTCACCCTGACGAGTTGCAAATCAAAAGCATCATTCAAAGAAATTCCTCAAACCCGTCATCTCAAGAACTTTTCTTGTTTATCACGACTAGTCGTTATGGAACATCCATCGTTGCAATCCATGTGCCACGGCTTGAATGCAGGAAATTGAAAATCCTCTTTAGAGGGAAGAGGCAACAAACCTTCACACAGAAGAAGCAGCCTCCACAAGGCATAATAAAGGCCCCCACGACTCGTCCTCCGAGAGGAAGCCTAAATCAAATCCTGTTCTCTTCTCATAAGTACTGACAAAGTACAACCCCGACCTTTTTCAAACTTGCCAGTCAGGTATAACAATCAGATATTGGTGTCACTAGATTCGAGTAATTTCTTCGGAATTACTCTAGAAGACACGAGGCATTCGATGGAATATTAACTCTATAAATATAGACACACAAGTGGGTATTTGATTACTCCCAAGTCCCTTCGGTATCAGGATATTGCTGCCAAATTTAGAAATTCGAGTGCAATGTCTCCGTCACCATCTAGGTGACAGAGAAATTCTGCCAGAATTATGATGCTTCCATCCTGATCAGCGTGCACTGTCCAGCACATTACATCTCCTGTCATGGAGATGCTCCCAATTTAAGTTCGTCCACGGAATGACTTTCGGTTAGAAAACAGATGGTGCTGAGAAAAGAAGAAATTACCTTTTTCTCGTTGCCTCGTCAGTATGTGGACCATGCTCCACAACTTCTCCTGTTATTTCATGTCCGAGCACAACAGGAGAAGGGTAGGGTTGGTCCGCTTTGATAACATGCAGATCAGAGTGGCAGACTCCGCAAGCTGCAGGATGTATAGAAGTTGAACATCAGAATCCAACATCATACAGGCATGCCAAGAAGCCTAGTCTAGAAGATTGTGAGGCTGCAGTCACTAACCTATCTTGAATCTGGACTCAATGTTGATCTCGAGAACATTATCACAATCCCATCACGCAGGCACTAACTCTTCGTTGTATAGGGGAAGAAGGGACATGATCCAAAGTGCAGCGGCTGATTAAAGTAGCTCTACAAGCAGCTGTGAGAATCGGAGGTAAGAACTTCAACATAAAATCCGACAAAAGACTGAAGATCTCAATCTAAAAAATGATTTGCGTGCTCGGAGAACAGCAGGCTGGTGACATAGAAGTTCCAATCAAGCTTTCGGTGTAGTATGATAAAGTACTGAGGACAGACTGTGGAGCTGCTTTAGACATAACGATTTTCTTCGCCGATAACAATGTCGCACCATAATTGACCATTTGCGATGCTTAAAGAAATTACGTACATATGTAGCAAGTTCAAGTAATCCATACTAGCGGCGGGGCTATGACAGAGCTAAAGATATACAACCAATGACAATTTGTGGGCCAAAAAATTATTCTGTAGCCAAGTTCGAAGCTACCCTGTATTATTAATCTGCAGAACGGCGTCGACCAGAAGCTGCGCGTACCTTTGGTTCTGATCAAAACTTCACCAGTTTGTGGACGAGGCATTTTGAGATCCTCGATGGTCATGGGCTTTTTGGGCTCCCAGAGCACAGCTGCTCGCATAGTGTTCCGCTCACTCCCCATCAGATAATCTTTCCCATCAATCGGGGCACGTTCAGACTGTGAAGAAAAATTTTGGTGCTCGACAAATGACGCTACCGCCGATCGTGCACTTCTCTGATACAGCCGCGACACGCCGAGGGCTGCACATCGCCGCGAAATAGTCGACGCCATTCTTCCCGCAAATGGGCAGGATCGGCAGTAATACCGACTCGTCAGCAACAAGGACCGAGCGCACAATCGACTCGACCTCGATCCACACCTTCAAGCCCGAACGATCTCTCCACTCTTTAACGTTCCCATGCATGCCCAGATCGATTACCGCATGCCCGTCAATCCCCGACGTAAATCGCGCGCCGCAGCGTCAACACATCTCATCCGGTACAGTAGATCACCCACTCGCATGCTCCGATCCCATCCCCGGTCGATCATCGGCGGCATCGGAGGACCCAAAAATGGACACCCCAAGCTCCCAGCGATCGAAGACGAAGAAGGTCTCCGGACGAACCCCGTTCCCTTGCCCGGCGCAAGCCGCTGGCAGACGGACAAGTGGCTGCCATCCGTACCTGCTCGGGGGCAGCGGACAGCTCATCGAGTACACCCTCGGCCGCATTCCGGCGTCTTCTTCCCCCGGATCTGCCTTCCGGACTTGTGCCGCGAATCTACGACGCTGTACGTTGTGTATTGTGTATTTCGGGAGCCCCCGCTCGGGACTTTGTAGGATCGAAATATCTTTCCATGTGGCCCCCGAGTTTTCATTCACGACGACGTGGAAAGCCCAAGGCATATCTGTACAGAGCGGAGTACGAATAAAAGATGGTGTATTTACTCGACACGTACGTGTCCGTCCAATACGCATCGCACCAGTCGAGTCATCTTTGTGAGTTCAAGAAGTAACCAGATCTTGGAAACCGGGTCGCGACAGAGGGAGCCGAATTTTTATGTTTATCGGCCTGTCTGTCATGTTCCTCCACCTATACTAGGGGAGATAATACAACCATTAGTTGGTTGATGGTTGTATTGGCTACATCAACCCTGACCGTATACCATCCAAGCTGACGGAAGATGTACACCGTTCGTGTGTGTCACCGTCATCCTGGGCTTTCGCGTATCGCGTCCAAGATGAGCACGGCCGGTAGTGTTGGAGTCACAACAAAATTCTTTCGGGCATGCCCATGCCCCCTTTCAAGGTCAAAAGGCATGCTCATATTACAATACATATATTTATGTATCAGAAAATGTATTTTTATGGAAATAAAGTATTCTTAGAAGAAAAACTGTCGAAAAGCTCTGGAGATACATATATATATTTGTTCGTACATACGAGCATACAATATATAGAAAAGTACGAATAAAGCATGCCCCCGTGCCCTCTCCTCGGGGCATGCATTTGAGGTTGTGATTCCAACTCTACCGGCCGGACTTTTCTTCTCGCATTTCTTGGGACGCATTTCCTAGGGCTTGGCCACGGTCCGGACCGACGGCTAACCTTCGGGACCGGGAAAATCCAATCCATGGGTACCGAAACTGTAGGTACCCAATTCGTGACTCAGTGTAGTGAGAAAATTCATTATCACACCTTTAGCCTGATTTCGGCCTCATTGCAAGACGGAAATGTTTTGACGGCCTCCACACGACCCCTGAACTCACGACGAGGGAATAGGTTGAAATCGAGTGCTCAATTCGAGTCTGATGCTCTGGAATCTTAGTTGCTCTCGTGAGCTGGTGATCGTCAAATTGCGCAAATATGTCACTGTTGCTGTGACGATCGAGGCTTACGAGGTGGGACCTGTGCAAGGACGGATGACAGGATTCTGCTGAACGTCGTTTGTCGCACCGTGGCACCTGCGAGTTCGTCGTGGAATGCACGCAAGAATTCGGGAGTTTAGCCGACCGTCAGAATAAGGTGATGTATTTGAGAAAAAGTCCACGAGTGGTCCTTTGCTCACAATTCGAATGCGCGCAGAGCGTGTTAGGATTGGCCACGGTCCGGACCGAGGGTTAACCGGTTAACCGTCGGGACCGGTTAAAGTATAGGTTAACCCTTGACCGATACGGGCCAAGCCTGGACCGGTTAACCGGTCCAGGCTTGGCCCGTATCGGTTTTTTCAATTTTTCTTAACCGGTGGCCAAGCCTAGCATTCCCCAATTGGCGAATCAGGCTGTACCCATACGGTGAGCCTTCGTGCGCGAGTCATACTCTTGGATCTTCAGCCCAAAATCCTGTCTACCGCATGCTCAGCCTGAGCATGCGGTAGTTGAGACGTCGGCAAAATAATCGAAATGTCTCGTTCTCGACCAGGTTGAACGCTTGTTGGTGATCCACCACAAATGCAACCAAGGCATTTAAATTGGCTTCTTTGGACTCGTTGTCCAACTCATAAGGATCCTGCAGTTCACCATTTACACCAAAAAAAAGTCTGCAAAGGATCGCCTGATTTGTGACCCTTTGAGATATTATGTTTTACAAGAAAATGACGAGACAACGAACTTGTTCCAGTTTTGGCCGAAAATGAGGTAGTGCATCTACTATTATGAGAACCTATGGGCTCAAGACATATGATAAGGGATTTATTAGAATCTTTCACCAATTTGAAATGATTCCAAACCCAACTTGCAGAGGTTTTTGCCTTTCGTTTACGACCCGTGGATGTTGTCGCTGTCCGACCCCAGAGAACAATAGAGTCTTCATGTGTACTTGGAGACGAGTATGGGATTGAATCCGCAATGAGAGAAAGGTCTGCCATGCTTCAACTCAAAATTTCTGCATGCATATGACAAGACATATTAGAATATATTCCCTAAACCCTAAACCCTAACTTACTTAATATATAGAAAAGAAATTTTTGGAGTAGTTAGCACCAAACAAGGAGTCACGTGCAATTCTAGACATACTCACTGATATAGCCCTCTTATGACTTCCTCTCGAGCGATTCGACGAAGTGCAGAAAATGTGTTCGTGTATGCAATCAATTCTGGCCTGAGGCGCTAGGTCTGCAACAGGTCAAGTGCAACATCCACGAAAGTTTACCACGTAGAATTCAGCATCAAAGGTACTGCTGAATACTTTAATTATTTTAGTCCTAACAGAATTAACAACAACAAACTGCGCTTCCGTACCTGAAGCCGTGTCTTCACAACCCACAGTGGATTTGTTACCAAACTTGTGGCACAACCTGCACCAGCTGCTGCCAATACATTTCTACCACGTGGCAGTTTCTCATGACCAGAGCATGAGCACATGAACGTGGAGAAACATTGATCAGATACTTTACGTTTCGAAGCATGACAGTAGCTGTGGTGATGGCTATATGCAGAACGTGAAGAATTGTGATGATCTCCGAAATACACGCCACCAACCCGGAAAAAGTATTGTTGTAACTTATTCGTTAATTCAAAACTTACCATCACCTTGGCGCAGAATTCTCTTCAGCTGCTCATAAACAGTAAAGTATACCTACAGGAATAACTGACGAAAATTAGTACTTATGCTAAACAAAATAAAGTTAGAAAATGTAATTATCTCACGAAACACATGTAGTTGAGACTCTAAAGCGAATGTACAACATGCTGACATTAACCTATGGCAATACTACAAGTTTGAAACGAAGCACAGGAACTGCAACAGCTAAATATAGACACAGTCTTCGATCACATGGATGCATTCAACAATGTGGATCAATCCTGATCGGCATAGCGCATATATAGTACATCGGATATTTTCGAGCTGCATAAAAAATATTATCCTTTAACTAGTGCAAAAAATTGGCAAAGCTGAGAACACTTACGAGAGCAACCAGCGACCAATTCCTGGAACAGCCGATCACACCTCTTGTACACGGACCTTGAAACCTCGAGACTAACTCATCACCCTTAAACTTGCAGTCATTTGTATACTCTCCCTCAATATTCTCTGTAAGCTGTAGACCACACAAGCCATATATCAGTAAACGAACTCAGGATAGAGTGAACACAACTTGACCATAACTTGAGAAAATGAGATGTTGACTAACAGCAGATCCATTGTTACAAACTTGCTTGCATGATGTTAGCCCATGCTTGTGAAAACTAATGTTACAGAAACTGTTGTTCAGACTTCCGAAAGTGTACCAAGTGCTCTTGATTGGAATGGGATCATAGCTAGTAAGGTCGTGAAAAGATCAAGACTAACAATACTACCATCAGTCTTGAGATTAAAACCGAATAAAGTACACAGGTCCATGATAATTTGAACTACTTATATTACCGTCACATTCGGAATATAATTGTTATGTCAAGGGGGTTCGATGCATTAGTGGACAGAAATAGACATGTAGGAGATGAAGATGTAATGCGAATAACCCGAAGCACGAAGTAACATCTGACAATATGTTCGAAGAAAAAAGTAATATAGAGACTCTTTCATTTTACTAGTGCACAAGCTAAATAACCAAGGTTTCAAGATCTGGTAGGCAAAAGGATTTGAACGTCGTGGTGTGCCATCCAGATTTTCTCTCTCCCACCGAACGAAGACGATGCTGGTTTCTACGACTGAGACTTTTTATAATAAACAACTGAAGCAATAAAAACACCTGCAGTCCAATTGAAGATTCAGATCGGAATTTTAGCAAGCAATCTAAAAGAAAAAGGAAGTTCTTCAAAATGTCAGATATTCTGTTCATCTTGTCATACTTCACTGCAAGAACCCAAGCTTAACATATTGACTGTTGGACAATTTGAGTTTATTATTTACCGCATGGAAATTTAGTGGGGCTAATTATGGTCCAAAATACAACGTCGTCAGTGATATATATGGGTGAATCAACCTCGTGGATCTAAGACATCGGTGACATATTGTGATGCGATTCACTGTTTTGTACACTCGACTGAAGTAGCCCCGTCCAATTTCCTGCAACGAACAGTTTTTAGCTGAGTAAATTCGGTGATGCAGAGTAGATTGCCCGGTGCTCAACAGAGACTTCATCAGGTTGTACAGTCCGGCGGACAATTTACATATCTTTCTCTACGATTCGTAGCTAGCTATAATAACAAACAACAGATGTATAATGTTCTATTCCTTCCATATCCATAAAATCACGGTTTCGACCGGAGTCGTTGGCATTGCTCGCTGCTTGAATAGAGTTGTCTGTAGCCGTGCAATGTTATTGAGCTGAGTTGAACTCACTTGACTTTACTCGCTTCGCTTTCTTATCACTGACGTCTCCCCCTCAACCTTCTCTGGTGCACCTTCCACCTGCAACCATAGGACACTGATGAGATGGATGGAATGGAATGCCGAGTACACTTTCCTTTCAACAAGAGCAGCACCGAAAACCGTGTGAGCACTTGAATGAGGTGCTCTACTAACTTCCGCTACAGCTCCTTATGCAAATGCGGTGCTCTCAATTCATGAACCGTCTCACTCAAACATCTGAAAACATGGCACGACGATGAAGCACAATCTTTCCTCCCCGATCACAAATTCATTACTCGGAACGAAGGGGCAGCGGGCGTGAGCATAATCTAAACGATGCTCTCAAGGGCAGCATTGCTCGCTGCTTCGATCCATTATATACTAGATCTCAAAGACTAAACGGTCGAATTCAACGGGTCTGAAAGACTGAACGGGTAGAACGTTCAAAATTCAAGACTCAAACGGGAACTCTGAGACATGATGATCTCTTAACGATCAAATTTCTCGAATGGATGATGAAATGAACTCGTGTGCAGTTGCTTCAAATTCATCATCTTGCCAGTTATTTGTTCAAGTTTGTTAATGGAGTGCAGCAAAATAATCTGTGGCTCCTACATATGGCAGAGAGACACAAGCCGCTTGTGTCTGTCTGCCCAGGCCTGCCCTCTCTTGGCCGCATCGCGCACTCTGTCGCCGGGTGCATGTTTCGTCGTCGTATGTTCGATGGGTGTTGGGTGAATCTTTGGACATAAATTGCGATGGATTGAGCTCGGATCGGCCCTGTTTCTGATTCTGTTGAATGGATCGGGGGTCGCATCGCGTCGATGCTCAAGTTTCTTGGTAAATCGGAGCATAATTGAGCATCGGGTGGTGGGAGAAAGGATGGAGCGCGCGCGGATTCTACATTTGTGACGAGACCGAGGGGCGGAGGCATCTTACTAAGCGTGAGTTATGATATTCGGAAATTTTTTTCCCGGACCGGTTAACCGGTCCGGGAGAAATCTGGGACCGGTTAACAGGTTAACCGTCGGTCCGGACCGGACCGTGGCCAAGCCTATGCTCAACCCAGATCGAATTATTGCTTCGCCTTTTACTCAAGAATACCGCGTGCGGGACACCGAAGCGGCTTGTTCAAACTTTTGGAGCGCTTCGTCGTTGGAGCACCATCCCACCAAACTAGACGAGGATTTCAGTACTCTTGATTAGGGGTCGGCCCGGCTCCGGCGGAGCCGGCTTCAGACCTGCTCGGCTACGACTTAGTCGACCCGGTTTCGAAGCCGGCTCGATTCTGGGAGAGCGGCTCAAACCGGCTTCTTTATATGGACCACAGGTCACCATGGTATTGATCACGCAAAGAAATTGGCTCACAGTAAAATTTCTCTATATCTTCGTCTCATAGGCAGAATAGTCAAGTGGATCTTTCACCTGGTAACCAATTCTTATTGTTGTTAAGAAAAGATGTTACATCATTTTGCAGTAGTGACTCACTTCTGCAAAATGGGGTCGGCCCGGCTCCGGACCGGCTCGGCTACGACTTAGTCGAGCCGGCTTCTGTCATGGCGATCGGGCTCCGAGCTGAGCCGGCTCCATGTACTAGCGAGCTGAGCCGAGCCGGGCCGACCGCTACTCTTGATTGAGAGGGAATTTTCCGACTCCACAATGACTTGATAGCAGATTTGCTGTGTGTCTGCGGGAGTTATCAGGAAGAATCCTCAGAAACGAGAGATATTGTCGTGGCCGTGGAAATATACCAGAAGCTGGTAGGATAAATTTTTGTTCTGTAATTTTTAGTCACTTAGAGCACTATGTTAGCTACGGAGTTGTGGCGGCTAGGCCCTGAACACGATCTAATCGCGTTTATGAACGGGACGAGTTGATTTCGAGACGTGATTGAATTATACTCGTTCATGTCTACGGATGATGCTTATTTTCCTCATTACTCCGTGGAATCTTTAGTATCAGAAGTGACTGCCGTGGAATGATCCCACTAGGTGACTGCATGAATTCTATTCCTGTGAACCCTAAACCCTTTGATCGACAAATCTGCTACGGGGCAGCCAGCGGTAAAGCGGTGAGAACCGAAGGTCATGTTGAATAAATGCATCGAACGGTTTCTAGAGGGTGCGCGCTCGACGGGTAAATTCTTCATGCGACGGTGACACAGGAGAGACCGTCACGACGGTGACCGTATGCCGTAACCCAACGCAGCAGCAAAATGCAGCCACAGCAAAAGCCGATGAAAAAAAAACATACCACGAGAATGGCGCATGATTGAGTGACCGTATGCCATCAACCCACATGCATACGGTATGCCGTAACCCAACGCAGCAGCAAACTGCAGCCACAGCAAAAGCCGATGAAAGAAAAACATACCACGAGAATGGCGCATGATTGAGTGACCGTATGCCATCAACCCACATGCATACGGTCGGGGTTGATCTAGCCTGCAGTGCAGTTAGGGATGCTCACGGCTGGGCTAACGGGTAGCCGGCGAATATTTTTTGACAGCCGGCTAGCCGTCGAGTTACTGGCTAGCCGGAAAGCTATCCGAGTCCGGAAACGATCCGAAAATCGGACCGACTCTCTCTATGTCCTCAAACTTAAGGACTCTGGGCCTTGAGTCGACGAATATCTGGTGAATGTCACAATGACAAAACCGCAAGCGCAGATGCGATGGCCTTGTAGTTAGGCTTGGCCACGGTCCGGATCGACGGTTGACCGGTTAACCGGTCCCAAAAAAAAAGTTACCGTTCGAGTCTTGAATCTTCACAATCCATGGGTACCGAAACTACGGGTACCCAATTCGTGACTCAGTGTAATGAGAAAATTCATTATCACACCTTTAGCCTGATTTCGGCCTCATTGCAAGATGGAAATGTTTTGACGGCCCCCACACGAACCCTGAACTCACCACGAAGGAATAGGGAGAAATCGAGCGCTCAATTCGAGTCTGATGCGGAATTCAATTCGCTTTAGAATTTTAGTTGCTCTCGTGAGCTGGTGATCGTCAAATTGCGCAAATATGTCACCCGTTGCTGTGACGATCGAGGCTTACGAGGTGGGACCTGTGCAAGGACGGATGACAGGATTCTGCTGAACGTCGTTGTCGCACCATGGCACCCGCGAGTTCGTCGTGGAATGCAGGCAAGAATTCGGGAGTTTAGCCGACCGTCAGAATAAGGTGCTGTATTTGAGAAACTATTAGTCCACGAGTGGTCCTTTGCATACAATTCGACAGCGCGCAGAGCGTGTTAGGCTTGGCTAGAAGTACTTTGCTCCTCCAAGGACTCGCTTTTGTCTATATATTTATCATAGCCCGCCCTCACAACTGACCGTAAATAACCTTATGTACAGGCTGTAAATACGGTTACCTTAGATTAGTCACTGTCGAAGATCGAGAAGTTTGTCCGAAGCTAGCTTTCGGGCCCCTGACCGACGGTTAACCGGTTAACCGTCGGGACCGGTTAAAGTAGAGGTTAACCCTTAACCGATACGGGCCAAGCCTGGACCGGTTAACCGGTCCACAAATTTCCTGAACCGGTTAACCGGACCGTGACCAAGCCTACTTGTAGTGTCCGACCCGCGCGTCCCCGAGACAGCCAACAATTGGGCGGGGCTGTCACCGTGTCCAGCACACTCGACGTGAGTGGAAAGGACAGGACCTACTGCACGCATCTCTGAGAGACCGATACTCTGAGTTCTCGGCCGAATATTTCGACCGATTCATGCGAAATTATACCCCGAATCCTTATTTCGATCGAATATTTCAGCCGAAATGCGTTTTCGGCTATGTGATAGTCCCTGGCACAATCGCACATATTCAGATCTCAAAATAGTCTCTTGACCATCGGCATGTCCAAAAACAGAAAACGCCATCCGCCTTTAACCCCCAGTCTGATTTTCATCACGTGAGGAAAGCTAAGCAGGAAATATGTAACCTGCAGTGGAAATGCCAGAGCCATATCAGGCGTCGAAATATCATTATTAAGAATATTATATTAGAAGAGATGGAAGTGCCTGCCTTACACTGTGAATAGTGTCAGCTAAGACCGGGAGTGTCCGCTAAAACCGCTAAATGCGTTTTCGGCCGATAATCGGCTAGCCGGGTAAATCTGACTCCCTAGCCGGCTAGCCCTTTGTAACGGCTAGCCGAAGATTAGCCGGCTACGTGACCATGTCTACGTGCAGTATAATTACGCCTAGAAAGTATCAACAGCAAACTGCGCAGACTATTTATATATAAATGAAAGGCTCAGAATAGTCCAGTACGCGCTGTCGTTCCGCGTACGAAAATAAAAACGATCCAACATGATACTTCTACGTGAAAAAACACTGTGACGGTGTTTTTTGCATGACGGAAAGGTAGTTGATTTTTTGGTGTGTGTGCGAAAAACACATGTGGTAGTTTGAACATTCCCCTGTACTTTAAATTGAGAGTAAATTACTTGATGTTACCCGTTGGAAACTCAAAGCTCTTGAAGGAACCAACCGGTTTCAGTTTACCTGATGGGACTCCATTCGACGGCCACCGTTAGCCATGTTCTTGTAATCTTCTGATTTGCTCTACAGAGTGGGGAGTGTCCGCCATTGTCGGGCCAGAGTATTTTGGTGACTCCTTCGCAGTCATGTCTAAGAAATCGACGGGCACCATGAGTTTGAACCGTGATTTCATATTTCTACTCGAAATAACCGCAGATAGTACTGGAACATCATTGATGGTGGTGGGGACCTATTGGAAACTCAAAGCTCTTGAGGGAACCAACCGGTTTCAGTTTACCTGATTGGACCCCATTCGACGGCCACAGTTAGACATGTTCTTATAATCTACTGATTTGCTCTATAGAGTGGGGAGCGTGCAAGCCCTTCCCGGCCTTATTGTAAGAATCCTGGACCTTTTCGTAAGCACTCCGGGCGACGTTACCTTCCGACTTCCCTATTTTGGCGTCCTATTCAACTATAACTTTCTCCGGCCCGCGCTGAAGAGTGTCCGCCATTGTCGGACCAGAGTATTTTGGCGACTCCTTCGCAGTAATGTCTAATAAATCGACGGGCACCATGAGTTTGAGCCGTGATTTCATATTTCTACTCGAAATAATCCCAGATAGCACTGGAATATCATTGATGGTGTTCGCGCATGAGGTACATCGAGTAAAATGAATCCTATTGGATACCATCAAGTAATTTACTTTTATTCTGAAGTTGATGACCTGTCCTTGCCCGAGAAGAGTCGGATGGACCTAACGCGAGGTAGGCCGATGCACACCCTCGTCGATTACTCAAACCTTACTCTGGTTAGGGTTTGAGTCATCGACGGGAGCGTTCGAGCTTTGGCATCGAAGACGACGACCACGACGAGTGAGGTGTTCGAGCTCGATCGAATCGATCGAAACATAGCAACGAGAACGTTATATATGGTGACCAGTTTGCACATGTCAGAAGTGAGGAGCGTCTGTTTGAATAGTTGTAGCTGTTAGGTCAAATTCAGTCTTTGTGCTCGTCTTCTTGTCCAGTATTGATGGGTTTTCTGGTGGCAGTGGTCTCTCGAAGGAGGTTGGGAAGAAGGAAACCTTGTGATAGTAGAGAGGAAGATTTTCGGTAGTTCTTGTATTAAAGAAGATGCAGCCTGAACGAGCTTGTCGTCTGTCCAGATTGGTTCGCACATTTCATCATGAGGTGGACTGTGTTGAAGATTTTTCCTCTGTGACCGAACATGGGATCCCTTGAGGAGGCGGGTTCGATGAATGGCGGTTCTGCAAACGTCGAAGGGAATGGTGCGTCTTTGCGCGAATCGAATGGTGATGGGGTCATCGGAGACACGCTCATGGAGGTCGAGGAAGAAGAGAAAGTGAAGCCAGGCCTAAAAGAGCCGAAAACCAATGGTCGCGTGATGGCTCCTCCATCAGCAACATTCTGTCAAGAGAATGGCAACGACAATAATTCCAAGAGAAGGAAGCCTCCTCTACCCCTCGAAGTTGGCACTCGCGTTCTGTGTCGCTGGAGGGATGACAAGTTGCATCCTGTCAAGGTCATTGAGCGGCGCAAGCTCACCAGCGGGCCGGACGACTATCAATATTACGTGCACTATACAGAGTGTGAGCATCCGAACACATGCTTCACTGGCCAGTGGCGGCCGCCATCTTTGTGTGAATCGTCACTTATGTCGATTGGACTTCTGACCTTCTTTACGTGTGCATGATCTCAAATTGGTGGTACTTGTATGGTAGTTAACAGAAGGCTGGATGAATGGGTACGGCTGGATCAATTGGAGCTGGATTCAGTTGAGACAGACGCGGACGAAAAGGTGGAGGAGAAGGTACGAGGACACTAATGCAATGATTTTTAAGCGGCTCCGGTTGCTGTGATAGTTGATAGCCTGAGTGACGATGGCCACTGAGAGGATGTCTAGTTCGCCCTTTGTTATGTTTTTTCACGTGTCTTCACCTGGCTTAGGTGTTATTGGTATTTCGTCGTAGATCTATATCATAATTTTGCGAGATGGAATAATAGACACTAGCCCTACCCATCAGTTGAACAGCAAGGGAGAACCAACTTGCTGAGCCTCTGGTTAGTCAGTTAGAACCACTCAATTTTGATGGGACAATTATTGGATCACATACCGCCTGTGACCGAACCAACTGGTATTTTTTTTGTATTTACTTACCATCCTTATATAAGGCCTTAGGGGTGTCACACTCAGTTAAAGCCTTGCACCGGAGTTGCTCGTAAGTTCCTCAAAGATTATGAGAACTTAGTTGTGCTCAGGTAGTCTTATCAACACCATTGTGTCTGCATGCAGGCTGGTAACCTCAAGATGACTCGACATCAAAAGCGGAAGATCGACGAGACACATGTTGAAGAGGTCAGTCGGGTTGGATGCACCTTCCTGTTGTTTGCCCGTAGGTCTCGGTGCGTTCTTGAACGTAAAGATAGTTCTATCCTTTGTGTAGTGCTTCAAAATTTACATACTTACAACAAGAATTTGATCTGTCATTGAGCGTGCTTTGCTGGAAGGGCTTTTTGTGGGTTAAGTCTGCATTTACTTATCGAATATTTTTTTTCATGAAGGATCATATGAGTGCCCGAGTATCTGGTGTTGCATTAAAGTACCTTTCTTGTGGACTCTGTCAAAGCCTATTTTGTTCACTATTAGATGGGTCAGTAGTCAAAAGAGCATTATCCGAACCCAGTGATGATTTATGTTCTGCAATGCTGAGAACATCTCCATGAGGAAAGCTCAACACACTACAAGATCTGAGGGTAATATTGAAGGACTTGTCTCTCTCCTTTATTCACTATGGCTTTTTCTCAGTGGAAAAAGTTCAAGAACAGTTGATATATTGTTTACGTCTGAGTGAAGGAAGTTCACCGGTCGCCGGTTTGATTTATAACTTAAGTTCTTGGTTAGGTGCAATGACCTGGACGAGCTCCCTGTGATGAATAACGTTCTGCAATGCGGAGGTTATCACCTTGACGATATCTCAACACACATAATTCTGACGGGATTGCCTTCCATCTGTTTACAGTGACTCCAAAAGAAACATCTTCGTTTGTACACATTCTTCGTGTCCGCCTGTAGTGGATCTGTATCTACCTAGTTCAAACCATAAGTATCTTTTCACATTACATGAATGCCCAATGATGATTCTTATTCTGCAATGCTGAGGATATTACTATGAGGATATCTTAACACACAACTTTTCTGATGGGCATAACATTTGGAACTTGTTGAAAATTCAGAGTGTTTCACTGCTGGACGGTTTATGTTTTTCCTGCACTTGGTTCTGAAACATCTGTGTTGGAAGTGTTAATCATAGATAGTCTATCTTGTTCGCTTATGTTGAAGCTGTCGAAGGAGCATTGTTTACATCTCTGCCTACGTTTGATGACGAATTTGACGTTGTTACTTGAATGCAGGGTCATGAGGATTTCGATGCTGCAAGTCTTCGGGAGCATGAAGAGTTTACTAAGGTGAAAAACATAAGCAAAATTGAGCTTGGACGGTACGAGATAGATACGTGGTATTTCTCTCCGTTCCCGCCGGAATACAGCGACTGCAACAAGCTTTTTTTTTGCGAATTCTGTTTGTCCTTCATGAAACGAAAGGAGCAGCTGGGACGACACATGGTGAGACCATTTTATAGTTGAAGTGGAATATATTACTGTCATCTGCGTCGTTGCGTGTGGAAGTGTTCTTGATTGTTCGACCTTTTCCATTTGATCGTCTTTTATCCAACTCGTTCCTTTCTTTTCTCCCGCAGAGAAAGTGTGACTTGAAGCATCCGCCCGGGGACGAGATATACCGGAATGGATCTTTGTCTATGTTCGAGGTACGCTACTGGATACTTACTGACCTGCTACGAATCTGTCAACACATAGCGTTGCTCCTAAGATTGTGGTTGTTGAGCCATGACCTACCTCTCTGCTCTAGTACGAGGCATTCGCTGTTTGTTAGTGGATGATTAATATGGCTTGGGTCCTTTGTTATAAGATAAAATTATGTTCTGATCTGCAATTGCTTGGATAGGAGTCAGTCTTGCTGATGTGGGATCCGACGTGTCCCTCTCTCTCGTTTCTGGTGATAGGTGGATGGCAAGAAGAACAAGATTTATGGACAAAATTTGTGTTATCTTGCCAAGCTGTTTTTGGATCATAAGACCTTGTACTACGACGTTGATCTCTTTCTGTTTTACATACTCTGCGAGTGTGATGATCGGGGATGTCACATGGTTGGCTATTTTTCGAAGGTAAAGCTCACGCCAGAGTTGTTGGGTGCTATCTTATGCACGAGTCGTAATGTATCATTGATTTGGACTAGGCGTTCTGATCCCGATCTTGTAACGTATCTGCTGGTCCTAACAGTCCATACCCCCATCTTTGCAGGAAAAGCACTCCGAAGAAGGTTACAATCTCGCTTGTATTCTCACTCTCCCCCCATATCAAAGGAAGGGGTACGGGAAGTTTCTGATTGCATTTTGTAAGACCCGAGCTGATGACCTCTATCTTGAGATTGAGTATATCTTAAAATAGCCTGATTTTCAATTTTCTCCATAAAGGGCTAATATTTTTTCCTGAAACTCGTCACATTGTCGTTCTATTTGGAATTACGGTGGTGGTTTCCATAAACTTTGACTTCTCTTCTCATATATCCGATTTGCTGTCGCGCAGCGTACGAACTTTCCAAAAAGGAGGGGAAGGTCGGCACGCCTGAGCGTCCTCTGTCTGACTTGGGTTTGCTAAGTTACAGGGGCTATTGGACCAGAATTCTTCTGGACATTCTGAAAAAGCATCGCGGAAATGTTTCAATAAAGGTAAGGGTCACCTGTAACTGACCTTCTCTTCTTCTAATTATGGACCTACTTCTTTTGTGTGATCCCTTCAGCATATTTACAAGTTGGTTTGGCGGTTTCCATTAGATGGTTGTGAACTGTTTTCACAGTTCTCGTTTGTGATCAAGAATCAAGCCATTTCTCACATATTATTATGAGAATCGTAACGGAAGGGTGTGCTTCATTGCTGGTTACCAAGTGTCTGAAGTTTATAAAATGGGACCGTCCCCTTGCAGGAGTTGAGTGACATGACGGCTATCAAAACAGAGGATGTCATCAGTACCTTGCAGTCCCTTGAGCTTATCCAGTATCGAAAGGGACAGCACGTGATATGTGCAGACCCAAAGCTACTTGAACGACACTTGAAAGCTGCAGGAAGAGGCGGTCTGGATGTCGATGCCTCGAAACTTATATGGACCCCTTACAAGGAGCAAGGAAACTAGACTACTCAGCATCGCTTGTATAGAAAACGTTGGTCTCCCTTCGAAGTATAGTACAAGTAACGAAGGCACAGCACTAAAATTTATAGGGTTGACCAGAAGTAAAGTTCTTGTTGTAGTTCTTGTATAAAGTAGCCCACGGTGTTCACTCTGACTCGTTCCCTCTGTACGGGTTGGTTGTTGTTGCTCCAGAAAAATAGTCAAAATCTGGCTGCTATACACCATGCCCGAGTAGGATTTTAATTATAGAAGCAGAGCTTTGTTTTCTCCTGTGCTCAAAGATTACCTGCAAATGGCCTGGTTTGAGTGTCACCGATGTAGATTATTATGCGATCGTGAGTATACTTCAGGCAAGTTTACATGTAAAGTCAGAGAAATGGGGTTTGTGATGTCATGAGTTGTTACTTACGACCATTGCTCCAAGCTATCATTAGGGGAGGTCTTGTCACTTTACCTGCCCTACACTCTTTCTTCGTAATCCGTGATATGGTTTATTTTGATACCTTATTTTAAATCTTTATACACGCACAGAGATGTGTGAACTATCTACGAAACTTCTTTCTACGAATGTGTACTATGTCACCGGGTTTATGCTGACTAACAATAATGGAGATTATCTTCCACCTTCACACTTAGGAGGTTTCGTACGATACACATGACTGGGAAAGAAATTGCGCATATATTTGAAAAAGACCCGTTCGTCATAGGTAGCGATGAGTAGGATCACTGCGCCGAGTGGGTGGACAACGAATGAAACTTTGACAATGTACACTTGAGGGAAAGTGTCAAATCATCCTTGTTAAGTCGGCCGACGGAAGGGAACGTGCCTAAACTCAGATGAGGAAGGAAAAATACGTGTGAAGTGGAGGGAATTTTATATGCTGGCGAATAATGACAAAGCACACAACCATTCTGATCACGTGAGAAGGCTTTGAAATAATTAATCTCCACTCCGTAGATGATCGATTGTGAACCTCAGCATTGACAAACAAGTGCTAATCTCTTGCATGATGCGTGGCATTATTTCAAGTCGGCACAGTTTGGTACGCACCCGAAATTTCTTGTTGATTGGCAATCCGAGGCCTATGTCTGCAGGCAAGTCAGGGCTTCATTGCTTCTACAACTTTATTAAACTTCCCATCTGCGGTCAGGATGTTGCGAATTGAGCCTTATCTACCTTCACATTTCGAAGGCCCGACGGATGAACCCCATGAGAAGGGGCGGACAACCAGAACTCACCTGTCTGCAGCAAATCGGTGCTCGAGGACCTGCCTTCGGCTGTGACTTACGCGTGAGGCCAGATGGTTGTACTTCGTGAGCAGGATAAGTCAAGACCGCAGAAAACTTAACGAGAAAGCTCAGAAGCTCAGGCTACGAAGAAGAGAAATGAATCACAACTTGCGCAAGTGGACGCCGAAGGAGAATGCCACAGCGGAGTGCGGGTCGGATGACATTTGAACTTGCGTGCATCGGAGCATCGGAAACACGCTCGGCCATCCCAGTCGCGGTAGCGGGAGCGGGGGAGCGGGAAGGGGCGCGCTGGACACGGCAGCAGGAGGCTGTTGGATTGATTGTCGGGTGTCCTGCTTCGCGAATCGATTGATCACATTTCTCTACTGTGGAAGGTGATCTATCGACCGAACGAAAATGTCTCTTGTGGATTACGCCTCCGACGAAGCCGATTCTAATGAGGACGAGGATGAGCCCGGTACTGCGCCAGGACCCGCAGTCCATGGTGATGCAGCGGCAGGCGCCTCTTCTTCCGACTCCGTGGCCATGTCAGTATTCGAAGGCGCGAGCCAGGATTGCCCAGCGGGCTGTTCTGTGGCAACATCGTGAAGAATTGAGCTTTTGTTGCCCATAGTGATGTTTTTGTTGTTGTACTTTGCGACTGCGAGCGAAGGAGAGAATTGTGCTGAGATTCGGCCCCTAAACCTAATGCAAATCTCTCCAGCGGAATCTTCTCAAGCATAATGGAGGGTCGTTTGTATACACTTGCTTGGGTTTGGAGCTTAGGCAGTCGCAAAACATATCAGACACCACGCAATCTGTCTTGACACCTTCCTGGCTTCTTCAGGGACACGGACTCGAAAGCAGAGGTTCCACAACAGAACAACGTTCCGACAGCCCGAATACAACTGCCGGATGTGTCACTCCTCTTAGGTCCGAGTGACTCGGCCATTGCAACAACATCAAGCGCTCAAAGAAAGAGGGAGCCAGCAGCTAATGGTTCAGGTCATCAATTGCCCAACAGCAAAGTTCCCAGGGGAAACCTTCGGCCTTCTAGAACTCCTCCTGATACGGCCGGTGGTCTTCTCACTCCACCCCAGCTGCGAGGAAGGTGCGCTTCTTGTTGTTTTCTTATACAATTCTTTGGGTGTGGAGTCCTGCATCATCGAGTTTTCGAAGAAAGAATCTTGACCTGTGTGATGTGGCCGATCTTTCTTTGGTGCCTAACGTGGTTGTAGACTCTCAGCTTCCCAAGTAGAGTATTATTCGATTTGCCCGCGAGAAACTGGGTCATGATTGGTACAACCTTATTTTCTGACCACTTTTATTTTCGTGGTTCTATCATCTTTCTTTGTTCAGAAGTAACGTAGCGACGGAAGATCTGGACAAGATTTTCACACGCAGGCAGCAAAGACGATGATGCCTTGAGATCATCGCTTGAATTTTTGATTTGGTAGCAGCCGATACCAGCTTTTGTTATGTGCCATACCAGGCGGTTAGTACCTCTTTCCATTTTACAGACTGAAACATCTCTTAATCATAAACCGGAATTTGGTCTGACAAGAATGCATTGCCCTTCCAGACTACCGATTACCTTGTAGGTCGAGATGTCTTCATGCACTCTGCAAAAAACCTTTACAAGCATGTGTTTTTGCTGTCCATGCTGAGTCTCTGAGATCATGCGTCCGTGCTTGTATTGCAGGAATCATCAGAGTGTTCACCTGATGACAAGTACTTTCTTCAGCAGAAAGGATGGTCTGGCAACTCGTTTTAACTATCTTGTGTAACTGTAGTATGTTCCCTTTAGAAAGTGAGTATTTGATGCGAAAAATAGATTCTCTGAGCAAGTCATTGTTCTCACTGACCACTCATAATAGAAGTCGTGATGCTGCGGGATTTATCATCCTTTATTTTGCCACGTGAATGGAACTATCACCTGCACATAGTTCAAAAGAATTATGCAGCAGCTGTAGTCTGTTTTGGCTGGACGGAAGGCTTTGTCGAGAAGAGTCGATGCAGGCGGAGAAGTCCAGGTCTGCACTGTGTGTGCTTCCCAGTCTGAGTTTCCCAAGAAGTTTGTCCTGCACTCAATAGTAGCACAGAGCAGATAAAGTTTCATTGAACCCCAAAGCCGTCATTGGCCGCACGTTACTTGAGAAATCCCTGAGCTATACTTGTGTGTCCCTGAATTCGAGCGCCCTTGATTTTGTTCTCCAAGTCGTTCTTGTTTCCTACGCTCTGAATAAGATCAGCTCACGCGAGGACTGATTTTTAGGATTCAAATTTATGCAGCTCTTGTTCGTGTGCGGGCTGGGTTTTAACATGCTTATAAGTGCCGTCCAAGGATTTAATGTCAGCTCATTCTGTCTTACATTGGGTAAGAGTTCTTCATGTTAAATTCTTCTGCAGTTTCTGGAGCAGTATGAATATTCTGCATTGGAGATCTGGTTTCTTGTTCTTCTTGCAATCTGGATGCAACAGCCATTTTCTCCATTTGCGGATGCGCTTAATTCTCGTTTCAAGGTCATTCGAGTATGAAATGGTTTGTATCGTGTAATGTCAGCATATTATGTAAGATGACTAGAAATGTCCCTTCTTTTTCAAAATTTATTGAACTTTCAGATCATTCTATGTCTGAAATAATACCTCAATCTGAAGATGTTCTTCAATACGCACTTTTCCCCCTTGATCAAGTGGAACCAACCTTGTTAAGTGTTCGTCGAATACATGAAGCCATATTGAATATTTGAAGACGAAAGCAAATCAATGATGTTTATACATAATGAGAGAAACTTGCTTGATGGGACCCCCGGGGAAACTCAAAACTCTTGACGGGACCCAATATGTTTCACTTTACCCTATGGGACCCATCGACGGCCCTGCACCCCCTCTGTTAGTGATGATCCACTACTATTCGGGGTTATTCCGAGTAGAAAGATGAAATCACGGTTCAGACTCATGGCTCTCGGCGTTCTCATGGCTGCGAACTTCGCAGCCATCTCCAATAATTCATGGCCCGTTTTCTTGGACATGGCGACTTGGAGTAGCCAAAATACTCTGTCCCAACAGTGGCGGACGCTCCCACTCTGTAGAGCAAATCAGTAGGTCATTAGATGATGGCTGACGGTGGTCGTCGAAGGGGGTTCCATTGACAAATTGAAATCTGTTGGCCCCTTCAAGAGAGGTTTGAGTTTCCAAGGGTCCCATTAAGCAAATTTCTTTACATGATTAGCATGTATAATGTCATTCTCACTTTCAGCTATTCGTTTTGTACCCAACTAGTGTTGTCTTCAAAAGATATAATTTTTACTTCTATGATCACGAATTTGATGAAATTATAAAAAAATTATAAATAACTAATTTTAGATAATATTCTCACATTGAAGTAGATGAAATAATAAATTTTAAGACGAGATAATTCAACGAGATGATTTATAAACTTATGTATTTCATAAACATCAATATTAAATTCATTGTTATAATTTGATTGCATTATTTCGTGAAAAAATTTACTAATTTCAATGCAACATTTCGGGACAAAATGTTTGATAATCTCATCATACATATTTTGGTATAATTTGGTAAATATACTCTCCATTATATACATGCCCATAATTATCTATGTATCGCGTCGTTACCAAAAGAAAATGATGAGTAACTTTGTTTTTGGGATTTCTTGTTAATAACATTATTTTTGAAACGGAAAGGTTTATAAACAGGACATTATCCCCATTATAAACCCGCTATTTTGTAATTGATAGAAATGTGTGAACCGTCATCAATGTAGAATATGAAGACTGAAGATCAATGAATGGGCTAAACGATAGCATTGTTAGAACGTCTTTGAACTTTATTAACTTAGAATATGAAGACTGAAGATGAATGAATGAGTTCACACTTTCATCCAACGCTTATTTTAGAGTTTGAAGTGCACCGAATATACGGCCAAGTGGAAGCATCAGCTGATTAAAACTGAAGTCTGTAGACTTTTGGTTGAATCAGTGTGTTTGAGATCTTGGAAGAACATATTTCAACTTGATTTGTTAAACGTTTGTTGTCAGCGTGATCGGAGTCCTGTCAAAGGTGTTTCAAGATCGTAGAGCGTTTCAAGATCATCAATTCAAATTCAGTTTAGTCTTACTGATAGATTTGATTCTTCAGAGACATCAGATAGGCTACTGGTGATGATTTATGACTACTGTGCTTTCTTTCGTGGTTTATTTTGAGACTGACAGAAGAATATGACTTCAGATCTTTGTTGGGTACGTATCTTCTTCGAGCATCCCTTCTTCTAAGTTCTCCTTCGAATTATATTTCTGTGATTTCTCTAGGTAAAAGATAGAGTGAGGTCATAATGTCAGCATATTCAGTTATTTCAATATTAGAAAATTTGCACAATAATTGATGATTGTATCACTCTATGCAAGGCCTCCAAATCCAGAAGCCGGGAGCAAACGTCAGCAGTACCGACAAACTAAATCCCCCGTCCCTGGATGTCAACTTCCGCCCAAATGTTCTTTTCTCCTCCGAATTCGCTCGCCATAATATCACTCTACGCAATTCCCGAAATAGTCAATCCTTGCGGAAAAATTACTATAGTGGCCTGAAAAGTATATTTATATGAAATTTTATTAATTTCATTCTAACATTTGATACAAAATTTTATAAATTTCATTTCATTATTTCATGAAAAAGTGTTCTTAATTTCATTGCAACTTTTTGTGATAAACTTTTTTGAATTTCATTATAACATATTATGATAAAAAAATTTTGATTTAATTGCAACATTTTGTGATAAAAATTTTCGTGATTTCATTGCAATATTTAGTGACAAATTTTTTTAAAATTTCATTGCACTACTTTGTGACAAGAAGTTTCTTGATTTCATTGTAACATAAGTAACAAAAAGATTTTTAATGTCATTGCAACATTTTGTGGCCAAATTTTTTTTAATTTCATTGCACTACTTTGTGACAAATAGTTTTTTGATTTCATTGCAACATTTTGTGAAATATTTTTTTTAATATCATTGCAACATTTTGTGATCAAATTTTTTTCAATTTCATTGCACTGCTTTGTGACAAAATGTTTCTTGAATTCAATGCAATATTTTGTGAAAAAAAGTTTTTTGTAATGTCATTGAAATATGTTGTGACCAAATTTTTTTTAATTTCATTGCACTTTTTTGTGACAAAATTTTTCTTGATTTCATTCCAACATTTTGTGACCAAAAGTTTGTTAATTTCATTGCACTACTTTGTGACAAAATGTTTCTTGATTTCAATGCAACTTTTTGTGATAAACTTTTTTGAATTTCATTATAACATATTATGATAAAAAAATTTTGATTTAATTGCAACATTTTGTGATAAAAATTTTCTCAATTTCATTGCAACAATTTGTAATTAAGAGTTTTTAAATTTTATTGCACTACTTTGTGACAAAAAAGTTTTTTGATTTCATTGCACAACTTTGTGATAAAGAAAGTTTATTGCTTTCATTACAATATTTTGGAACAACAATTTTCTAATTTTATTGCAATGGTATTTTGACAACATGTTTATTAATTTAATTGCAACACTTTCATGTGATTGCAAAACTTTTTGACAATTTTTAAAAATTTTATTACAACATTATTTGACAATAAATTTTTTAATTTGATTGCAACGCTTTCATATGCTTTCATATACAAAAAAAATTTTATTTTATTTCAACAATGTCATGTTATTGTGATTGCAACACTAATGATGAAAAGCTTTTGGTTGTTTCAATATTAATCAAAACTTCCACTTTGTATATTTATATCTATTCATCTGTTACAATAGATTGAGCTTGTTTCTTCCATCCTTGCATTTTTTTAAATTTGTGAAACTCCAAAACAAGCTTATTATTAATCTTGCTTTTCAAAAGCTACTTCATCAAATATTTTAACTCTCTTACTTCCATTTTATTCAAAGATTGTTCTTGCATTAGTCGTACTCATTATGTTCATATTTGAATTCAATGAAACGTGGCAATATGATATATATTTTTGCATGCTTAGCATTGATGATTGTCAAATCATCAAAACTTATTAAATCTCTAACCTTCTTAGAAATTTAAAATCATTGGTTTTTTAATCTACACTTAAAATCTTGGTGCTAATCACGATGATCATGCTTAAACTTTTCTATGTCAAGGCTATTGCAAAATAATTGATATAGTATCAAATGAATCTGGAACATTGATTGAGGATTCACCTTGTGTGAATCCATAAGTATTCAAATTTTTTTGAACAATTGTTTGATTCATCATGAATAAATTGCAAATCATAATCCTTGCGTATTAGATCTTTGAAGTCTTGTTTGAACACATATTTTATTGTATTTAAATCCATGATGCAAAAAAAACATCACAAAAATCACAAAAATTTCACAAGTTAATGATTTCAAAAATCTCATGGAAATTTATATCCATGAACTTCATTGTGGACCTTTCAAAGTCCAAATCTTTTGATTAAGTTTTTATTGTGGTAGATCGCTTAACAAAGATGTCACTTTTTGTGCTTTGCAACAAAACTATCAGAGTTACGACACATACTTATGATAGATTGTACAATAAATAGTATAAAAAATGTCACAATATTTTCTGAATTATGTATTTAAATATCATGAACTTTTCTATTACATCATTATTAATTGTGGTGTATATTCATATTCAAGTTTTGATAATACTTTTCCAAAATGTTAAAAGTTAAGATGAAATTATAATTGACGAATCATACTCAGACGTATGAAGAAACCAAACAAACGAGTGAATCAAATATTGGAGTGTTATTTGAAATGCTTCATCAATCATCATCAAGAGAATTGGATGAATTTACTTCTAGTTTCAGAGTTTGATTATATAAATACACTTTAAGTGTTCATAAATCAAACTTTCTTATCCGCAGATTATGTCTTTCATACGCAATTTGACTCTTTGAACTTTAATTTGGAAAAAATTTTGGTTGTGCAAATCTGCTAATCTGATTTTTGAAGATCCACAAAGACATAAAACCAATGCTTATACAAGCTCAAGAGCAGCAAAAGAAAAAAGCACACAACTCTCAAAAGCAAAATCTAAACATTTCAGTTGAAGATAAAGTCTAGCTTTTGAATTGCAATTTAAAAATTTGTTGATCAAGCAACAAACTTGATTATCATCATCTTGGATCTATTGTGTGAGTACAAAGTAATATACAAGTTGGATTTGTCATCATCTATAAAAATTCATCAAATGTTTCAAGTTTTCTTGCTTAAATTGTATAAAAATTCTACTATTTTGAGAAAATTGATAGCACATTCAACACCAATAAGTATTAATGGATGAAAAAAAT